TATTACTCTTACAAAAATATTCCTTAAGATATTTATAATGTGCAGGTACATAACTCCGCGCGCGATTCCTTAGTTAAGTGTGTCATATCGATCCTTGGGCATGACGTCGGCACCCCACTGGGGTAGTAGGGAGGCGATTTTAATATGTCGCTGGCACCCTTGCCCGGTTCAATAATGACTGAGGTTAACGCCGCGCACATATTAAGTTCACCGGGCTTTTAAATGACCGTGGAAGGGACCTGTGTACACAAAAATGGCCATATGATCTCCTAGTGAGTGCCTGAGACTTCGTCTGCGTATAAAAATATGTTTTCCATACAAACTTCCACCCCTCTTTTCACCCCCTTAATGGATGATTTATGGGGTAAAAACTGTCCTATATCCTTTCCCGGGACTCAAACTATCTATTCTATACTCCAAATATCATCTAAATTTGTTCAGCGATTTAAGCGGGAAGAGGTTACATACAGACACACTTTCACATTTATAATAATAATATTTTTTATTGATATACACCTCACAGGACATATAAGACATTAAACATGACAGTGAAAACGTACACAATAGGCGGCCATATTGCTAAACAGCAATCTCTTCCTGGCAACCCATGACAGTGAAATAAAGAAAAGGAACAAGAAATATTAGTATGGTTGAGCCTACGTTGCCAGACTATAAATTAGTATTTGAGAATTAGCTTTAGCTAAAAATCCGGTCTTAATTTTTGCTCAATTTTAAGCATAGCAATAGGTTACGGTACTGATAATTATGTATGGACTTTAAGATTTTTTACCCGTTTAGTTCTACTAGTTGAAATTAACGGATTTTTTTCTCCGTTTAGTCATACTAGTATCTGGGTTCCGAACCTGGGGGTAATTACTCCTCCGGGGGTAAATCAGCCATACTTCGGGGGTAACAAAGAACCTTATTATTTGCTCAAATCTAAATAATAAGAAAATACTACTAAATAGAGCATGCGCTCCTTCTTGCTAGCGAGCCCGCGGGGTGTTGAGTGTGGGAAGCGGGCCGAGATTTTCTCCTGATGATGACATTAATAGACGAAGATGTAGCGACCAAATTGGAATTTCTTGGACTGATGATAAGTCGGGGTAAAATCTGTTTTCCTAATAGGTTACAGGGGTAGCAGTATTTGAAAGGTTAGGAAACACTGTACTAATAGAACTAAACGGATACAATCTGAGGTACAAATCAATATGAATTTCACTTTTGTTCAAGCTCATGCCTGTCAAACATTTTTCTGTATGACCCCTCCTTCCCCTTTCGAGCTGTAATTTTTGAAGATTTTGCTATGCTCGGCTTTAGCATGAGAATCAATATGACTCAGCTATACCCGTGTACAGAGATTTAAAAACCAATTATTGTTATAAGAACGGACAATAAATTTGTTATCATTGTTGATTTCGGAATCAATATTGGACGGTACAGAGATTTAAATGTTTGGTTTTGGAATTAATGTTGGAAGTTACGGAGATTTAAATACGAATAATTGTTATTAGAACGGGCAATGAATTTGTTACCATGTTTGATTTCGGAATTAATGTTGGACGAACAAATTAGAGCAGTGGCAAAGGAGCCTTATATACCGACCGTGATTAATTAAATAAGGCTATCGTTGACCTGTTTTATTTTGGGCCAGTATCAAGTTAATTAACTTAAAATCGATGTTTTATTAAATTACTAGTGAAATTAATAATGATTTCACTAGTAATTTCTTAAACATCGATATATATCCGTCATGTTGTTTGCCCGGGATGAACTCCTAAACTACTTAACCGATTTTAATCAAATTTGCACACCGTGTGCATTTTGATCTAACTTGAAAGATATCATGTCTTACATCTCAATTTATAGTCGCAATATTACTTTATTGCAAATTATTACTTTTGGGCGGTACGAATTTCGCCTAATCAGCTAGTTTACTGTATAATTTGTAGGTATTTGTAACACTTTGTAATTAAAAAAAGTTTCAACCTAACGCTTTATAACAATGTTCCTATGGGTTTCACTGTTCAATCCCTACTGGTTTTTACGACATAATATGGCGTTAATTACCAATAAAACTAGACATTTGCACGTAAGCCCATGTTAATTAAATTTTTATTTTAGAGCAAGTACCTACATTGAGTTCAGTTTATTGCATAGAAATAATAATTATGGATTCTTAGTTAATTTTAATATTCAACAATTGGTCAATCAGGAGAATGGTGTTTCCTTTTAAATATTTCTAGAATAGTAACATACAAAATAAAAAAAATACTTATATAATTTTATCCTCAACTACCTGTTTCAACCGTTTAATTAGGTGAAAAAAGATAGACATGATTTTGTCGCAAATCTTTTTTTAGAATAATTCCGTTAAACCATAAACACAACAACAGTAAATGTTCTCAGAAACTGCAAATTAATAATGAAAAAAACTCCAATTTATCATAGTAGTGTATATTTTTTTTATACCATCAGAAAGTAGAGATTTCAACAAACAAAAAACACCCCAACTTTTTTAAAAAAGCAGATATTTTGACGTGAGAATTTTCGATTGAAAATTAGGGTGCTTTTTGGATATTAAGTCAAAATAAGGTGAAAAAATGAATATTTTAAATCAAAAAAATTACTGTATGTTTAGGACATACAAAGGTAAGTTTTCACCAAATTTCGTGAAAAAATATTTTTTTTTGCAGAAAATAAAAATCAAAAACCAAAAACTCGGTTATTCGCATTTTTCACATATATTTTGAGGTAATGTGAAAAAAGTGTCGATACAAAAGTTGTAGATCTTTTTATTACCGACAACTTTGCCATTTAACTTTTTTTCATAGGACTTGCAGTTTTACCGGAAATCGAGATTAACCATTTTTTACCCTTAAAAACTCACCCCCTCCCCCTTCCCGACCTCAGATCGCCCGTAATTTATTTTTCCTTTCATTTTTGTTATATTCTCTACTTTTTCTAATGGGTTTCATCCTACTATAATTTTTTTTCACTTTTCACCATTTTTAAAATTATCGACCCTGGTCTAATTGTGACATAGTTAAAATCGTTACGATGTTCCTAAAGACATGTCTTCACTAAGGTTTGGTTGTGTCTTCACATTCCTTCAAAAACTACAATATTCACATCGTAAGATATGCCGCGACAGAAAATGCAACTGAATGGATAAATCTGTGGAATCCAATTTGGATATTACAGTGTTGTTATTGCCCCAGCCATTTCCACGCCTCTCGTTTGCTGTGATTAACAGCTAAAGATAGTATACACGGGCGTTCGTCACCGACTATTTTGTGGCTCGCCCCGTACCGATATCGGCACGAGACCAGACAGGACAAACAGAACACGGACATAGGCGCAGCAGGTGCGAATTGCGTGTCCATTAAATTCCACCTCACATTTAGGTTGACAGTTTACGTGATTCAGTCGAGTCTTATAATCCAAGTATTCGAGAGATACATTTTCCCGTGCCGCAGAGGAACCATTGTATTTTCTATGCGGCCCGATTCGAAAAAAGAACTTAGGTATAGAGCTTGTAATTATGTCTTTCAAAATATGTAGGCGTTGTAATGGTTTACGAGATTAGGTGAGTCAGTGAGTGCCTGAACTGGAGGATAGCTTTTAATATTCGACAAAGTTTTTTTTTAAAGTAGGTCAATTTGAATTAGATTCGTGTTTAATTTATTGATGTTTTTGTAGTAGTAAATTGTAGATAGTTCTTGGTCCGCTTGAAGCTGTTATTAATTAGTCAAAATAAACTCGCTTTCAGAAGTCAGTGCTTTCACTGTAACAATTTCTATTTATTTTATTGAAAGAGCAGTATTTATGTTGGCTCTAGAACTGACAAGTCAATCTTACTAGCAAATGGGGTAATTGCTAGGGTTTCTTGGATATACTTTGGGTGCAGTCAAATGTCCACTTTGTAATGAGTGCTGCACCTATACATCTGTACAAAGTTTATTTGAAAATCGAAATTCATTACAATGTTGTTGCTCAAAGTTTGTGTAATATTTTCCACGTTATAAGCGAATGTGTGTTGGGAAGCAAGTTGGATTGGATGATTGTTGCACAAAGGGAGAGGGTGAGTTAAGATCCCTTTGAGAGGCGGCGTCGCGTCGAAGCGCAGTTCCGATGTTTGCGCAGGCTGCGCGCGTCGCCGTGCTTCCGTCCGCGGCAGTAGCGCCGCCGGCCCGTCGCCGGCCGCTCTGCCATGTATCCAACGCTCCCCTTACACAAGTCTTCCAGCGGTTCGCCGCCATGATTTAGTTGTACGACAACATATTAGCTTTAAGAAACCAAGTCTTCCATTAGATAAGTTAGGATAAGATGCAAAGGGGTAGGGCGTCGCGACGCGAACAAAACAATAGAGTCGTGTTCGAACGGCTCTGGCGAGGCACGTTCCAAGCGGTGCTCGCTGGACCGCAACGTAGGCCACGCGCCTCGTCCCACGACCCCAACGAGATGGCCATGCCTCTCCCAGGGCCTGCCCCGACTGACGCGCTCGAACCTGCGCTCAGGACTATCCTCGCGGGCCTCAGAAGCTCTTGTTGCTGTCAATGTAGTTGTTCGCAACAAAGAAACTATGCTAACGACAATTTGCAGGTCTGTCTTCCTGACGACGAGGAGAGGAAGTCCATGAGATCCGTCATAAGGTGTGCATCATGTTCTCTTAGTACTATATGTAAAAAGTAGGTCGTTCGCGTACACATAGCGAATGTTTCAATTAAACGTTACAAGGTTTGCGGGACCTGTTGTATTAATTGGAATTTAAAGCGATTTCATACCCATTCTTGATATGCCTTTTTAATAGTTTACGGTTCGTTCGTTAGTTTTCTATTGATCACGAGTTTAATGAGGAAAAGCTAAACGATTTTAATGTTTACTTTTAGCGCACTTAAGTGCCACTCAGGTAAATATCAGTCTTGTATGGTCGTACAGCACCTGGCGTGGTGGTAGTTTGCGGTTTGGCATTGTGGTGATGGTATGATTGTCGGCAGCGTGCGGGAGACGCATGCGATCGCGGAGGCGCAGCAGGAGAAGAACGCGCGGTTGCGCGACGCGTTCGGGATTTCACCGCGGTTCGTGGAGGGCACCAGCCTGGACACGGAGAAGCGCGCACGCGAGCACGCGCAGCGGTACCCGCTCGTCAGAACGCCCAGCCATGAGCGGGAGGAGCGAGACACGCACGTTTCCAAAAGAAAGAAGAAAAGAAGGTACTTAGCCATTCCTCAGATCATCATCATCATCAGCCTATTAATGTCCCCACTGCTGGGGCACAGGCCTTCCCTATGGATGGAATAGGGGGATTGGGCCATGACCCACCACGCGGGCCCAGTGCGGATTGGTGGGTGCTAACGACTGCAGATGCAGCCGGGACCAACGGTTTAACGTGCCTTCCGAAGCACGGAGGAACTCGAGATAGAAGATTTTTGGTCACCCATCCAATGACCGACCACTGTGAAAGTTGCTTAAATTCAACGATCGCAGCCGAACGCGCTAACTACGCGCTAAGTTCTTCTATAACAATGTTGTCCGTGCAAAACTAAAGTGATTGGCCACGCAATTAAAACGTCACTTAACCTAGTAGCATTGGCGAAGCTGAAACTTTTTAAATTAGGGTTCCCCAATCCAATATGTAAAAGGCGTTTTAACTGTTAGGATTTCAACCATGTGTTAAAGATTTCCTCGCATTGGCTTTATTATAAGTGTATGTAACTTTTATAACAGTTCTTTAGTAGCTATTATTTCTTTTCGAATTGTATATAATAATATACATTTTTTGTTGTAGCACGTCACCAGAAACTAAGAAGTTAAAGAAGAAGAAATCGAAGAAGAATAAAAAAGAAAAGTTGGTGCCCTTTTTATACCGAATCTATAATTTAAAGTTGCTTTTTTTATAGCTGTTGTATGGTAATTTTATTTGTTTACTCGTATCGTGATAAAATCTCAAAGATTGCCTTTAGACGCAGACAGGTGACACTGCAACTGTCCAAGAGGCAAGTATGACTAAATTTCAGCTGCAACCTAAATGATACTAAACGGGTTAATTATTTATTTTCATTAAATTGGTTTGGTAATTTCAGTGAAAAAAAGATGTTATGGGACATAATACGTGGGTATGGTTCACATTTCTACATAATATAAAGTTTTTTTTTTATATTTATTTTGCTTTTGTTATTTTTGTATTTTAACATATAAAGAACGCCGCTATTCTTTAAGGGGTATTTGTAAGTAAACTTATATTCTATTATAATAAACTTATCACTAAAGAAGAATTCAACTTTCTATTCTAAAGGTGCATCTATTTGTATAAAAAATAGTATTTTTTTATATACTTAATCTGATTTAGTATATTTTATGACATTTAGACAAGAAAGCAGCAAGAAAAAGAAGAAGCGGTCTAAATCATCAGACTCGAGCAGTTCAAGCAGTACGGAGGCTCAGCAGGACAGCGACACTGGAAGCTCAGAGGATGAAAGGCAGAAGAAGAAGAAAAAGGTAATTTAAATTCAATTTTCTTTTTCAAACAATGATTATGTGTTGATGCAATATTTAGCTTCTAAAATCTTCAGATAATAGTAATGGTTTCGTTTCAAAGATCACGTTTGATAAATATAATATCTTATATTTATTGAGAATAGAGCATTATAAGAAACAATAGCGGCATGAAAATTTCCTTATAAAGTGTGTTGTGGAATAAGAAAATTAAAATTTATATTAAACCGAAATTACAAATTTAACATTCAGTGAAATAATGATATTGATAATGTATTTCAAACGAGATCTTTGAAATTTACATTTGAATATAATGTTATAGTAACTTCATTATATTAATGGGATGATGGGGTATTACACCAATAAATCTGTATTTACACCTGTGAAACATGTAGACATTGGGATACTATCATGCGACACTCAACTGTTCACGACCCTTTACTCAATTCTCTTCCGAACCTGCTAATATATTATCTTGACATGAAGTAGCACTTTGGCTTCCTTTTGTTTTGTTTTAGTGACTATGTCCTTCCCTTCACATTTCTAATGAAACTGGAATCTGTGTCATAACTGGCACTTTGCATACGATGGGCTTAATGAAGTTTTCCGAAAGCTTTCTTCACTCATCACTATCTGACTTAGAAAACGGCAAAATAATTGATCACACAACTAATTTGCCTTAATCTTAGTAGTTAAACGCTAGTTCCAGTGTCATAGCTGTATCCCTACACGGTACTTCTCAAATAACTTCCGATGGGGGCAAATATGATCCGATCTGTTTATAATAATTGTGGTTATTGTCTTCTTATTTATTATTTTTGTTTAATTTGTTTTTTCTGTAAATACAAGAAATAGACAGTAAAAATTATCTGTTTAACTGTGCATCATTTCATAGGATAGCCATCTTTATCTGAAGAAATAACGTATACTGTAAGTATATCACAAAACAATAACACTCAGTAAGAACACTATGTTAGGTGAATACTAAAATACGTGTCACGCGACAGTTAATGCATTTGATCATGACATTGTGACTAACTTTGAGATGATACTGAATCATGAGCGGTGGCGGTTGTGAGGGTCTTATGTGTGCACAGTTATTTACATGCATGGTGTTTGTAGTCCTTAAAACAGATGGTGGTTCAATGTTGTCATCGAAAGCGATGCCACCTGGTGCGTGGAGTGAAAACGTGACCACAGACGCCCTTGCAGCTAATTTATTACAAAGACAGCACGTTGCAACAAAGATGTATCGTTGATAGCGAAAGTAGACAACAGTGGCGCCCTCTGTGCCGCGCTTTTGAGCCGCACACCAGGTGTATCCCCGAGTGTTTGTTTGTAAAATGTAACTAATCCATAACATTCTCCCTCTTCACGTTTAACCAAAACTAATTAAGGATGCTCCACTGTTTAAATGGTTTTCGACCACCGTTTGTTAAAATAAGGTACGTTCCCAAAGTGTTATCATAATTACATTTGATTTTTGTGTATTACTTACTGTCATTACTTTTATTTAATAAAACTTTGAATATTATCGATATTGTAATGTGTTATTAACATAGAAATATTATGGATACAACGCACTGGTGCCAAAGAATAAGAAAATTTTCATTTTAGGTTTTCTCGCCAATTGAGTATTATTTGTTGAGTATATGTTTAATTTCTATAAATATAATTTTACCAGAGAATGTTATGGATACACATTAAAATGTCAACATTCTGTTATTGGAATGACGGAGTCGATTCAATATAATCTTTATATATTGTTGCTTTCATTGATAGCTGAAATATATTTATTCCTATAATTGGTACAATATTTTTTTGATAATTTCTGGCCTCTATTATTTTAATTGTTCCTTATTTAGAGTGCATGTGTAAAGTGGTATTTTCTGTTTTTGAGAAATTCTTCACTGTGATCATTATGGAAAAAAATAATTTTACGATACATTATATTTCAAGAGAGTCCCTGAAGAATTTCACTGTATTTTAGTGTACTTTAGTTGCCTTTACCACAATAGTATTATGTATTGGCACTGGTGTTTTGAAAATTTTCTAGAGATTTGTAATTTATATGTGCCTGTTGGATTTTAAACAGAAAAAGTCGAGCAGTAGACGTCGCGACAGCAGCGCGCCGTCCAGTCGGGAGAGGTGAATATATATTCTGACATAATTATTTATTTAAAGGTACGAAAAAATTATAAAGTTATCTTCTCGTTTCGTTAATACAAGAACTATTATTTTAACAGAAAAGTAAAAAACAGAGGATAAATTCTTCATCTTACGCCTATGTGAATCTAGCGAAATGGCTAAGCAACATACTTTGAGAACGGTGTAGAGTTTTTGGAGTTAGGCCTTCTAGAAGTAGGGCGTGTAGAGTTCGAAAGGCTTTACATGAGATCTGATAACTTTTTGAATTTTGATAGTGAATACTCTTGAATGAATGAATACTCTTTATTGCACTATTACAAAAAAAAAACAATAAACATAAAACAGGAACGCAAACACAAAAGGCGGCCTTATTGCTAAGGTTGCAATCTCCACCAGGCAACCTTTGGCTAAATGAAACGATACCATAAGAATAGTAGAAACAGCGGGCTGTGCATTGTAAAAACAAATAAATAAACGTAAATATAGGAAAATAAAATATAAAAAGTATATGGAAGCTATGAAATACAATACAATGTAATGAACATATAGAAAAGATCAGTCAGAGTCCAGCTTGAGGAAATAATCCTTAATTTTAATAGCAAAGGAGTCCCTCGTCCGTGCACGTTTAATATCTAAAGGTAAAGAGTTCCACAATTTAACAGCTCTTACATAGAATGACTTGGGCTACGAAATCAGTGGAGTGGGGTGGGATAACTAAGGATAGGTTATTAAATGAGTTAAAAGTGAAACGCTCCTTAAGATAGAGAGGAGTGTGTGGATGAAAGAGGATAGAACATTTTACATGAAAAAAGATTTTTGTGTATACCTACTGATAATAAAAATACCCACATTGATAACTAGGTTAAGTGCTTAAAAATTAAGAAGTATAATGATAAAATCAACATTCTATACTATTGGATTGATTTACCCACAATTCTTTTGGAGAGATTTTTACAGTTTTGAAGTATTAGTTTCAGTTGGCATCAAGTATTATTAAGTAGGTATAACATTGCACAATTCTTCAACGTTCATATTTCAGCGATAAAACTCATATTTCAATACATTAGATAAGTAAAGTAATCACTTTAATATTTCACGAAAAATCAATAAAATCCGTTGAAAATTACCAGCACTAAATGTTTGCGTATGCTTATAAAGAAACGCTTATAAAGTTAAGTTTTTAATCACGTTTATGTTATTGCTACACTCTCTATAATTTTATTTTTAGATCGAATTTTAAGTATTTCATAAATATTTTGTATGTGTTACATCATCATTTGCAATTAAAAACTTTTAGTTTGACATTCCTACTTTTAATTTTATTCATTAGTGTAATACATTTTATGTAAAGAGCGATTTAAAATACATATTTAAAGAGCCTTTTGCTAAAGAATTCAATATAAATATTATAATACATACATACATATATAATAATAGAACATATTCGAATTGAATACATGTGACTATAACAAAGTTAAATGTATCTCGTAAATAGCTCATTTACATCGGTACTGTTTAATAATATCCACTTGTTTAAACATAGTACAGCTAATTTATTCGATATCTGTCACAAGGACAACTTGGTGGCGCTGTTACTTTTATTTGACTAGTATTGCAAATATTTACATAAGCGCCATAACAATTTCAGTTCCCCTGCAAAGTACACAAAAGAGAAACCTCGTGAACGTCACAGCGAAAGCCGCGATGGTGATAGGAATCAATATAGAAAGAGAGATAGAGACCAGGAGGACAGGAGGAGATATGAGAAAGACGTAGCCCCTGTCAGGGTCAGCCGACCAGCTGAACCCAGAAAAAAACGACAAGAGAGAAGTCCCTCCAGGGAACATTACCATTCCTCTCCCGACAGACCGCGGCAAAGATCTCATATAACAAAAATTGAAAACAAAAAGCGGGAACCGTCTCGAGAATCTGAGAGGCAAGAGCAAAGTAAACGATCGAGGCGTGATCGACGGTCGTCACCAGAATCCGAACCTGAAGAACCTTCTAGAGCTCGATCCGATAAGAGAGACAAGAAACAGTATAATAGAGAAAAGAGCAACTCCCCTCCGCCTGAAAAGAGGCGTCGCAGAAGTCCTTCGGCTCAATACGAAAGAAGTGAAGGCACTTATTACAACAAGAAAGCAGTCATTGAGAAGGAAAACAGTAGAGCTCGCCGTGGCAGTTCGCCACGAGAAGTTAGAAGAAGAAGTCCATCACCAGAATATAGAAGAAGGAAAGAAGAGCCCAGGAGAGAAAAAGAAGACAAATATGAAAGAAATAATAGGAGCAGTCGTGATCGGCACGAAGAACGCAGGCAGAGGGACAGAGAAGATTCCGAGGAGGCGCCCAGGCAACGAAAATATAAAAGTCCCATAAAAGAGAGAGACGAACGCGCCATCTCGCCCGATTATAAAGAGCGATCTCCAGTGAATAAGAAATCGTATAAAAATAAGGAATCTCGTAGCGATGATAGGTATTATAAAAATTCAAGACCCGAAAGAAGATCTTCTTCCTCGGACTCTGAGCCACCACCGAAACCGCCACCTGAGAAAGTGCGCAAAAGCAAAGAAAAGTATTACAAGGACAGGAGTCTATCGCCACCACAGAGGGATAGAGAAAAAAGACGGAGCAGGTCTCCCGAATACAGACGGAAAGTGTCACCAAAAAGCAAGGTGGACAAATACAAATCAAAAGTGGTAGAGAACGACCGAGATCGAAGCCGATCTAAGAAAAGGTCACCTACGCCCGATCGGAAACGCAGTAGGCCGTCCCCGAGCAGATCTAGATCACCATCGCCCGCGAGGAAGATTTCAAAAAAAGAAAAACGAAAAGGCGACGTCCCTAACAGTTCAAAAGGGAAACGAGAATCGGAAAGGCGCTCCTCCTCGCCCGATAGAAAGAGCAAAGATGGCATAGAGCGCAACTACGGCAGGAGGCAATCTCAAAAGCCTAAATCGAGATCTCGTTCAGTTCAAAAGAGCCGGAGCACGTCTAGTTTGAGCTACTCGCCGGCGAGGCGGAGTCCCGAAAGATACCGCGACATTATAGAAAAACTGCCCGAAAAGGACAAGCGTAAATACATCAAGTCACCATCAGATTTGCAACCAAAGAAGAAGAAGAAGCATCCGGCCAATTATAAACCGAAGGCCGTTTGTATGAGGAGTTCTGGAAGCGAGAACGAGGATACGGAGGACGATTTCTTGGGTCTAGACGAGAGAGTGCGCCAAGAGGAATTGGATTTGAGGGAAATGAACACGTTGAAAGAGAAGTTGGCTAAAATGGCGAAAGCTTTGGAGAGGAAAAGAATCGAGGAGGTGAATGGTCCCTCGACGTCGCAACCGGCCCGAGAGGAACCTAAGCCCAAGGAGTTACCCAAGCCAAGGGAGGAACCCAAAGAGGAAACGCCGAAGGAAGAAAAGAGCCCAGTAGTTATAGAAATCAAAGAGAACTCTCCCCCTCCCGAGGAGATCAAAAAGAGTCCTAGTCCTAAAATGGTGAGTTTAAAACAAATATATGTTATTCTATTCTATTTATTTTAATTAAAACCATGTTCGAATCCTGGTTGAGACCGATTTCCATTATTTTTCTCTTCATAAAATCGAAGTGGCGTTTTATTTTGTTGAATATATTGTTTTACATTCTAATCGTGATAATCGATATCTAATAAATAATAGTCAATAAGTGGTTGAATTACATCACAAATTTAAATTGTCTAAAAACAATTAGTATATCATTGAGTCCACAAAGTAACATTGATTTTTCTCATAAATCGGATTTTTCAGTTACTTTAAGTGTATAATAATTTTTTAAAATTGTTCACGTCAAAATTAGATAATATTTTGTTCTATTTTACCATATTTAGTGCATCCGCCCGGATAGCGGAAAGCGCAGGTTTGAATCCTGTCTGACACCTAAACCGTTGGTATAAATATTTTTAAAGCTTTTATTTAACTTGCAATGTATGTAATTTGTTTAGATGGAATCTTGCAACTCAATTTTGAAGCTAATATCTTCATTCGATTGAGACGATTTTTTTATTATGACGACGTTATTAAAGTTTAATGATTATTGGTGTAGGTACAGGCGAAGAGCCCAAACGCCAGTATTAAGGGCGGCGAGGAGACAGCGCCGCCGCGTCGCCGCAGCTGGTCGTCGTCGCGGTCGCGGTCGCGCGGCAAGTCGTCCCGGTCGCGGTCGCGGTCGCAATCACGCGCGTCACGTGGCAAGTCGTCGCGCTCGCGATCACGATCACACTCGCGCACTTCGCGCTCGCGCTCGCGGTCATACTCGTCCTCCAGGTGAGTGTACTACTAGTACTATAATAATAATAATATTGTTTTTTTATTTCAGACTAAAGTCTCCATAGTTTTGTTTTATTAGTAACATTTTTCCTTAATCTATGTTAGTAATACATTTCCATTTAATTAAGCGAGGCGCATCGCTTTCGGATAATGGCATGGAATCCATCGGTCCTTGCCTCAGCGAACATGCCAGAAGCACTACTGCGACGCGGCAGCCCCATCAGCACCCGGAACGCGTTGTTGTACTGTACACGTAAAGCGTTGTAACCGCGAATGTAATGCGTACTGCATTACAGTCGCGGTCATACTCGTCCTCCAGTACTATACTAGTACTTGGTCATACTCTTCCTCCAAGTGAGTGTACTACTAGTACCAGGGCTTGTAACCGGTTTCGAAATTTTTTTTTTATGTTATAGGGGGCATACGAGCAGACGGCTCACCTGATGGTAAGTGATCACCGTCGCCCATGGACACTTGTAACACCAGGAGTATCACAAATGCGATGCCGGCCTTTAAGGAAGGAGTACGCTCTTTTTTTGAAGGTTCTTGGGTCGTATTGGTCCGGAAACACTGCTGGCGACAACATATTCCACAGTATTATCGGTACCGGTAAATAAAAGTCAATACCGGTTTTTAGTAAAGGTTTCGTTCGGAGCGCGTCCGAAATGAAAGCGGTACCACAAACCTTAATAAACCGGTTTAATCCAGAGCGACACGTGCACGCGTCGGCATCGCTTAAAGTTTGTTTTCTTTGAACTAATCAAGTCACAACTTGTTAATGCTCAGAGATTGATGCATTTATTGACACGTTTGGTAGTGCCTAGTGAGTCAAATTATTCATTTTGTAGTTGTGTACTGACACACTACTTCACTCAATCGCTCTGTAGTTGGAAAGAAATTGACATAAAATCATTATAAATTTGAATTGAAACGGCGAAGGCGATGCCGTCAGTAAGAGCGAAATGAAACCCTTTAAAAACCGCTAAATTGATTCAAAACCTATTTGATTTCGCTTTTTGGGAAAACCGGTTTTTTAAAGGTTAAGGTAGAGCCAATCCTAAATTAAACGCTCCTAATGTACTTGATACTGATTTAGGTTTGAAACTTAACCGGTAAACAAGCCCTGACTAGTACTGCATTACAGTCGCAATCATTATAGGCAATTACACTCGGTCGCTAGCCCGAATACGAGTGCCAATGGAATACCATTGGCACTCGTCGGGCAAACAACTAAGGGTAAATAAACGGAGTCGAGTACGCCAGTATTCGGGTAATTCTACCCGAATACTAGTGTACTCGACTCCGTTTTGTTTATCCGACACCGTTTTCCAGCTTTCCAGTAAATATTGCTTCAGGTTCCCGATTGAAGTAAATGTCTTTGATGCACCCAATGAGGTTCTAATATATATGCAGGTTATTCGCCAACATTATTGCATTTAAAAGTGACACAAGTAGTGCTGTCCTCTTTACTCTTTGCGACTACTTGCCATATCGATACGGAGGAGAATGGCCAAAAGCGAAATACGCCTTATATTATTTGTTCAAGCTGTCAACTTTGTTTTCCAGACGGTCTCGATCGAGCCGGTCCAGCTCGTATAGTAGTCGCAGCTCGTCGCGCTCATCCCGAAGCTCGTCGCGCTCCTCACGCTCGTCACGGTAAGCGAAACTATTGCTTACATATGAGGAGCTGGCTAGCAAAAATGTACAATTCCATAAAATTAAATTTAGCAAAAGCATATCTACAGTTAGCAGTTTTCGCGTGGTTTTCAATTTATTAATTTTGTAATCTTAACACTGTTTTAGGCGTTTTGATTGAAGATGAGTACAGATTCAAATTCAGCGGGCCCGAAACCTGTATCGGACTGTAAAAAACAGTATTTTGACCAGATGCGTTATTATACCGTTTTGTTCGCCGGCTCCTCATGTTGTAGTAACGATAACATTTGACGGCCGCTGGGGGTTTTCGATTCGACCATTTTATATCCAAGAATGTAGCAAAATGTACTGGTACCTACCGCCTTATTCCAAAACGCCTACTAAATTTAGGCTTGGTTTAAACTTAATGTTGTCTCTTGAGTTCTTTTTAGCAAACAAAAGTAACAGCATCAGTTTTGGTTCAGGTTTAACTCCAGTTTTGTAATAAGTTTTTTTTGATGTATTTGACCTGTTTTCTCAGGAAGCTTCGTATTTCGTGACGAGGTTTCCGTTAAATATTCGATCGGCTCTAAATAGCAGCGGTACTGTTCATACAAAATTGTTGTTATTATGGAGATTTCATTTCAGACTAGAGTAGAGTGGTGGAAACTTCAAAAATTCGGTTTAGGAAGATTTACGTTGCCAGTTGGCGCCAATGTGACAGGAGGCCTTTAGTATAAGTTTGTTTTAATTGATCTATTTCAGGAAACCCTCATTATAATTATTTACCAAAAAAAAAATAACAAATTTATCAATCAAAACGCTAAATAACGATGACCTCCGTGGCCGAGTGGTTTGTACGCCGGGTTTCATGGCTGTCGCCGACTCGAGAGGTCCCGGGTTCGAATCCCGGTGGGGGCAGATGTTTGTGTGATGAATACGAGCATTTGTACTCCAGTCATGGATGTTTAATATGTATTTATATAAATATACTTATATATGTACAGTATATGTATTCTATCCGTTACCCTAGCATCCCATAACACAGGCCTTATAGTGCTTACTTAGGGGCTAGGCTAATTGGTGTGAGTGTTGGAAATATTTATTATTATTATTATTAAATAAGAAAAAGCGAACCGAAAACCCCCAACCGGCCCGCAGGCCCGCCGACGACGAGATTAATCGAAGTTTTCTTTTTTCCAATCGCCCCTCTTACCGCTAATGAACCGAACAAACCGTAATGCATGCATGACGATGCCACGATCCATCCGCTGGTACTACATAAACCGCACAGTACAATGACGGGCGTGTACGACGATTACCGTAGATCGAGCCCGTCGCGGCCGCGGACGAGATCTCGCTCGCCGTCAATACCGCGCCGCGCCGGCTCGCCCAGTTTCCTGGACCGAAGGCGCATCACCAGGTACCAGCCGTGTACCCAAAATGTGTTTTCATAGCCAAAATATATTGTACACATACACATCACACAGAAAAACACAATAATAGTATTCATACCTAATATTTATATTTTATAGAATATATACACACATTACACAGACAAACGCATGAAACGCACTACAGTCATACTCATACCATTCATTACACAGACAAACTCATAAAACGCACTACAGTCATACTCATACCACACATTACACAGACAAACTCATAAAACGCACTACAGTCATACTTATACCATTCATTACACAGACAAACACATAGAACATACATCAGTCATACGCATACCACACATTACGCAGACAAACATATAAAACGCACTACAGTAATACTCATACCACACATTACACAGACAAACTTATAAAACGCACTACAGTCATACTCACCACACATTACACAGACAAACTTATAAAACGCACTACAGTCATACTCATACCAATCATTACAGAGACAAACACATAGAACATACATCAGTCATACGCATACCACACATTACGCAGACAAACATATAAAACGCACTACAGTAATACTCATGCCACACATTACATAAAGAAACTCATAAAACGCCTGAAAACCTATTTGATGCGTATCGAGATCGAGTTCAACTATTCAAACCCGCTCTGACAGCCCACACACGTACCTATAGTCGACCATATAAAGACACGATACATATTATATTCACAACACAAACACTAATAAAAACGCACATCAGTCATACACATACATAGGAAGATAATTTTTTACTTACACTCATCACTTAAGCATATTCAGCACCAACTACACAGTTTAAAATTTTGTAAACTACACAGTGTGTTTTATATGAAAGTTGAAGCCTTACTCGAGTTTATTTTATTGTTTTGTTAAGTTGCAGTAGATTTATTTTTGTTGTAATAAGCTAAATCTATGTGTATTTGCATGTTTAGCTGTGTTTAATGTGTCTTGCAATTTATTTCTAATTTAATTATTTTTTCTTTACGCTCTTGCTAGACAAAAATTAATTCCAAAACTGCTGAATAATAACAGTGCATTTTGCCAGGAGTGTCAATGGCAGATGAATAATTAAAATATATCTGTTTGGCAACCTAAAAAAAAGTTATGACTGGCAACATTACACGATGTCATTTCCTGTGTAGATGTATAACGTAACGTACCGTATGGGCGTTATACACATACATACACTCACACGAATACACCTTATATTTTTTGTGACGAAATTTCTAATGGACGGCTTCTACGATCTTAATTAATAATAAATTATAAGTATTTCGTTTTCTGAAACTTTAAACCTCAATTCAGCTCAATCAATAAACACCATATTATTTAACAAAGAAAAAAAATATTATAACCATTTATTCAATACTCTCATAATATTTATTGGGAATGGTATGTATCCTAATACGTTCACACACACACACACACACACACACACACACACACACACACACACACACACACACACACACACACACACACACACACTTCATACAGTGCCAGTGCTTTTAGCTGACTTTTGGGTTCTAACGACACGTTTGGGTTTTTCAATAATAACGCTTCTTATATACCGGATGAAAACTAAATACAGCAGCAACATATCAAGTTATCAAGCGAGACAACTCGAAGGCAGTTGGAGAAAAGAGACATTTCATATTCGTGTGGGACTTGGGCTAGGTCTTGTACAGAATATACAAAGGATATCAATGACGTAGTCGACTCCAATCGTTAAAAATTTCATATTTAGCTCGTATTTTTCGGTACAGAGAATTTTAAAACCAATTACGAAGTTGCAAAATCCGTAAGGGCGAACATAATTTTCAACGTCATTTTGACTTATGTATATCATCCGGTATAGATTCCGTGTGGTGTGATTCCTCCCTTCACCTTTGTGCTATGTATTGCAATTCTCCCGGGTTCAAATAGGATAAAAACAAAATACCGTGTCTCTCCCTCGCCTTGAATTAAATCATTTAAAAATATAATCTTGACTTTGATATTCTATTCACGGAATAAAGTTAGTTTAGTGCTTTGTTTATCACTTAATACGCTTACAAAAGACACGGGTGGAAAACAGCGTCACGCGAGAAAGGGAGCTGTCATTGGCCGTAATAACTACAGCAATACAATCCGGCTATCCGACCAATGACAGAAAAGCTTCGCGTTCGTCGTTTCTATCTTTTTTCCGTGAACCTAGTATATTATATAAAACTTATACTCTTTGACAGATAGACAACCCACTTTTGGGCTAGCCTCACACAGTCTGAATCAGAATCTGAATCCTTAATATGAATTCATGATGTGAATTCTGGGGTAATTTGACTCAAGTCTTATAAATTCCATTTGATCAGTTGTCTTGCGAACGTCTCTTAGTAAATATAGTTTAAAGGGTCAACCATACATCAGAGATTATATCTACTGACAAATTCGCTATCTGTTTCCGTTTGTGTATACTTGTGTATACTATCTTGGGTTTTTGTATTTTTTTCATATTATGAAACCATAATTCGTTTGAATTCATAACGCTTGTCAGTTTCATTCTGTAAGATCAATGTGACACATTCATAATCGGAAATCAGAACGTGTGAGGATATTAGTGAAATTTTATGCAATTTCATGTGCTCTGGATTAATAATATGAATTCATATTAAGAATCTAGATTATGAATCCAAATTTTGATAAAGTCTGTGTTATGTCAAAGAGAATAAAAAGTTCTATACATCAAAGTTGACTGTTCTTTAGGAAAGGCGCTGTCGATGGGTCTTAACATGGGCACCTTCATACAAAACAAAAGAATTTCAGAACGCCCGATAACTTGCTGTATAAATATCGTTTTACCAGTGTGCTAGGTGTATTTAACACGTGTGTCGCTTTTTTACACAGGTTTTTTAATGCTTTTCACTATTTTATTTTGCCGACATGCTATAACACAGAACGTAATAATATGTGTAATTAGGAAACTTAGAAGCTATCAGTACTCAGAACCCCAAACACGAAAACTAACGAGAATGTATTCGTGCCGTCATGTCAAATTTTCTATGGAAAAATATAGTTTGCTCTTACATCCGGTAGGAGCGCTGTTTAGATTCCATAGAAACTTTGACGACGCGATGCGACTACAGTAGGTAATCTTAACACGAATCAATATCGAATTAGAATAGTTTGCGAGTCTGAAATGTCATTGTTAAATTTGTACTGATTTTTAGTTCTCGTTACTTCTGTTGTGACGCTGCTGTTCAAGTTTCCATACAAAATTTGGCAATGTCATTGCGCATTCACAAACTATTCGTATTGGATATTGGTTCGTGCTAAGGGTACGGGTCTGGCAAAGTTCGTACTTGGGGTAAAGTTGTTTTTTTAAATTATTTTTACGGTACTTATATCAAGTTCTGTGGCTATGGCTTGTCTCATATATTGTAGTTACGCCCCTCTTTTACTTTTTATTTTTTTTCTTTTATAGAAAACGGAAATATAGCACGACTTCCGAAGACTCGAGTAGTAGCTCCGATTAGTGTGCAGTGAATGTGCTAGTGTGGAATTCATTTTATTTAAGCTTAAGATATATGTATTCAAATATTATAATTATTTAGTAAGAATCCATTATTCTAATATAAAGCCAGAATTCAGTATATATGTTTCATTTAATCGCCATTGGTACCACAGACAGACTAATAAATTACTTTGTGTAAATTTAAATGGGAAAATTCATTGGCTGTGATGTTTAATAACTCTTCTATATATAAACCATACTGTTATTTAAATAAGTGTGATTTTATTAACCTGCTTGCCTAACATGGGTGTGCTATTTGTTTTATCTACTCACAGTTTAATATAAGTTAGTCTATGGATAAACAATTTTCATTAATGTTGATGTTTTTCCTCCCTAGCGCACCCATAATAGATCTAACATATTCAACGAATAAATACAAGTATAGAAGAAGATGAAACGGCTCTGAAGTGTTCAAATATCGGCAATTATCCTATTTATGTTTAATGAGCGCCAGCTAGTAGGCATTGTGCTATATACATACGTGGACATTTTATCGCAAGTGTGTTTTCTGTTTCGATTATATTTAGTTTGTTTTATCACATTAAAGTTTATTATAAATCTTTAGTTGTTTTTTTTTTTCAAATTGCATGGTATAGTGTGCTTCGTAGATTTTTTATCATTTCCCAGTTTATATTGCATTTTGTTATAAACGACTGTTGCGAGGTAAGTGTTTATATTAGTTATACCTACATAATAGATTTTCATATGACAAAGTTAATTTTTTATCAAGAGAACATTGCTAACATGACTAATAACTAATTTCCATTTAATTGAAAAAAGCAACATTTTCATTTGTCATCCGATTAGAATTTGAGATGATTTGATCGCATATAAGTAGTGTTAGACGAAATGCCTTTGTTTTGGAGCATGCGCGTCGCTAACTCACGTAACAATGTTTACTAACACTAACAGTGCTCGGAAGCGGCCCATTCCGTATCGACGACAGACGCCCTCCACTGGCTCCTCGCCGAGCTACAGCAGCCGATCTTCGCAACGAAGTTGGACCCACTCGCCGGTACCAGACAAAGAATAGTCACTCACACTAGTGGCACTTCTGTTCGTGTTAAACATAATCTAGTCAAAAGACGAATTATCGTCACAGGCCCAAGTACGAACTTTGACAGATCAGTTTGTTCTCAGGTCCGATAGGGGGGGGCGCTGTTTTGTTTCTTATTGTAAACACCATATCGGATACGCCATAGTTCGTGCTTAAGGTACAGATCTCGTGTAACAAAAATTACCCTAGTCAAACCACGTGATAGGTATTTGAAAATTAATAAGGAAATGAGCGGCACCACTCAAGACCAATTTTATTTTCAAGTGAAAACCCTTTGTAGATAATTTAAAATTTAGTAAAGAAGCGCTTTTTGCTTTGAGAGAAAATTTATGCATACAAATTATGTGGCCCATTTGGAACATTCCTTTTTTTTCAATTCAAAAAAAGACAACGATTGTGTACTTTTAAAGCCTTTACATGGGCTTAATGAAAAACAATGGTTAGTGTGCAGGAATTATCGTGAAAATAATTATTAGTCTTACATTGAAGTTACCTGTGTTATAAATAAGTTAATACTCACGCAATCAACTATTTATATTGTTGTAATTTATTCGCATACGTTTAATAGCATTAGTGTTAAGTAAATTCAATAAATTATTATATATTTGAGATACTTTTACCATATTTTTTTGTTAATTAAAGTTGTACTGGCAGATTACTGTCAAGAAAAGTGTTACGATTGTGGGGTCGACTACATAATACTGACGTAATGGAGAACAACCATTTTGGTACTGATTTTGTCCAAACATATTTTTTTGATATTATGTTTAGCATTAAAATGTGAGTAATATATGATAAAAAGTATTTTTTTAGCTAGTGGTGTAACCCAAAAAATATTTTAAAATCTTAAACGTATAAAGGAACGTAGTTTGTTTTTATATTCAATCAATTCAACTAATCATGAGGTTAATGTTTTCTCGAAGTACTTTTTAAATTGCTCCAATTATAAATGTTTTTAACATTAAGAAATTGTAAGAAAAAAGTCACGTATAAATTTAATATTTTTGACTGCTATGTCTTTGTTAGTTGTTCCAAATTTGTTATTTTTTATTTCAAATTAAATTCAAATTGAGATATCTCATTAATCCTACTAGCTATCGAATTCAATTTATATTCAAAGACATTTAACAGGCAGTAACATTAACAATAAGCTTTACAATGGTATATATTTTGCTCTGTACAAAGAATTTGATATCTATACCAACCAACCCCCCATACAAAGTGGTTGTTCTCCTTTGCTAGATAAACATAACAAGGGCCAAATTTTTTTTTCTTTGTTGCGAAATGTACTATCAACAGAATTTGAAAATGATGAAGCTAATTTTGTAATCTAGTCAAATGGTACAAACGAGTCATTTTCGTTAGATAAACTATTATAAGTGTTTTTTTTTCAACTAATATGAAAATAACTTAGTTTTGTTTTTTTTTACTATTTCAAAAACTACTTATTTTCTTATTGAAGTGCAATATATTTATTGAAATACAATTTATAAAATAACTATTTATTTTAATTTATTGCGTATGTTAATATTTCTAGTCATTTACACTAAATTAATTTATTCCCATCACTATTTTTTTCATAGTAGGCTAATGTTAATGTATCGGATAGGATACATTTTGTAGTTATAATATAATAGACAACTGATGTTAATACGAAATAATATGTAATATTAACTTATTTCAGAGCAATAATTGAAAATTGTGAATGACGTTATTAAATGATACTCAAATTAACAGTTTTAACAAGTTTTAATATAAAAATAATAATAATTGTCTTAACTTAAGCATGCAGACCGAAGAATTGATTTTGCTGATTTGAGCATAGGTAAATATAGATATATTAGATTATTCCACTAAATACTTTATAGAAAAAATACTTAAAATATTTCATTCGCTGTTGTCGAAATATTAAAGTACATAAAAACACTGTGGAACTTTACTTTTAAAAATGCCATACCCTGGAATCTTGTATGTAATACGCTAAATATTTACAATAAATCTATTGATATATATATACTTGGTCGATGTAATAAATCACAAACACCTACCACAGTCTTATAATTTGTGTTATCCACCACATTGATCTCCATAGAATTGTAACCAGCACCACAACACCAACAGGTATAAATTATTGCTTCTTTTGATTTTGACGTCTTTTATTGGCTAAGAATATCGCCCAGCCTAAACCGACGAAGTTCATGAAGAGAACTCGCAACTGAAAAGAATACAGAAATTAATATCAATAAGGTCCATGGTCTTTATACCTAGCTACCTGCATCATAGTATGATTGCGATGTTTGGAAAAGAAAGATCAACGTGTGTTCAGTATAATTGAGGGACGTCTATGAAATTGAAATGATGAGTAATTTCCAAAGAGAGGCTTCGAAAGAATACATTTTATCGTCAAAATGGCTGAATGAAGTTGGTTGGCGCGGCGCGCCTAGTGTTGCGTCCGTACGTCGTCTTTTCTATAATGCTTTAAAAAGTCGCGACAATGTGCTTCGCGTCTAAGCTGACCCAAGATCGAGCTTTCAGACCCAAGCACGAAATTTTTGACACCTCCGTAATTGTTTCTATGAAAACAGCAGTGCCCCTACAGGATGTAAGAACAAACTGGCTCTATCCATACAAAAGTTTACGATTACGTTTCGATTATGGATGTGTCAAAACTCGTGCTTATGCCTTTGTTGAAAAAATTTAATAGGCCCATGTCCAGAAAAGGACACAAGGTGACTGAAGTGACGAAAGACGATTATAGTTTGAATTACACATCTTTCTTTGTATTCTGAAATTATTATCCTCGTATCTAGTTACTAACACCATAATATACTTAAAAAGTGTAAAAGATTAAATAATGTTTATTATGCAATATAATTATGATAAAATAATGTAAACGAGTAACTAGGTAATTATATTGCTCTATGCTTAACATATGCGTAAGAATTCGATAAACTTAGTGTTCTGTAATATCACATGATAAAGAATGTGGAAGTGATAAGAATTAATGCCTATATTTATTTATAACGTAACAATTAACTCTGAAAGCGAAAGATAAATAGAATGCAATGACTGCCTTACTTTTGATGCTAAGGCATGAAACTGGCTCTGCTGCGGAACGGCATGGAACACAGAAAGCCTGTGTTATGTGGAATGGAAGCTAATTTTGCAACGAAATTGTTCATAGCATAACAAACTTTTTATGTTAATTCAATTGAACTTTTAATAGCCAAAATATTATCGCTCGTCTTCTGTGGAATCCCCGTGCATTATCGAGAATTCCCGAATGAAGTGAGGAGTCGGTCGGTAGCGGTAGTGCAGTCTCAAGATTCTACGAAACAGGGTGTAGATTCAAGACCGTTTCGTAGAGTCTGCTGAACAACCCTCAAGGTGCAGTCGCAAGAATTCTCGAGCATTCCCGGGAATTCTCCCGTAACCAAGCAAAATTGACGCTTCCGTTCCATTTCATTCCACGGCAATATAAATTGAGCCTAATGTTATAATAACAAACGAAAAATATAGGTTACTTACCATTGGCGGAACAAACGCTAAATTTATTATTTGGAATAGCGTTAACCACTGCCAATTCGCCTTGAGTACAGGTACGAAGAGAGCGGAGAGTTGCTTCGTTGCGGCTGCGTGGTTTTTACCTTCAAACCTGGCCAATGTATAAAGAGAGAAAGCTTGCATGAAAGGAGCAAACACTAATCTCTCGAATATCAATTTCTTTGCCAACGGGAATGCTACTACCTCCTCTGGGAATAACCGTTCTAAAAAGTCGTAGAAATAGTGCGGTATGGATCCGCCGAACAGTAATCTGAAAATTAAGACAAATAAGACCATTTAAAACAGCTTGAAAGCAAAGTCTCTTTAAGAGCGGATTGTGCTAAGAGAGCGGTCACGTATTGACAAATACCGTGTGATAGGGACAACGGTAGTTAACGCTGAAAATTGCGTATAAAAATTAAATTCTAGGTTCGGCTCTCGACGTTTTTCTCCTCGAAAATTAGTTTAATTTAAAATGAATTTTACCCATAGAATAATTAGTAGTTATACTAGGCCTCTACGTTTTGTTTTTTTTTTGTAAATGCTTATTGAATCTCCACACTAGGCGTCTTTAGTGGTGATAAAAAATAGATTATTTTTGGCATTTTTAAGGGTTTAGTTTCTTTGAATAACAAGTTATCCAAAAAAGGAAAGCGTTGGCGCATAGAATGAGTAAAATTATATTTTATGTACGAAAATCGTTTCTTTAGTGAAAAAATCAAGGAGGAATCAGCCGAGAGCGTTTGTATGGAAAAAACATTGCCCGCCTCCCCTCTTAACTATTGTTATAAAATAATATGGAATTCCAACTGCGCTAAAAGTGGTTCCAAACTGTGAACAAATCAGGAGGGGCGAAAAAACTGCGACCATCACGCCGATCATGGGATTGGTTAAGATTTCCTTTAAACATTATCTTACTTAACGGATGAATAATCGAATTCATTTCATAAAGTATTTTGTTTTGTCTGTGTGCGTGTCGCGTTAGTATTGAAGTTTAGTTGTATGAGTTTGGAACCATCTTTTAGCGACCTTTGTTAGAGAGTACCTAATGCTTTCATATTATAATTTATTTATTTTTAAATTTAAACTCGTAATCTAGTCAGGAGAATTCATCAATATATGAAATACTTACCCATAGAAACCAAATGCTAGTACTGGATCAAGCCTGAATGAATCTCCAGCCATTAATTGAGAAGCGATGCTTGCCGTTGTGCCGAGTGCGCAGCTAAAAGGTATAGGGCGATTAAAAAACGTAAAAATACGTAAGAATTCGATATGTAAGCAGCATCCCCCACAAAATAAGTAGGTACTTATGTTAAAGATTTGCGTCGTACTTCATACCCAATTTTACTTTTTCAATCTTTTAACCTTACTAATTGCTAACTGTAGTGTTGGTTCGTAATTAGTATTATTATTATTATTTAGCATTTATTTTCGCTCAGATATCTGTTAGTTATTATTGAAGTTATACTTCTTTAGGCGCGTTATGAAAAAATGATGAGAGTGAAATTTTAAGATGCGCGCGCATCACTGTAACACAAAATTTTAACAGCATGAAGTTGGTCGCTTTAGCGACCTACTTCATGCGTTACTTTTGTGTTTACCGCACATTAAGAAAATCTACCAACAAAATAGAAATAGAATCTCTATTTAGTGGGTGCTAACGACTGCATTGTGAAGGCCTATCAAAAGTATTTATTAATCTGGAACAACGGAACCAAAGCGCGATTCAGGAGACTACAGCGCCATCTCTTGACCATTGGTGTAGTAGAACCAAAAACCACATCTTTATTTTTTGTAATAATGTAACAGTTATAGGTATTCATATTTATAATATTTATCCACATGTTTCTAGTTTGTATATTCAGAATACGTGTTTGAGTTTCATACAAGTGCAAATCACATATGTTCTAATAAATTATATGCAGTAGCGATTTTAATTGAATATTTTGATTATTTATTTATTTTTTCAAATTAAAACTGAACTTTATTGACTGTGTCCTTTTCCAGACTTTTTATTAATTTATTGTAATTAATTATTTGCATGCAATTAAAAACTAATTTTAAACGATGCCAAAGAAGGATAACTTCTCACGCGCCTACATAAGTACACGCACCCATTTTTTTTTAATTAGGTGCATATCTTTTTATCTTTTCCGTAAACCTGTTTAAAAATGAAGTCGGCAATCTATTTAAAATTGATCAGAAGGCTAAAAAAAGGTTATAACTAAAGTACTAAAAATGTTAAGGTCAGTGGTCATTTAAGTTAGTTTAATGTGCACTGTCAATCCGAGATTTCGTAAAATACTGCAATAAATTTGTAAATATGAAAACAACTTCCATTCCAAAGGCAATGATGTTTACATTTAGAACTTATAGACCTATGACCTTCGATGTGATATTGTGATGTTTCGACAAACAGTTGTCGTTGCGTATTTTGGCGATAGTTTTGGAGGCATTCATCTATTTTTTTAAACAAATTTTATAAGTACTCAATCAGATAACTGTAATAGTAACCATTTTATTTCATTATATATTCCTAGTTCTAATCTATAAACAACAAGTTAACTTTGACGTAGATTATACCTACCTACCTATTTTAGTGTTAATATTTTCACAAATTCATTTTAAGTAAAAAATTTGGCTATATAGGTAACCCTTTCTTATCAATAATAAATATTATTCAATAAATAGATAGAATCTAGATTCTTATCTGTCACATTTTGCACTTTGAACGTCGATAATACTTTGATTAATGGTAATTAGACAGAAAAGAGGAAATTAAATGAGATCTATTTAACTAACTTATTTAAAGTTTTTATTTTCCATTTCATTTGCAAAAAAATATTTACACAGATACTTTAAAATTAGTTAAAAGTATTTACTTACTGGAAGTATAATTAATCAGCTGCAGTGTTTACTAAATCAGATTATAATTTAATTACATAAAGGGAAACAGAATTATGTCAATAATAAGTCTAAATGAAAACAATGCTTATGAAATAACACTGTTAATAAAACAAATCATGTATTGACAAAACAACAAATGTACAATAGGTACTCACCTTGTAAGGGATTTGGTCCGAACAGGATACAAATACAAATTTTGCAAATAAGATGTTAGTAACGACATGATAGGTTTAGACAAAGCCATTTTAACTAATTTGTTTAAAGCAATACTATAACGTTTATGCAATGTACAACATAAAGGTAGAAGGCCAACTGATGTAGATTTGTTTATCAATGATGTATGACAGTTGGGTTATCTACTGATGTTTACACATTTAAATTAAACATAACCACCCTTTACTAATACACTTTCACAAAAGCTGCTTCAATATTAGGATTTTTGATCAGTAAGATCAGATAAGTTATTTTCAGAGTAATTAATACACTAAATCTTAGCTTTTATTTCAATAAAAGTATAACCTATGAAACATTTCTGCCTTATACTAGCGCCACTGACATTTAATATCATCATCTTTAAAAGATACAGAAAAAGTAGTGAGGTTATAAAAGTGTTGGAGTTAAAAAAATATTTCAGTCATCAATAAACTAAATATATTACTGTATTATTATTTAACTATTTCTAATAAAAATGCCAAAATATATTAAAATAAACTCATTCAATAAATGTACTGCATGCACTTAGATACAAAAAATTTGATAAAATAAAAAAAAACAGAAAATAATTTGTAGTTGTTATTATTATGCCAATGTGCAGTGCAGAATTTTATTTAAATTTAACTTTATACAATTAAAGCACATAATAGGTACTGTAGCACGTAATAATATGTGATTGAACAAGTATATTATTTTATACAATAAAACTTTTAAGTATATAAATATGTTATCGATCTAAGTAGCACTGTACTAACTTTCACCATATAATTTATCTAATTGCCTTTGTAAATTATGAGATGTGACTGCAGGTGTATCTGGCAACCCGATGTTAGTATGTTTTACAAGAGGAGTGTTCAAAAAATTCATTTGTTCTTTCATTTTCATGTACATGTTTAAAGCTCGGCTCTCATTGTCTTTATTAGGAGTTTGTATATTTGGCATGGATTTGTGAAATACTTTTTTTCTTAAACATAGGTTCTTTTTAGGTATTTTGTATGATGGAGATTTTAAAGGGGATTTAATAACAGAACACGGTTTCCCTAGTATCGGACTCTTTTCAGGACTTTTTCTTTCTTCCTTTACCACTTTAGGAGTCACATTATCTTTGTTCACTAATGTTTCATCATGCTCATTGCCAAGAAGCTGTTGAACATTTTTCTTATCAGCAATTAATTTTCTCACATACTGCAAAGATTTCAATTGTGATTTTTTTATATTACTTAATATCTGAAAACCATTGTCAATCATTTTGATGGCTTGTTCTGTTTGCTTTTCCACTTCTAATAAATCTTCTAGTTCTGTGTTACTTTTCTCTGAATTTCTGACTTTAACTTTATTGAGTAAATCACATAACGATACAATGACACTTTCATCTCTTCCATTAGTGCCTTTGTCTGACAATGGTTTATCAAAACACATAATAGTGTTATCATTATATAAAGCTGAACTTTCAAGTTCACTGGAGTTGTTAAAATATTCTTGAACATTTCTGTACTCCTTGAAAGGTGTTGAAACCGGTGGTGTAACCTCAGCGATGTTTTCCAATGTTTGTTCTTCTGTTATGGCCTTAACTTTCTCTTCTATATCGTGAATTTCTTTTTCGTTTTGTAGAAAACTTGCATCACAGCTTGACTTCCAGGACTCATTTGATAAAGGAGTATCTGGCACAGAAGGTATAATAAGTTGGTGCTTGATGATTTTTGGGGGCACAAATGATTTTCTACCCAAATTTGCATGGTTGGATATATTCTCTTTATTGGCGATTGTCATTCTGTTTTGTTTAGGGTTCTTTACAACATTTGGTGTTTCAGGTATGTTGCATACTCCACTGATCCTTACAACATTACGTGCTGAAAGTATACCAATTTGACTTAATGCTTAATTTTATTAAACCAATACAAAAATAGTTTTAATATAGGATTCACCTGACACTAAAATATATAAAATAAAATATACATATATCTCACCTTGAAGTAGGGATTTTTTGGCTCGTAACTCTGGTTTAGGAAACTTGGGAGTCTCAGGATTAGGTGGATTTATTGTAACTCTAGAGTTTACAGGAACCTACAAAATAAGCAATCTTTATTATATGTAAAATAGAAGCAAAATTTACAAGGAAAATTCACAAAGAGAAAGCAAATAACAAATCAAAACTTACTTTTGCTTTGGGTTGAAAATTCAGCACTTTTCTTACAGGATTATTTTTCAAATTACCATTGGCAGTATGGCTTATTTTTTTGTCGATTTTCACAGAAGAGTTCCAAGTTTTCTTTTTATTTGATGGTAAATTTTGTGCAAACTTATGTGGTGACTGCATTTTCAAAGCTGAAAATTATAAACTGATGAATGACACCCAATAAATACAATGTATCCCTTCAAAAAAAAGTTTATGCTCAGTTATAATTTTAATTTTTAAGCATGTTACTGATTGAGGTTTAAATCTAAAGAAACTATTACTAGAAAAAAATCCATGAGGACCAGGATGCAGACAGAACTCGAACCTGCACCCTTCGCTATCTATAACCCACAATTTCAAATGAATACCTTTACAGGTAATAAACATTTGGAAGAAGAAATAGCAATTATAGATATAATTTTTATTTTTTAAGCATGTTACTACTTGATATTTAAATCTTACATGCCGCTCAAGGGCCTGGAGCCCTGGGTCATTTACGATTTATAATAAATGTAGGATGCTAACAAATGCCTTCATATGGCTTTTGCTGCCCTTTGCAACTCTTATAGGCGCCCCTCGCAGCCTGCCTGCCCAGGCCAAGGCTTAGGGTAAATACGCCCGTTGCTTATGATCTTACGCGAGTCGCGGCTTATAAAAGAATACCTAGGTTGCTAGACTATTTAAAAAAAAGGGTAAAGTAAAGCGTATTTCGGGGTTGTTTACATTAATAGAGTAAGTCACCTTGAATTTCAGCTCTCATTTCTGCTATCGTTAGTGGCTTTAGTACTTTCTCTGTAGTTCTAGTTTGGGCCATTGTTGGTCGGGGCTGTTTTTTTGCAGTCGTTTGTATAGTTTGCATAGCATCTTTTGAAAGTATTCCTGTAAGAAATTAACTGTTACAGTAACGAGGACACTTACTTACATGCTTAAGAGTTTCTAGAAAGCAGCTACTAACTAAAAAGTGCTAAAGAGGAGAGCATTATTAGGTACATTATTTTCTCAAGGAAGCGTCGACTTACCGGGTCTAAGACCAGGCAAAAGTTCTGCAATAGTTTTCGCTTTCATAGATTTTGTACAGTCCATTATAATAGAAATAGTCTTGAAGTTGATATAAAAGGTTTCAGATAAAGTAAAAAGGCAATATAATCTAAAATTAACTTCAGAACACTTTTGAAAACATTCAAAATTTCAACATGTCAACTGACACAAATGCCAAACCTAGTGTTGCCAGATGAAGAAAATAAAGGCGCTGTAAGGTGGGTACAATAAAGCCAGAAGTATATTTGTCTGACGTATTGTGTTGTGCCGCGTCCGTCATGCTTGCGTGCACCACATCAAGTTCAAGGTTGTTACATCAAATCAATCAAATTTTTTCATCATAACAGAGATTCTGTTTTACAATTACAATGTTGTGGCTCCTCTTTTTGTAATGAACTGGTGCCTGAAATAAGTTTCAGCAATAGAAACCTGTGCTACAGGTCACCAGGCCCAATCACAGATAGCAAGACTTCCACGGATAGTACAATACCTTCGGACAGTTGAAATTCAACATCAATGAATAGAGGAAAAGGAATAATAACAATAAGCAAAGAAATGCTATATTACCCTAATAAGGAGAAAAGAAAGCTATTCTATCTAATAGGTAGCTACTAAAAATATAGTAAAAAAATATCCTGTTTCTAAAAATAATAACCAATAGCTGCGTGTATGTGTGTGATAGTGAGTTTTTGTGTGACTTTGTTCGTTATGTGTATGTAATATAATAAATATAAATAATATTATATTTCCAACACTCACATCAATTAGCCTAGCCCCAAAGTGAGCAATGTAAGGCTTGTGTTATGGGATGCTAGGGTAACGGATAGAATACATATACAGTGGTGTCGATTCTGGCACGATTCTCTAAATCTAAACTTAAATTTGACAACAGTGTATCCTTGTCATTCTCTATACAGAATGAAAAGGACAGACTGATGTTAAATTTAGTTTTAAGTTTAGAGAATCACGCTGGAATCGACACCAGTACGTATATAATTATATTTATATAGAAATACATAGGTAGCTTTCCAATTACAGCATTATAGCGCATTATACGGCATAATGCTTAACGTTGAGTGTTTCAACTACGGCAACGCTTCGCACAATCGAGCACTCTCAAAAGTAATGCTTTCTTAGCATCAAATATGGAGGATGTGATTTATTCGGTTGTAGAGGAATGGGCCTAGAAACTGGAAGAAGTTTTGTGCAAAGGAGGTTTTCTGAGTAGGCAAAGAGCAGACATGAGTCTTGCGTCTCCTCTGTTCGGTTGTGTTTTTGCAGTACGGTTTTCAGAATGAATATATGTCGTACAGAGAGAATGTTCCAGACTTTATATAATTCTACAGTATGATAGCGATATCGGAGTCCTGCAGCCACTTTAAGCAATATGCGCTGAGATCTCTCCACCGCTAGTAGTTGTGTTTTTGCGGCCCTACTCCAAGAGGTGATGCAGTATTCCAAAAGAGAGTGGCACAACGCAAAATAAACGGTTTTAATAATTTTCCGCTCTGCAACACCTCTCACATTTCTAAAAATATAAGCCATCTGTCGAAGTCTTGATGCTAGAAGATGGAGATGATACTTGAAGGTGAGGGTTTGGTCTAGCAATACTCCCAGATATTTTATCAGTCGGTACGGTCCAAAGAGAGACAAGGACAAGAAATCATAGGAGACAGGGTGTTACACTCATGGAGAGTAATGTTATATTCTGTCTTAAAGGTGATGGCTGAAATCGTATTTTGCCTTAAAACTGGGAAATGTTTAGCCGAGCCTTGGCCTTTTGCTTTCTGCAGCATACATGTGGGTATTAATAGCTGATTTATTGTATTACTCTGAAATGTATATATATGTTGAAGAAGAAAATTAACGCATTATCTATCTATCTTTCTTCTGTTGATGGAAGTTGGTTAGCTTTTAAGGCAAAACTGACGTATTTAGTCTTGGAGACATTAAGTGTGAGAGCATTACATTTCAGCCGCTTTGTTACTGCATTTAGGCCTTTCTGTGCTAGTTCAAATGAACTGTCCCAAGAGTTCCCTTGAAAGAAAAGAGCAGTGTCATCAGCAAAAATATAGGTTCTGCCACCGGTGAGCTGAAGTTGACATAGGTCATTGATGTAAGTAAGCCATAAATAAGGTAGGACCGCGGATGCTTTGTAGATTTTTGTCATAAAAAACTGCACCAAAGTTAGTACATTTTATATATGCCTCAAGACGATAAAAGAACACAATGTTATACTTCCCATTTTAGCCGTTTTGGGTCAAGCAATTACAGCGCCACTAGTGGCCAAATTTTGCAGATTTCATGTTGTCCCTTGACTTGTCATTGACACTCATAGACAGCTGACAATACTGACATTGACAACTCTTGTTGTAATCAAATTCACGTACTTAGTTGCCGGGGCTGATAAAATTAAATTCCTTTTACTTAAAATGATTACTTATTTAGAAATTAAAGGCTTCGAAGAATTCGCTAAATATACTGAAAGTATAGACCCGAATGGAGCACCAGTTTTTTTCTTTTTTAGTGGATCCAAACTACCTGACGGTAATAGTTGGTGCCCGGATTGCGTGGAAGGTAAATTATATTTTATGTGCTTTAAGTGGATGAGGCACTGTAATGCAATGTACTTTACCTGGTTGCATTATTCTAAATTAAGTATTTAAAGTAGCTTCGCTTTTGGACATATTTCAACCTTCGGAAGACTAGTATTTATATTATTAAACTAAAAATAACAAACTATCTGTTTTGCTGCAATTTAGTAGGTTCAGGATATTTATCATTGCCATTGATGCATAACCATTTTGAATGTTCTTCTATATGTTTAAATTATTGTTTGATGCACATTATTGAATGATTAATACTAAGCATCAAGATTATTTTGAATACAATATGTATTCGCCTTTACAAAGTACATACTAATGAATTAAAGTGTATTTTGTTCATTATAAGAAGGTTATGTCGTCTCTATTTGTGTTTAAACAATGCAATAACTGCAATTGTGCTTGATGAAACTTTACTGTATATATATTATTAACTACCTTGGTAATGTGCCTCCAATTAAACCTAATGCAGGCCATACACGATAGGTTATGCAGTTCAAGGTAGCGTGCAGTTTTGCCTATACAGTGAAACTGTGCAGGCATGCATGAGCATGTGTGGAAGAAAACTATACAGTTATCCTTGCACACACGTTCACGCAAGGATAACTGTATAGTTTACTTCCACACACATTCATGCATAACCTATCGTTTATGGCCTGCATAACATCAAGCATGGTAGTGTACTACCTTCTTTAACTTCCTTTCTGATAAATATGTAGGTATATAGAAAATGATTTTTTTATTATTAAAAATATGACCATATACTATTAAAGTAAGTAATTAATTAATATAAATATCATCAGAAACATGTAAATGTAACTAATACAGTAATATAATAATATCCATTGCGTAACCACCGAAACGGGATATGATAAAGCGATATATCAGCATTAACTGTCAGACTACTGTCAAACTCCACTGTAGTCTGACAGTTCATGCCGATATGTTAAGATTATTCGCACAAAAAAGAATATGAAAAAATAAGTTAAATGTCAAATATGGTTACTATGGTGTTTGTTTATGTTAGTCAATGGCACATCAATGGCTTGCTATAATCTAGAATGGGCAAAAAGAAAGTGTCTGTTAACAATCTTAATGGTTATGAAGATTTTACAAATTTTATACAACAGCTACCAGAAAAAGGACCTAAAGTTTATTTCTTGTTTACTGGAAAGAAAAAAGAAAATGGTAGAAGTTGGTGTATTTACTGTCAATTAGGTAGCTAATTTATCTACTTATATCCATTCAAATGTGTTACCATGTCTACTAAAATCTCTATACTCGAAAAGTAAAGTTAATGAAAGACAAAACTAGAGAATTACTATTAGCCCAAGATCCCAGGGCCCCCTGTCCTTACTTATTGTTTGACAGACGAAAGACATGGTATTAATGGTCATAATAAAACATAAACCAATGATGACTCACTGTACACACTAATACCATACCTACTGTTGATATCTGGTCCATCATAAAATAAATAAGAACTGGAGGCCCTGGGATCATCATACCCTGTATGATCTTTATTTCCATAAAGGTTAATGCATATCTCAATAAAAGTGTTTTTTCAAGGAATTTAGATTCCTGTAGAGAGGGTGTAACAATGCTTTATAGGAGACCGTTCAAATTTGTATGGAGGGTGAATTTTTTTATAAGGATAGTGCACTTAATTGAGGATAGTGCACTTAAACATAGACTATGTTTTAAGATAATTATATTTTTAAGTTTTTAGACATTAAGTAGTTTTTAGCTTTTGTAATTTAAATATTTCTATGAAAATAACTAAATACATGTATTAAAATAAAACAGAGATAATAAAAAAAATAAAACTATCTGTTCATCTCACAATATAAAAAAGTTTTAGAATGAGTTTTCTTGTCATTGCTGAAAACCAACTACCACTTTTGAACCATCTCCTATATACTTGGTTCTTCAAGTTACCAATTTACTTCTTATATTGTAATTTGTTCTTTTATTGATTATGAATTTAGTATTTATTTTATAGCTGAACCAGTTGTCAAGGCATACTTAAATGAACTACAAAAGGAAGTAATATTTGCCTATGTTGATGTTGGGGACCGCGAATAGTGAGTATAACAATAAGTTTTTTATCTATTTTATCTGATTATCATTAGTATTTTTGGTGTTGCCTTATCAATGGTTCAGATTCTTTGTAAATCTTTGAAAGAATTAAGCAGTAATATTAATAATTTTGACAACTTGGCTATTTGATAGAGTTGCAATTATTGATTTATCAATCCAGCAACTTTGGGATTTTAGTTGGCAGATGGACAATATAAAATCGACACCGCTATGAGATAGAGCACAGCGTATTTTCCGCTGGAATTGGAGCGCCCATCAGGGGAAGCAAAGTACCTTACAGAAGACCACAATAAAAGAATGCTACCTTTGATGGTGTTTTGTTTCTGTTAGTGAGTAGGGTTCCAGGGCTCCGTTCGCGGAAGAATCCCTAACGGGGACCCCGCGGCTTCGCATGGAGCAGCGTTGAAGGCAGTGCCGTCTTTGACCTATTGGAGGCCCTGGGCATATTAGGATAACGGGGCCCCTATGATCCCCGTTTGGTGATTTAACAGGAACTAGGGACTTTTTATGTGATCTGAGGGCAAGACGGCTCTGGTTGAAGGTATTCGCAGATTTTTTTGCGGATATTATACCGTAAAGCGCCCGTTAGAGTTACGGGGTCCTTAGTGGGCAGCCACTGTGGGGCTTCGTAAGGCTTGCGGGAGCCAGGTGTGAAGTCCGTTCGGCGGTGTGCCTCTTAAAGGCGCCGTCGCGTCGTCTATAAAAAGATTTTTTCCCTGCGTAGCAAAAAAAAAGGGGCTTCGTGGAGTAGGGGATTTGGTTCAGGCCAGCAAGGTGAGGATGGCAGCGGCACACTTAACATCAGGTGGGGTGGGGTATTTTGCTGCAGTTGGTATAAAAATATTATGCAATTTTACAGCTGGAAAGATCGGGCCTGCCCTTTCCGGACAGACAATCGTACTAAGTTGATGGTCATCCCTACACTCATTAAGTGGAAAGGAGTTCAAAGGTTAGAGGGTAGTCAGTGTAACAAACGGGACCTTCTGCAAATGATGTTTGAAGAGGAAGACTAATAAGCAGCCATTTGGAATGTTGCTAATCTTCCCATTTCAATCACATGTAAATTATTATTGAAATGTATATACGACAAGGTAATTTGTAAGCATCATATTTTTCAGTAAAATGTTAACATTGAATAGTTATGTTGTTTTATTTATCTTAGAAACCAAAATAGTGACAAAGAATTAAACGGTGGAGAATAGCTGGTCATCCACTAACGCTCATTCCTGCCGGCATCTATAATCCGTACGGATTATAGATGCCGATGGTAGTCGATGTGCGAGAGCGAGCAAGCAATTGACTACTATTCAATTCGTACGTATTATAGATTCCAGCAGGAATGAATTTGTTATAAAAATCTTTGCTTTGTTAAGGATTTAAGTCATCTCAACTTTTTTTTTAATATTATGGCGTACATACGACCAGGGGCCCAATTCTCGCGGCGTAGATATTATATCGGCTTCGAGATAGTATCGAAAGGAGGGATATCTATTGAAAATATCTACTGATGGTAAAATATGCTATTCTCGTGGATTTTCGATATTCCAATGATATTATATCTATCGTAGATATTCTGTCACTGCCGAATGCGTTCCGTTTTTCTCGATTAAGTTAACATCATAGTCTATATAAAATAATAATAAATTAGAGCAGAATTTTACAAGCAACAAAATGATATTTTATGAATTCCATTCATATTAAATATGAGTATACATTTTTTGAGTATAAGAAATCTCAACTTTACCTAAATTGTATGCGTATATAATTTCAACGTTATGTATAATGAAACGTCAATATTATTTAAGATTCTCCCTTTTCAGGGAAGGCAAGGGTAACAATGCCCATAAAGCCTAGTCTTTAGTTATATTAATCTTCTTTTTTTTACATTCGAATGTCGGTGTGACGCATTCTAATGTTTCTTGGAGTGTTTGGCACGAAATTTATGGAGTTGGTTTTTTCTCTAAGCTTCTGTGAGGTAGTCAACACTACAATAAAGTTCTCGCGTCCACTTGACCGGAATAGCGTATATTTTAAAGATTCCACTAATTCTTCAGTTGCGCAGACGGTTGTAACACCAAATCACACCAATTTTATTTCACAATATCCACTATGAACGAATTTTAGAATAATTAAAATAAGACGCCAACCGCACTCGCAGTAATCCCGCCAAAAACTCCGTATCGTCAATAAGAAAATGGTATCGATTCTGGCATGATTCTCTAAACCTAAACGTAAATTTGACATCAGTGTATCCTTGTCATTCTCCATACAGAATGAAAAGGAGAGACTGATGTTAAATTCAGTTTTAAGTTTAGAGAATCGTGTCAGAATCGATACCAATGTCATTCATAACTTTATAGATTTCTAACCAAATTTTTGTTTAAACGTATTTTTTTTATGAAGTCGGCGTCCCTCATTTCAAATGGGCCCTCTTGCTCTCACAACGGCGGCGCCTTAGCACAGCAGCAGCAATCACGTCATTTACTAAATCATTGACGAAAACATGAATCAACTCATCCATCGTTAATATAAACTGGTGTCGATTCTGGCACGATTCTCTAAATCTAAACTTAAACTTGACAACAGTGTTTCCTTGTCATTCTCTATACAGAATGAAAAAGAGAGACTGATGTTAAATTTAGTTTTAAGTTTAGAGAATCACGCCAGAATCGACACCATTGCTTAACTCCTTTTTTATTTACTAATTATTTATGAAGGCAGTTAACAACATCTTGAGGTAACAATAATTGGCAAAGACACACGACAACACAATAAATAATAGGTAAAAAAGTGGAAATAACAAGATTAACTTGCCAAGATCCATAGATATTTATATATCGAAGGCTCTTTACCAGTCGATGTATGTCTACTGATCATCCGTAGATAAATATCTATTGCGACATGGTGAGAATAGGGCAAAAAGGTTTTCCTTCGATAAAAGCCAGATCATTCGATATATATCGAAGGTGATATAATATCTATGCCGCGAGAATTGGGCCCCAGGGGCCCAATTCTCGCGGCGTAGATATTATATCGGCTTCGAGATAATATCGAAAGTAGGGATATCTATTGAAAATATCTACTCATGGTAAAAAATGCTATTCTCGTGGATTTTCGATATTCCAATGATATTATATCTTAGAGTAAGAAAGCTATAGAGGATGGGGTAGCGTGGCCACACACGAGACAAAAAACTAACATATCCATAATGTATTTATAGAACTCAGTGATACCATAAACCTTACCCTTTACCCAGAAACAAGGAGATTTAAGTACCACGCAGTTCCAACACGGAGCGGAGCACAGATTAGGAATAGAACGTGGCGTGGAGCGATAAAATAATCACATGAATATTATAAAGGCGAAAGTTTATTAGTGTTCGTGTGTGTTTATATGTTTGTTACTTCTTCACGCTCAAACGGCTGGACCAATTTTGATAAAATTTTGTATGGAGGTATCTGACACCCTGGATTAACATATAGACTTTTTATCCCGATATTCTTACGCGATCGACACTTATGCGGTTGAAACCGCAGGGCGCAGCTAGTAATATATATATTATACTATATTCGATGGAAATATATATAAATATTCTTCTAGGTAGTTATCAAGCCGAGTAGGTAGTTAAAAGGCTCGTTATACGATCGGATTACGAGATCGATGGTACATTTTTATCAATGGTTCATTATATCAACGCTCTTAAAATTTATATCCTCGAAAGCTACAACAAATCAAGGGTCCAAAATAAAAACATTACCTGAATCACAATCAACATTTTTATTAATGTAAACGTACTCTATAAGAACAGAGAGAATCATTTATTGTCCTTTGAATAACACTAGTTTATTATGTATATTACGAATCCTATCGCTGGGTGCAAAACACTGTTTGGTACTATAGTGAATCCTTACTTCAAAGTAATTCATGGCGACTGCTTTCAAAAGCATTATTCTATGATTTCCAATCAGTGTTTGGTCATCATTATTGTGAAGTTTTTCAAATATATAAATGTCATTTAAACAGTCCTTAAAACATGAAAGTATTAATTTCTGCATTAAGTTTTTCTCATTGTAAAAGCTGATACCTTCATGTGAACGCAATCTAAATATTTTTTCAGCACGTTCGCATATTTTGATTACGCTCCTCGATGGATAGATCAACCCTCCTTTATCTTTTTTGGCAATAAATCCATCATACTTATTAGAGATTAAAGTTAGGAGGCATTCCTCACATTTAATTACTTTTTTCAACTTTTTTACAACGAATCCGGCTATGTACGCAATGACTTCTTGTGTGTACAAAGAAAGCCTAGAGGGGTCTGACAAGTAGTCATGGTCACTATCGACAGCTGGTAAACTTTCTACTGACTCGAAATTATCAAACGATTCAGCTGTATGCGTAAATAAATTAATTTTATTTTCGTACCGCATTTCGCTGAAAGTTAAAATTTTTATGTCTTCTAGTGGGATGCAATTTCCTGATGTAATATGTTTTATTTCCCCATGTATAACTAGTCTTTTATATGAGCCTTTAAATTGCATAGCTGTTGGGTTATTGTTAAATCCACCTTTAGCACGAATAGAGCTAAAAAAGCATTCCAGGTGATCCTGGCTCATTTTGTACAAGGGCACAAAGTTCAAAATCTTGGAAGCGATTAAATTTTTATAAACATTTTTAAGACTCTTAATACAAATATAGAATCTAAAAAACCCTACTTTTCTATTAGTCTGTAATATTGGTTGATCTTTTAATTTCAATCCAACTATGTAATTTTCCATTTCATTCAAGAACATTTCAATGTCAGGGTAGTTCTTATTATTCATAGGTTTCTTGAAATCAAATGTATGGAAGTTTCTGCTATTTAAAATATCAAATATACTATTAATATTTTTTATAAATTCTACGGTAGCTTCTGAATCAACAAAATCTGCCGATCCTAAATCTTTTCGACAAAATTCTATAGATTCAGTTACAGAATTACTGAACGTTTGGGCTGCCAATTTTACTTTCATAATTTGTTTTGCAAAATTTATATGTTGGTTTCGGAGTCGATTAGCCAAATGAAGGCCTTCATTATTTTGTAAATTATGAAGATTAACAATAAATTGCCAAGATATTTTTTGACCAATTAAGTTGGTAAGCTCATTTTTTTCTCCAAGGGTATTTCTTACTAATTTCAGCATATGTGCTGGATCGGGAAAAATTGAGATTTCTTGATTCTTAATGGTAAAAGAAGTTTTAAGATTATTCAAATCTAAAGGATCCAAAAGACAATCAAGGCATTTGGCCATAGAAAAATTGGCAGGACAACCGTCAAACGTCAGTGAAATTATATTAACTCCACATGAAATTAAAAGTTCCACACATTGTTTTACCAAATTTGCCTTTTGTGCCCCTGTACAACCATCCACCAAGAAATAGCCCACTGGAATTTTCCAACTATCGTTTACAGCAGTGACCATAAATACTAGTGCTTCCCTAGCAACAGCAACATTATGTCCATCTAACACTTCTCCAAAATTTACTAATCCCACGCATTGCTTACCGTCCCACTGAACATGTTTCCGAATCGCCATTTCATCCAGAGATAGAGCGCAATAAATTGTTTTATCTTTAGCACGCTTAACTAATAACTTAATACATTCAAGTGATTCATCCGTAAATCCTGGGCTACCGTCAAAACTCTTATACCATGTACGTAAAGTAAATGGATGTGGTAAACAAGAATTGAATGAATTCCTTACAAAGTTGTATGCCCTCGGGCTTATATAATGCAAGCAAAGCGCAAATTTTCGGAGAGCTGGAGAATACTTAGAATTAGCAGGACCAGGGCTAGTAATTTTTTTCAAGAAGTCTTTGTTGACGCATTCAACTGATCCAATTAAATTGCAATCTTCTTCACTAACAAGTGATCTTGACTTTAATTTTGTTAGAATATTTTCTAAATTTGCCACTTTCTTATTCAACCTTCGCGATTTTTCTCGAAGCGCCCTTAATTTTTTTATTCTTCCTTTAGATCGCTTTTCTTCATTTTTCCATTTTTTTTTCAAAGTTCTTGGTGTGAATTCAGGTGACTTTTCCTAAAAAAAAATATTATATTAAAAGAAGTACTTATTTCATTTATTATATTTTTATTTGAAGCATTTAACTGCTAGATGTTTACTACATAACAATAATTAATGGAAGGGGAGTGCCCGGTGAATGTCAATAGGCTCGCCACCTATTATATGGGACTGTAGGTAGGTACTGCAGGTAATACCTGCGGCGAAGCTTGGGTATAGAAATACCTGTAATAGAAGAACGCCTCTGCCTACCGCGTCGGGAGTCATAGGCGTGATGATATGTATGTATCTTATTGTAAAGAGAAACTTACAGGCAAAGATTTTGTAGAGCATTGCATCACGTCAGTAGCTGCAGGGTAATTTTCTGTGATGGTCGCCAACGGTATCACGGTAGTTGCAGATTTCATGCGTTTATTAAGATTTTCCATATCGTCAAACTGAAAAATATTTATTATTATCAGGAATCCAGGTGTAATTTTGGGCCTTCATACATATAAAAATGACAACATAAAGCTTCTAAAAAAATACGTCTAAAAAAGGATTTAATCCCTGCTATAATGTTAATTAATAGCATAGAAATTTTCTTATATCACATTTATAAATATATTTTAAGTATTATAGGGCAAGAACTTTACATAATTTATTTTTTGTTAGTTTACCTCTGGCAGACCGAAGGATTGAAGGATTAATGAAAGAAGACACTTACAGGCTCAGATTGTGTATCGCATTGCAACACATCAGTAGACACAGGGTGACTATCTGTGATGGTCGTCAACGCTATTACTGCAGATGTAGATGGCATGGGTTCAGATGACTTTTTAGAATTTTCGTCATTTCCAAGCTGAAAAACAAAAAAAACATAACTTCACTGTATAATTTAAGTTGACACGAAATAATTGTGAAATGTTACCATATAATAAAACATCAGCCAAGTGCGAGTCAGACTTGTGCACTAAGGGTTCCGTACAATCAGTATCACCTTTATTTCCGAAACGACTGAACCCTTAATTATATTATAAAGGGAAACCATACAATAAGAATCAAATGCTTATAAATGTTTCTCTCACCATAATAACTGGAAAAGCTTCAGGATGAATGTAAATATATCTTCCTTTTCTTAATATATAGTCCGCATCAAAATGTCTGCTGCAAATTTTGGAACTCTTTTTTGGAACCCATTCATTTCGACCACAGGCAGCAATCCATTTTTTTCGAATATTAGGGTTATGCGGGAAACTGTAATATAAGATAAAATTAAATTACTTATTGAAATTATTAAACCAAATAATTCAATAGGTATCTGCTTCTATTTTTGATTCTGTATCTGTATTATCTTGTCAATATTTATTACCTTACATTATTTATCTCATTACTATTGTATAAATCATTGTCGCACTATAACTGAATATGAATCTAGGTTTTACAAATTATTATGATAAGATTTGTGATGGACAAATGGGAATTTGCACGGCCCGATACTAGTAACACTGAATTTAAGGTTATGATAAAAACATTATTATGAATCGCGATTTTAAGTCTTTTAAGCCTCTTATTATGACAAAAACTGATACTATGACACTTAAGTAAAACAGTTAACACACAGTACATTGTTATAAAAACTAAAACATTTAAGAAAACTTCAAACTTACGCATGAAAGGACAATCCTGGTATTTTCCGCTCACTATCACTTTTACAGTTAAGTACACTACAGCGCATTGTATTATAGGTTTATCACGGCTTTGAAACAATCTATGCAAGCAAATATATTTATAAATGATGTAGAAAACTGCCAAAATAAACTTACGATTTCACAAAGACGAAATAACTGTCAAAGTTTGTTGAGCTACATAAGTTGCTGGCCTTGAAAAAACTGGCACGCACTGAGAGACGGAAATAGTATAGCTTTGTCCTTTTCTGTTACATATAATAACTGAATACTATATCCCTTTCTTGTGCAAATGAAATGGAGCTACCCACTGTCTATACTTTTCTTCGTCTAAGTATTATATCTATCGTAGATATTCTTTCACTGTCGAATGCGTTCCGTTTTTCTCGATTAAGTTAACATCATAGTCTATATAAAATAATAATAAACTAGAGCAGAATTTTACAAGCAACAAAATGATATTTTATGAATTCTATTCATATTAAATATGAGTATACATTTTTTGAGTATAAGAAATCTCAACTTTACCTAAATTGTATGCGTATATAATTTCAACGTTATGTATAATGAAACGTCAATATTATTTAAGATTCTCCCTTTTCATGGAAGGCATAGGGAACAATGCCCATAAAGCCTAGTCTTTAGTTATATTAATCTTCTTTTTATTACATTCGAATGTCGGTCTGACGCATTCTAATGTTTCTTGGAGTGTTTGGCACGAAATTTATGGAGTTGGCTTTTTCTCTAAGCTTCTGTGAGGTAGTCAACACTACAATAAAGTTCTCGCGTCCACTTGACCGGAATAGCGTATATTTTAAAGATTCCACTAATTCTTTAGTTGCGCAGACGGTTGTAACACCAAATCACACCAATTTTATTTCACAATATCTACTATGAACGAATTTTAGAATAATTAAAATAAGATGCCAACCGCACTCGCAGAAATCCCGCCAAAACTCCGTATCGTCAATAAGAAAATGGTGTCGATTCTGGCATGACAGTACACATGTACATACTGTAGGTAGGTATTTAGTCGACTGTGACTCGATTGTTGTCATATCGGATCGGAGCGTATGTTTTTTTGTTTTCCCAGTGATAAGATAAAAATACAGTACCTAAGTACAATAGAGTGCTTCTCATAAAAATGGTTCGATACGTTGACCTTAAAATGTTCGACGAATTCTCTAATTATATGGAAAGATTAGATCCGAATGGACCACCAGTTTTTATCTTTTTTAGCGGATGGAGTGGTTGGTGCCCGGATTCTGTAGAAGGTAAATTGCATTTTAATCATTTTATCTATTTGAGTGGCTAAGGTAACCTTGACGTTGCTTCTGTTAGCTTTGTGTAGATGAAAAGATGCAATTACCGAACCTTAGATTAAAACAAAAAAGGGAAGATACGGTACGCTCCAGGTACGCTTATACTAGCATTAAATAAAATATGATCAGACTCAACTACATAAGCAACTCCCACACGCACACGTCTTTATTAAATAAATATTCAATCGAGAGAACAAGACAGAACAGACATTTCAACAGTGTTGCCAGGTCCGATTTTTAAAAATCGGGAGGCGTTATAGGAAAATATAGTATATATAGGGGAACAGTACATGCAGGGGCTTACTTTGTACGATTTGCACCCCTAGAATTGGTAAATCAAATCAAGATAACCAGCAACGAATGTATGACTTCTAGTTTTTTAGACAATAACATTTATTTTATATTTTTATTTAGGTTACCTGCATGGCGGAAAATGCACTCAACATGCAATTTCATAAAGAAAATCGTATTCTAAAATAATAGGAGATTCATGTAAAAAACAGTAGAACAGGAGAAATTTCAGAAAAACAGGAGATCTCCTGTAAAATCTGGAGACCTAGCAACACTGCACTTCAACAACAATCTTCAACGCAACGCGAGCGTAACGGCGAATCCGCTTCCGAGTCGTACGGCTGAGCTGTATACTTGTCCTTTTCTTGATAACAAAATGGCGATTGCGTTAATAACATTAACGACAAGCCGTGATTTTTGAGAAAAAATGATTTTACAGTTTTACAAACGAAAGTGTTGTCGGGGCATTTGATTTTGAACTATTTGTGTTCTTTATAAAAGAATTAAAGGCATTGTTTTATTCTATCGAAGGCATTGTTTTTCAAAATATACGCTATATTGTTATATTGAAAGGCACATGCAGCGTGTTTGAATGTCCAATTGTGACTAAAGCGAATCATGGTCAAGCACCACAATTTAAGCGGATCACTTTTGAGCCGCGAGTGCCATATCTTCCCTTTTTGTTTTAATCTAAGTGCCGAACTCATAAAAATGCTTTTCCTAACATTGATTTTTATATTTGTTTAATAGCTCAATCAGTCGTCAAGGCATGTTTAAGTGAACTACAAAAGTTTGTGATATTTATCTCTGTTGATATTGACAGCCGAAAATAGTAAGTATATTTTAGTAGACTAATGCGCGCCCGCGACTTCATCCGCGTTAACTTTAATTTTTTGGGAATCCCCAGGAACTTAAAAAAATCCGGATAAAAAGTATACTACAGTGCGATTCAACTAAGAATAGGACCGACTGGGCGCCATGTTATGACGTCATAGCTGTCAATTCACCCCGGTTAGGTAGAGTGAGCAAAAAAGTAGTCATCATCTTCACTGCTGCTTTAAAACAAAATATCGATTATTGTAGGTTTTAAAACGACACCTTTATTTGAAATAAAAACGGTCTTTTTATTACCTGTATTTATAATAAAACTAAAGTTCTTATATTTCCCTTTTCCAGTACTTATTTTGTTTACGTTCATATGATTTATTTCCTTCTTTTGTTTAATGTTTGGTTTTTATTCTAAGATAAGCTCAGTGCAAACCGTACTTTTGAAGCGACATTTGACAGATGGAGGTCATTGGTTTTCCTATTCTTATTTGAATCGCATAGTATGTCTCAAATTCTCAATACAGGTGATAAATCTTAAATAAACTCTATACTTATTTGCCAAATTACATTCTAACCCGTTTAAACGTTTGGTTTGATTACCTAAGTAACAAACATAAAAACGAAAAAAAGAAAATAAAAAGTATAAATCAGGATTTATTTCTGTACAAACACTATTTTTGATATTAGTAGGATTTTAGGTGTTGCCAAATCAATGTCTAAGATTTATATTACAGCTGGAAAAAGCCTTCTTGCCCTTACCGGACGGACAATCGTTGTAAGTTGACGGTCATCCCTACTCTCATCAACTGGAAGGGAGGTCAGAGGCTAGAGGGCAATCAGTGTAAGAACCGGGATCGTCTGCAAATGATGTTTGAAGAAGAAGAGTGAAGACTAAACAGCAGCCATTTGACATATTGCCAATCTTCCCATTCCAATCAAATGTTATTTCTGATTGAAATCAACCTACTGTAGGGAATTAGAGAATGTTTTGCTTTGTGATTTATTTTTTAATATTATTATCTAATCTTACACATTATATACAAATGAAAGGATATTTACTAAGAAGCTAGCATAGCTATATAAATAAAAATAACAAATAATACTCGATTTCTTATGTTTAATTTGATTAGGTTTAATTGCGGAAGCTAACACAAAGATTACAAAATTATGACAAAATATTAGGTACAAATTTCACAGCCTAAATACTAATTATATCTAAGGCACTATTATACTAATATACATTTCCCAGTCTGTTACAAAAAATCAATCCATTAATACTACTTTGACTTATCAAAAAGATAAAAATATATAGTTGAATGTCTTTCATTATTTACTATTATTATCAACCAAAAACCATTCCTTTTGCATGGCAATTCAAGATGATCAAGATGGAGGCATTAATACTAATAGGTACATTTCCCAGTCTGTTACAAAAATTCCATCCTTAATACTACTCTGACTTATCAAAAAGTTAAGAAAATATAGTTGAGTGTATTTCATTATTTACTTACTAGGTATTATTATCAACGAAAAACCATTCCTTTTGCATGGCAAGAGTGAAATCTCATATAAATTTACATTTCAAAGTAGTGTGTACTCACAATCAAGATGGAGGCATTCATACTATAGGAAAATCATCCACTGCGAATCACCTTAATGTATATATCAAAAATTCTAGTGTTTAAAGGGCAAAATAAAATACCTTTGCACCATCCCAAGAATTTAAACCTTGTGCAAACCGTAATTAAAGTTGAACACGTCTGTGAGTGTAAAGTAATTTTGTGTGGCGATTACATTTAATTAAGTGTAATTAAATTGGGCGGAGCATAATTTTAAAATCGTCGACGCGAGAGTGACAAACACAAGAAAATAATTAGAAAATATTGTCAAGACGGCGTTTTTGCGACAAAAATTTAGCTGTCTATTCAATGGTGTCGACACTGGCATGATGCTTTAAACTTAAAACTATATTCAACATCAGTTTCTCCTTTTCATATAGAGAATAACAAGGATTCACTGGTGCCAATTCTGGCGTGATTCTCTAAACTTAAAACTAAATTTAACATCAGTCTTTCGTTTTCATTCTATATAGAGAATGACAAGGATATACTGCTGTCAAATTTAAGTTTAGGTTTAGAGAATCATGCTGGAATTGACACCACTGTTGTCAAATTTAAGTATATGGTTTGAGAATTATACCAGAATCGACACCACTAACCTCTGCTCCCCTTGCATGAAGGCCGAAATGGTGAAAAGTGCGGCCGTAAAACATGAATTAAAAAAAACTCCTTGCAAGAGCACCGCGGTATGATATATCGTTCTTTTTAATCGCTCACTTGTCGAATTTCTATGGAGTTTGATCGTTAGGCGCAATAAAATATGTACTTAAATAAAATTGTGGTGCTTCTGCTACGGGGAATGGATCCTGCTTGGACTTGGGTACGTTTCTTGCACCAACTCTTTCTTTGCCTAGTTTAAATAAAAGTCCATGACCGCAACAGAGACTCTGAATTTCATAAAGCGGTTGAGTTTGAGGACGAGGCGTCATCCTCGGGAATGTCGCTGGTGTCGAGATCTTTGGCTGGGACTGCTATCACCAAGTCGTAATAAACTTTCTTGCTCCTCATGAACGCATTGGAGTTGTCGAACATCACCGAATCTGTGGAATGTGAAAAGAGAAATCAGTCCATAGAGGTATAAGAGTAGAGTGGGGTAGGGGGCTCTAAAAGTGTCCGCCTAGTAGAAAGAGAAAAAAGATGAGAGACGGCCTTTCTCTCTCTAATCGCGAATGCACATTGGATGAAAAACCTACGGATGAATACCGACCAATCACACGACTGCGCAGCAATACCGACCAATCAAATGACTGCGCCGCGTCACAAGAGAGAGATAGCTCTTTCTACTAGACGGACACTTCCACTAGTAGTAGAGTACATATCTCCTACTCTATATCCTCTATTCTTATACATCTATGAATCAGTCATTTGTTAAGTAGGTAGCGGTGTCGATTCTAGCATGATTCTCTAAACCTATATTTTTTGACAACAGTATACACTGTTTACATTGTCATTCGCAGAATACAGAATGAAAAGGAAAGACTGATCTTAAATTTATTTTTAAGTTTAGAGAATCATGCCAGAGTCGACACCATTGTGTTGTTTCATAAAGCTCAGGGTCAATGAATCGGACACAGACCTACCTACAAAATTAACGAAAAGATACGAGGTCTTTCTATTGATTGATAAAGTAGTTTCTGGAATATGTACCTACCTATAACAAGAGTGTTAATGCTTTTGCTGAAAAAAATGCTTACTTAGGATAAAGATCTTTATTGAAAATAATGGTCAATTCATACTATAGCAACTTATAGCGCAGAGTCGAAAAGTCAATCGAAAACGTAAAAAACCAAATTCACTCTTATCTCAACAATGTAATGCACATATTTCTTCTGCGATAAAAAGTAGACTCGAATACGCACTTCTGCGTGAGAATTCCGCAGTACCCTTAGCATGAACTAATATTGAATTCGTTACGTTTGCGAGTGCGATATGTTATTATCAAATTTTGTATAGGAATTCAAACAGCAGACGTAACGAAAACTAAAAAGAAGTAGGTACACAATTGATGTACATCTAGATCGAATTCAACTATTCGACTTCGATGAAGGTCCGTGTTAAGGGTACGGATCATCAGCTCAGAAGTAAAATGTGCATTATGCTGCGGAGATAAAGTTGAATATTAGGATTGACCATAAGACTTTATCGCGTTTAACCATTATATAAGTTTATGCGTTTTACGCATCATTCCATTTTTGTCAATTGTTTAAAGTCAAACAGACATAGAAACATGACTACCTTTTAAATTTGAAGTCGGAGCTGTGGTGTAAGTGGGCCTTCCTCAATATACAAAACAATGGGGCAGTGGGACAGTGCCCTCCGCATGTGTGGGCACAGTCAACGAATTAGAAATAATATTGGAATACGAACTGCGCCAAAAACTGGTACCACGCAAACTGCGATCAAGTGTTTTGTTTTATCTGTGCGCTTGTCGCGTTAGTATTGAAGTTTAGTTGTATGAGTTTGGAAGCAATTTTAGTGGCTTATGTTAGAGAATAATATTTCCATATAATTTCTAATTCGTTGAAGACAGTAGATAACTAATAAGTAATCTGAGGCAATAAGTATGTACGTACATGTGGCGGGGCCGCTGACTGGCAGCAGGCCCACAGAAGGCGCGCCGGGGTGCAACGTGTGCGGCCCGTGCACCACCTCTTCTGTACCCTCAGCGTCGCGCCGCCGCACCGACCACTTAATGTCGTGGCTCTCCACACCCAAATCCCATCTATAAGTCCGACAATTGTATATTTAAAATTACAGTTTTGTTGTTAAAATGTTCGAGGAGCTCAATGGCGTAGGTGGTTAAGGCTTTCAGGCCTGCGATCGTGGAAGTCAAGCAACTTTAGCAATGGTCCATCATTGAATGGGTGGCCAAAAACTTATTATCTCGATCTCTCCTCCGTGCTTCGGACGGCACGTTAAGCCGTTGGTCCCGGCTGCATCCTGTAGCCGTTAACACCCACCAATCCGCACTGGTCCCGCGTGGTGGGTCACGCACAGTTTCCCTATTCCATCCATAGGGAAGGACTGTGCCCTACCAGCAGTTGGGACATCAATAGCCTGATAATGACAAGTTCTTCGCTATATGATAGTGTTATATAGGTCGGCTTGAGAACGTATCTTATCTTCCACATTTCAAAAGTTAAAATAAAATTTTTAGCTGGCAAAGTTGATGTAGCAGTTGCAACACTTTTTGTAACTGTCATTTGTCACATAAAATTACTTAAACTGACCATTAGTAGATTATTTAGAAAACCTTGTATAAAAACAGAAGGGTACAGAATTGACTGTGTCTCATTTACCTACTTTAACAAAGATACAAAGTATAGCTTACTTTAAAACGCTTTCAGGATCAGCGCATAATAAGTCGACGACGTGTGTGTCGCCAGTCTTGATAGTTACTTTGCTGTATTCTTTTTTGTTTTCCTTGCTTGTATTTTTCGTGTAGTAACACTTGGGAACCTTGCCGCCAGGTTTGACCTAAAATAAAAAATAAAATTGTCGTGTAACAACAACAAACCTATAAACAGAATGCTAGTTTGATGATAATATATGGTATGTATATTACAAGTTCTGTGGAGACAGCTATGCTCTTTGTTATACACACCTGCAAACTTCTGGAGTAACAACCATAGACAAGGAAGACTGCGCGTGCGCAATGTAGCAATTTAACATACAAACGTTTACTGGAGAAGTTTATTTGTCTGTGGCTTTGCTCAAGAAGTTTGCGCTACCTATACCATACGTGATGGAATCATAAATAAGGATGGATGAGTGGAGATGAAGATGAGGCCAGCGGGGCCTGGACTTGGAAGGTCCGGTCCCTGCATTGCACAGACCTCTGTCGCTAGGTGGGGATGTCTCGGGACAACCCCAGGTTGGGAGGGTCCGTTCGATTCGAACACTCACTGGTTACTTCTCGGAAGTATCCTTACGGGTTCCCTGGGCCTCACCCAGTGCCTTTGCCTCGGAGGAAGGGGTACCGCCTGTTGGTGGATGTTGCGGCTGAGCGGGTGGGCCCACATAACCTCGCCATCCTCCCAAGGCGGTGGAGAATGAGTCACGCATTTCCATGACGTTCAAAAATAGAAAAGGAGTGATGAGATCCTGAATAACCGGCGTAGCTCAACGGATCACCACGGGCCGTGCACATAGTTCGCCGGTCCGATGGAAGTTGGGATCCGAATATGTTTGAATGACTACATCGTACCGGGAAGCGCAGTGGCTGTAGATCCCACAACAGGTGGACTGACGACATTAAGCGTGTCGGACGAACTCATCACTGTAGGTGGAAAGCGCAGGGCCGTTGTGAATGATGATTCTAGACATCTTTCTATATTCTGTGCTAGAGGCCTATGTGGACGTCCATCAACTGAAGACGACGATGAGTACCTATAGTATATACTTTATTACATTTTTTATTTTAAGCATTAATTTGCTCTTTTTATAAATCTAAAAGTATACAAATATTTCCAAGAAAAAATCAAGTCTGCTACGGCTTCAGGCAACTCAGACTGCGTCTTTCGCTGTCCGGGCGGATGGACTAAACGCTATGCTTAGAATAGTTATTCTACGCCGCTATGTTACCGAGACATTTTTGCCTCTTATTCGAGATCTTGTAGTTGGTTAATGAGTATGTTAGTATCAATTGCAGTTGGTGAGATGAGAATGTTAGTATCAAATTAGTCAATAGCTCTTACAATAAGCTGACATCGCGGGTCACCGTTGTCGTCGACCACTGACCCGCCATAGTACACCGGCAGCTGGTCCGCCTCCACCATCGTGAGCACCTGCGCCTTCCACTTCTTGCTGTCCGTGCCGTATATCTTGATCTTCGATATCGTGTACTCATGCATGAACTTCTTTACCACTGCGAACGCCAGGGTAAACACTTTCGGCGCTGCAACGTACAAGTTGAAATATTATCAATATTCTGCAGCTTCAGTAAACCCACAGAAGATAGACCTCTTTCTGTGTTAGGTACTCTAAGCTGGAAAGATTGTTTATGTACCTATAACTCCGCACATTTAAATTTGCATGCCGCAGTTACTATAATGGCCTGCGCGGACACGGGACTTTTGTCCGTGAAGAACAAAATTCCCTGAATGGTGAAAAAATGTCCACCGAAGACTCGTCAAGTTGTCACGGACTGAACGCACAAGGTGTGCGAACATTGGTTGCCCGGAAATTTAGAAAAACGCACGCTATTGAAGTAAATGTTCTGAGAAAACGCTGTCTTGGATTGTAATTTAAATTAAGTTTAGGAAAAAGATAAGATTTGCGCACCGTTAAGCCGCGGAGATCCGTTACGTGCTCCGTCGCGGGACCTGCGAGAGGCCGGTGTCTCTCGCAGCGGTGCCAGTAAAATTTCAATTACGCGGGTGAACAGTCGATAATGGTTTTTTTTTTATTGATAATTCTACCTAGTTAAAAAGGGAACGCAGACGAGAGCACAGAAGACAGTCAATCACACCAATCGAGCATGCACCGTTACCCGCGAGGCGGATCTATAGAACTAACACGCCGAGCGGACGCCCGCTCCGTGCCCCGCTTAATGGTGCGCAAGCTCTTAAAAGAACACTGGGTCGATCCCTTTAAATCGGTCATTCAAATCAGACATCTATATCTATACTTATAATAAATCTGTAGAGAAGTCAATTCTGTACATGAAATATATTTTCAAAATAACTATCTGGGGGTGATTAGTGATCGATACTGATGCCAAAAATGCAATCAGTAAAAATTTTGTCTGTCTGTCTGTCTGTGTGTATGCTCCTTATAGAAACAAAAACTACTCGACGGATTTTAACGAAACTTGGTACAATTATTCTTCATTCTCCTGGGCAGGTTATAGTATACTTTGCATCACGCTACAATCAATGGGAGCAGAGAAGTGAAGGGAAATGTTGGAAAAACGGGAGAAGTTACTCCATTTTTTAAGCTTCCGTCGCGTGTGCAGCTTTAATGGTTAAAGTTACATAGAAATTATGTATGACGGAAATATTCTACATAAAATTGTCTAAAAAATATCCCGCAACAGCATATGGTTATCTTTTATGATTGACTCACAATAACACGTGTAATTATAAAAATAAAGTCATTGTTTATAACACAAGCCTGAAAACAAAAACTATAGTTTACACTACAGCTCTACACCGAAGCGAAGCGAGGGCGAGCCACTAGTAATAAAATAAAATTAAACAAACGTATGTGAATGGAAATTAATTTGTTATGGTATCTAGTGCGACAGCGAAACACTAGACATCAACCGCTTTGGTTACCATCGTAGTAGTACTGACGTATTCCTAATATGCGATATACATATTTTTAAATATGTATAATTTACCCAGATAATGAGATATTCATATTTGCTAAACCAGTGACGGACATTGGGTAAAATAAAGGATAAACATATTTTTTGTATTGTTAAACTGATGATATTACTTACTAGCAAATTATATTAATCTTTTTGAAAATATATAGACAGTAATGTAAAATCATAGCTTGTTTTGGAATTATTAAAAGTAGAAAGTTCGATTCTGGTTACTGGACAGCTAATGAAAATTAGGAGTACCACTTAGAAAAAATATTTTGGATGATGTTTTACCAAATTAAGTGTACATAATTACAATTTCTATTAAATAATTGCTAGAACTAATCCCAAAAAAATAATCAACCTCTAAATATTTCAGACTTAGTAGATAAAACCATTTACACAGATTTAACCTTTGGTTAAATGCTCTAAGAGGATGGGAGGTGAGTACAGTTGAACACTGTAGGCTAACATAGTCACCCAGTGGCTAAAGCCTTTTAGTTAAGATAAAAAAATCTTTCCCACCATTCTGCGAACTTTTTGATCTTGCATCGTATGCCCTTAGTGTCTTAAACAGTTTTTGTTTGCGTATTTGTATAAAACCGTAATTTTTATACAACTTTTTTAAATAAAAGGTTGAAAATCTACACAATATCGATACTTACATTGTTAAAATCAAAAGGTCTAAATTTAATCTCAAGAAATTTGTACTAGAAAAAAATACACATAGTGTGTTTTTTTTTAATTCTTTACATTTATACATCTAACAGTTAGATACTTAAAATAAAGAAGTTTACGGTTAGTTTCTATTTTTCTTTTAGCTATAGTAAATAGTTATTTACTAGTGCATCAGTATAGCTATTAACGGTACCACAACAAGGTACACCTTGTTTTTTATGAGTTTCCGATATTTCGGCACTGTTGCAAGCTCCATGATCACGGAGTAACTGAAGTAATTGCGGGTTGATGTTATTGGCAGACATATCGGTCTACCCTATGACGTCATCTTTTACTGCGCTCGATACCCGTACCACTGCTCACATTCTCACTATTCGCTCGCACCAGTTAGCGACACAATACTCACAGTAACAGATCGCGGAACGACACTTTTTTGTGGTTATAACACATACGAACCACTGGGTTTCAGACACATGACAATTTAAACCCATCCTCACGATTGAAATTCTTGTGTTTGGTTATTTCAATCGCTTCCCTAACCAATCTTGGTATGTAGTGGCGTTCTGGTGAGATAATTTGTGGATTATGGAGCTCAATCTAGTGATCAGGACCCGAATCAATTAATTATTCCGTGATAACTGATTTTTGGAAATTATCACAATCAATATCAAATCGTTATCATTATTTCTGACTGCTTTTATGTGTTCTTTCATTCGGCACGCTATTGTCCCGCAATCTGTATCTACCCGCAAATACTTCAGTTACTCCGTGATCATCGCGCTTGCAACAGTGCCGAAATATCGGAGACTCATAAAAAACAAGGTACATGGTAACAATCCCGTTAATAGCTATAAGTTAGTGACCATGAAAGTTAAAAACAATATATAGTGCATCAGTGTTTAAAAAAAAGTATAGTAATTTTGACCAAATGACTTGCTTTTATTTAATAGTTTAGTGTATGAAGAATGACACCACTAAAGTTATATATTAAAGTTATAAAGTTTACAAGATTGTAAAAGAAAAGTTTTCCGTTACAGGGGCATGAATAAAGTGTAAAATTTTAAAGGAAAATAATATTAAACTACTAAATATTTATTAGAATAATTAAAAAAAGTCCATTTTGCTGTTTCTTTCTATATTACCATGACTGTCATTTCCGTAATAAACTGGTTAAGTTACTAAAATATTGTAAAAAAAAAGAATATCCAAGTATAAATATATACGATTTACAGATGTTTCAACATCTATAATTTTAATTGTGTAAACAATATACTAATTTTGATTTAATTAAGTTTAGCCATTCTTTTGGGGAATGTGGCCTAACCTGCTAACAAACAATAATCGTGCCCATGCGTAATAATCTTGTGCATGCGCAATATCATATTAAAAGATAGTGACAAAATCAACTTTAGTTACATTTAAAAGTAAATAGACGATTCCGTAAGACGACGCGATGGTTACGTAGTTTCAATCGAGGTTATTAAAACTTGCATGTAGATTTAGCACTTAACTTTTTTTTAAATAAATAACGAGTAATACTTATTTGCAGACGTTACTGAGAAGAGGCAACTGCTCTAAAAAAAAACTTTACACCTTTCATTTATAATTACATACCTAAGCATTTTAGAGACCCCGCACACACGACATTTTTCTACGAAAGTTTCATTAGTTTAGCCGTGCCCTCAATCAGTATGAAAATCCTATCTGTTAAAACCCCTTATTAATGAACGAATAAGTTTGGATTAGTCTCTCCATATTTTGTGTTTGTTCATTGAATGACAATGGCATTTGAGTGAGATGAACAAAACATGGCGTAACTATTCAAAGATTATCCCTCTTTTATTACTTGGTTTACCCACTGAGAACTCCCTTGGCCGTATAATATAAAACATTTCAGTAGGCTCAGGGGCGTATTGCCCCAAAGCAGAGAGGGATGGCCATTGTAGCGTAGGCCATCACGTAGTACATTTTGTTCAGATAGGCACGCGACTGTGTGTCACTAGATCAATCAGATCAAACTATCGGCCGAATAAATACTTTGTGGTGTGTGGTCTGCGGGGTCTCTTACTTGAACGCAATATCGCGTTAAGTAAGATAGTGTTAAAAATGACAAATCAATTTTTCGGAGTCGATGTCGAATGAAAGTGAATGTCTATTGCGTATTCAACGGTTTATTTTTAGCAGGAGCTTTCATAATCAACTGAGTGCATATTAACAAAATTTATTTCAAGAGCTAAGTAAGTACTCAGGTAATAAAAAAAAATGATTTAAACCAGTTTGCGTGTAAAAAAAGAAAACTTGTCTAAGATTTGGTAACAATTATGTCGAATATAGTGTCTGTCCGAAAACAAGACAGTAGGTACAAAATTTTAGGGTAGCATTTCGTCAGCGTGGAAATCCTAAAAAAGAATAATAAGCGGAAATATTGGTTTCACATACATACTTTCATCTCCTTATGAACTCCCTTTTTTCTGGAGGCGGTGAAAAGAAGCTTTTAACCGCCTCCAGATTATTATCTTTGTCTATGCCAAAATTCATTATAATCGACTCAGCGGTTTGGGTGTGAAAGAGTAGCAAACAAACAATTCACAAAATCACTCGTATTTCTCTACAATATGAGGTACTTAGTTAAGATAGGTAGAAAATGAATGTGTACATGCAAATACATGTATATTCCCAGGTAGGGTTGCCAACCCTATTATCTTATATATAAAATTCTCGTGTCACAGTGTTAGTTACCATACTGCTCCGAAACGGACCGATTGTTATGAAATTTTATATGCATATTCAGTAGGTTTGAGAATCGGCTACTATCTATTTTTCATACCCCTAAGTGTTAAGTGATTGTCCACCCCTAACATGTTTTTTTTATTTTTGGGACATTTTTTTTATTGTTTGGCTTTTAAAAATACATACGTCCACCCTAAATTTTCACCCTTCTACCATCTAACCCTATTTTTATGGCGGTACGAAGTTCGCTGGGTCAGCTAGTATAATATAGTATCCTACTATATTAGGGGATCGAATACTATATTTCTAAAAAAAATATACATAAAGTAGGCGAAACTACTATATTTTGCTTAAAGGAGACTTTTGCCAGTAAAAGCTCTCTAAGCAGCAAAATATACTAATTTCAAAAATAAAGTAAATATTTTAAGCACGTCATCATCAGCCTATTAATGTCCCCACGGCTAGAGCACAGGCCTTCCCTATGGATGGTATAGGGAGATTGGGCCATGACCCACCACACGGGCCCAGTGCGGATTGGTGGGTGCTAACGACTGCAGATGCAGCGGGGACCAACGGCTTAACGTGCCTTCCGAAGCACAGAGGAGCTCGAGATAGTAATTTTTGGTCACCCATCCAAGGACCGACCACTGCGAAAGTTGCTTAAGTTGAACGATCGCAGCCGAACGCGCTAACCACTTGCGCCATCGAGCTCCTCTGTCTGCGCCATCGAGCTCCTTACACACAGCTTTAACCACATACTATGTTTTATTTGTCATCTACTATATTTTTAGAGGTAACAGCTTCGAAAATACTATATTTGATAGAAAAAAAGTTTGTTACCCTATTCCCAGGTACCCCACCGTGGATTTTAACCAGAGGCAAATGCGTAACTTTGAAGACTTATTTTTGCTTAAGTATCTACGGCTCATTATAATATAATACTGGACATTCTGTTTTTCTAACGTTCACAGAATATATAAAGAATAAATAGAAAAAATCTCTTATTATTTTTAAGTAAGTCCTTGCCTATTTATCAAAATAAACAATCGTTAAGCTAGGTAGTCGGTTGAACGTTGGACTGAAATAAGACCAACATCATACGCAGGTACAGAAAAGCATCAAAGAAACGGGTTTTTTGTGTAATCCGGACATAAAAACTCCAACGAGTAACAGATATTTATAAGGTAACTTTTTGTGTGATATTTTGATTACGTGAATACAATGGACCGACGTATATAAAGTCAATTTTATGATTAAAATCGCATTATTGTGATCAATAATACACCTAGGTAATAGGGATGGTAATGGGGTAAATTAAATGAAATTTTACTAAGTACTCAGTTAGATTATAATCAAATAAAAACCGGCCAAGTGCGAGTCGGACTCGCGTACCGAGGGTTCCGTACAAAAATATTCAAAAATATTTTTTATTTTATGATGTAACTAAAAATTTACGGTTTTCGCAATTTTTGCTTTATCTGTACTATAAGACGTTACTTCGTACCAAATTTCAAGATTCTAAGTTCACGGGAAGTACCCTGTAGGTTTTGATTCCCGTGCGAGTTTCGAAAATTTGCGGCATAAATGGCTGTATCTTTTGATTGCTTTGGCTTAGAAGTTTGATTTTTTCATAGCTCCAAGGGACAGTAGACCTGAGTATAAGGTATGAATTTCAGTTTGATACCTCCACGCGTTCCTGAGAAAAACGGTCTTGACAGACGGACGGACGGACAGACGGACAACAAAGTGATCCTATAAGGGTTCCGTTTTTTCCTTTTGAGGTACGGAACCCTAAAAATAATGGACACTTATTTTTTCTTATGACAGACCAATAAAAAAACAGTTAAAAATGTCACAAATCAACTTTTTTTATGTTGATGTAGGCAAAACAGCTAGGTCTACCTCATAATAAGTGGTCACTGCTGCCCATGGACACTTGCAGCACCAAGGGCCACTCATGCGTTATTGACGGATTATTTGGCGACCCAAAACAGGAATTTTTTAAACCCGGACTACAAATGAAACCCCGCCCGGACGCTCCCCTGACGCCCCGTAAACTAGGACAAATCCGGGGAAACCCGGACGGATGGCAGCCCTAGTATGGGGGCTCGTGACGTCACTCCTAAGTAAAAAATTGCACAACTACGTGACGTCATGTGACATTTCTAAACTATATATCTCTGTAATGTTTTGATAATGTAAAAAAACGTGTCCAATACCTACAACCTGACCTGATAAACGAAGAAAAAGAAATTGTCATCTCTATTGTAAATATTTGGTCACTTCGGCCAATACGAGGTTTACAATGTACCCTCCATTGTTGATCAAACGCGCTTGACACATATATGCTTGCATGCAAAGCTTTACCTAATATCACAATAATTCCAAACAACAAAATAATAAATTGCAAGACACGTGCAAAAAATGGGTTTTCTTTATTCCTTCATATGAAATATGTAGTAGATACTTTGTAAGTAGAAGTAAATATTGAACATTGCCGTTTACGTTTAAATTAGTACGAATAATTTCCTAAATTAATGTCATCCATTTATTTATTTTACAGGAAAAAATAAAAAAGTGCGGCTCCATGAAAGATCATTTTGTGCTTCAAAATAAAAATGAACAACTTAATATGCACACGAAAGTTACGAGACGACGTTGATGTTTTTTGGCCCGGAAAAGACAACTCTATGATCTTTTGCAACTTTTAAGCTATCTTCATAATTTACTAATTATTTTTTTAATTTAAATGCGGTTGGAGTAAATGTTTGTTATATGCTAAATGAGCACTGATTTTATGGTTACAGTTCAACTGATTGAACTTTCTAAACATTCTATAACAAAATAGACTCTCGCCATTTATAATTTTCGACATCCTGTGAATCTTATTTTATAGATTTTTCTATAAATAGCGTGTTGCGAAAGTATTGACAAGGACACCAAAAACAACCAAAGGTTTGCCATGCCCACATTTGATTTATATCGCCTACCCCGCTAGCGATCCTGCTTGAAGATGCTAAATAAAATAATAATAAATACTAGCGGCTTCGCTTCGGTGTAGAGCTGAAGTATAGACTACAGTTTTTGTTCTCAGGCTTGTATTATACACAATGACATTCATCTATGATTCTTCTTATACCTGCATGCTGGATGTTTAATATGTATTTCTATAGAAATATACTTATATATGTACAGTATATTAAATGTATTCTATCCGTTACCCTAGTATCCCATAACATAAGCCTTATAGTGCTTACTTTGGGACTAGGCTAATAGGTGTGTGTTGGAAATATTAAAAAAATATATTAAAATCTAAACATTACCCTAAGTGACTTTTGTGTTTTTTGTAATCTAAAAGTTGGAAGTTGGAAAGTAAGTAGCACTATATGGCTTATGATATGGGATACTGATACAAGCTAACGGATAATATACTAAATATACTGACAAACAAACATCCATGACTTAAGTACAATAGCCCGTATTCATCATGCTAACATTTGACCCACCGGGATTTGATCCGTCTGAGTAGGCGACACCTTGAAGCTCAGCGTACAGTACATACTAGTCACGGGCCAGGGCGTATTTTAAAATCTAGCGCCCTGGACTACTTAAGATTTAAACGCCCTTAGAATTAGTAAGTCAAAAAAACAAAATAAAGTCGTAGTCCAGTCACTTTAGGGTTTTACCTCGGAATTTTAGATAATATTATGTAAACTCGTGTAAAGCTTCATTTTGGCGTTCTAAAAGTTGTCTCAAAAGTCTTATATTATCTCGTGTTTGCGTCGTAAGTTATTCGAGGTCAAAAGTCACGAAAATCGTTTTTTTTGCAATTAACTCCATTTCTTTGGTTCCAATCACTTCAACACCTATTATAAAAATTAAAGATAAAAAAATTGCCACAACTTTTGTCTCAACTTTTGTTCTATACACTCAACCCTTTTTGAGATCGCATGTTTAGATACCATAGAAACGGATATAATTGCAATAAACCGGTTATCGTGACCTTTGACCTCGAATAACTTATGAAGTAGACACGAGATAATATGAGACTTTTGAGACAACTTTTAGAACGCCAAAATGAAGCTGTACACGAGTTTCCAGCTTATTATCTCAAATTCTGAGATTGACCCCCTTTTTCCCTAAAGTGACTGGACTGTCGTTCCGCAATCTGATACTGTGAGTATTGTGTGTCGGGAATAGGTGCGAGTTAATAGTGAGAATGTGACCAGTGGTAGGGGTATCGAACGCAATAAAAGACTACGTCAGAGGGTAGAGCGATGTGTCTGCCAATAACATTTACCCGCAATTACTTCAGTTACTGCGTGATCATGGCGCTTGCAACAGTGCCGAAATATCTGAGACTCGTAAAAAACAAGGTACATGGTAACAATCCCGTTAATAGCTATAATGTTAGTGACCATGAAAGTTTAAAACAATATATAGCGCATCAGTGTTTAAAAAAAAGTATTAACTATACTTATGACCAAATGACTTGCTTTTATTTAATAGTTTAGTGTATGAAGAATTACACCATTAAAATTATATAATATATTAAAGTCATAAAGTTTACAAAGATTGTAAAAGACAGTTTTGCGTCACAGAGGCATGAATAATTTGTAAAATTTTAAAGGAAAATAATATTAAACTATAATCATAAAAAAAGGTACATGGTAACAATCACGTTAATAGCTTTAATTTAAATAGGGTTCCTTACCGTTAACAATGAAACAGGTCTTCAGTATCTCCGGATAGTTGGCCTCGTAGATCTTGAGCAGTGTGACCACCATTTCGGCGGCAGGCTTCCACGCGTACTGTCGCATGTTGAACCCTTCCATGTCAAATATCACAGTCACCTGTTGTTATAAACAGTGGGTAACGTCACTTGAATTAAAATAAAGAGGCTGCAGCTGTTACGTCATGGCAATTACAATCAAAGAAGTTAACAAAGTCAAACAGACTGGTCGAGATATAAGAATGTTTGTTGTTTGCTTTGACCCGAATGGAATTGAAATCTGGAACCCGTGAGATAAAATATTTATGTTCTGACCGATTCTGTTTTTTTATGTGAAACTTCTTTAGGCACGCTTGACTTGCGGGGTTAACTAGAGAATGTGTTACGATTTCGCGTTACGATTAGTGTCATCGGTGACTAATCGGTAAACAATGAACAATACCCGTCAAAAATACATGAATCTAGTGCTTGGTGGGTGATAGCGGACCCAGCGCGGATTGGTGATTAGAGGGTGACAATAAACCCAGTGCGTATTGGTAGGTGCTAACGGACTCAGTGCGGATTGGTGGGTGATAACTGACCCATCGCGGATTGGTGGGTTATAATGGACCCAGCGCGGATTGGAGGGTGATAACGGACCCAGCGCGGGTTGGTGTTTTTTTTTCTATCAACAAAACTTTAGGTTAAGATTATGATTTTCAGAAGATTGGAGCTAAAGAAGTTTCACTTCAGTCGTGTGGTCAAAAGCACACTCGCTTTTTTCTTTTTTTTCATTCTTACAGGAATTTCCTAGTCCAACTTATCGGTGAAGTGCTTGCTATTCTGTAAGAACAAGTTACTTTTCACCGTAGCACGACACGCACCGGCCGGTTTTTATTCTATTTAAGTCCGTAATCTCTTATCTATTAGACAAGTCCGTCCGTCCGTCCGTCCGTCCGTCCTTCTGTCTGTGGTGCTGTTTCAGCGGCCAAACCGTAAGAGATAGATAAAGAGAATGTTTAAGTTATAAGTTAAGAATAGTCTGATTTGAGTAACGTAGCACTTCCGGTTTTCGAGAAATCACGAATTTCAAACGAAACCACACAAAATCTCCGAAGTTCTCAATTTTTTTTTAATCAGGTTTTGGTGAACATTTGGTTCCCTGGTTTGCTAGTTTATTCTATTAAAATAGTAGGTACCTTTAAGGCAGCGGGCCCGTGCACTTGTGCTTGTTTCCGGGCTGTGGCGAGATAGTTTTCAAGGTGGACTAGAACCAATCTTATGATATCGGTGCGACTGATGGAATGCAGAAGTCCCCACACGTCCAAACCGACGAATGGAACTATTATCACTGAAAATAAAAACTTATTTCTATAATAACAAACAGTCAAAGTTTACGATTTAAATCTTTGCAAACATTCGGGCACAGATTATACAGTCGGGTAGTTTTAAAACTTGAAAAGCTATATTTGCCATTAATTAGCAAATCTACGACTGGAAATTTTGGTCTCTAGGAAAGTTTTCCTAGAGAGTTCTCAAAAAGCAGCTTTTTCTTCCTGATTAAATCGAATTGTAACACTACACCGTTGTTAAAGAAGTATGTCATTATTTATTCAAAATACAAAACAAGAAAAACACTGAGGCAGCTTTTTCCCAATTTCATTATTACTTGTGTTTTATAACTTTTTTTTATGTTATATTAAGGTAGGCAAATGACTCTACTCCATCTGATGATAAGTGGTAATAAAGTCCAAACGCGAAGATAGCTGGTACAGCAGTTTTGAACTGCTACACCAATCATCCTCACCTTGCCGGCCTGCAAAAATGCTTCTTCACGCCTCTCTTATAGGACCCCAGATTATAGGAAGGAGGGAACACTTGCGCGGGTAAAGAATTCCACTTACGAATAGTACGACAAAGAAATGAGTCACCGAATTTCTTTGTTCGTGTAGGAATAGTGGCCACAGTAAGTCGGTGGCAACGTAGGCCAGCGCGCGTGGTCCTCTGAAGAAAAGGTGATGGAGGGATAAGCGAGAATAACTCCTCAGAACACTCGCCGTGGTATAGTCGATAAAATGCGCTTAATGATGCCACATCGCGGCGTAATTGTAGAGACTCGAGTTTCTTGGTTACCTCTTCATCGCCAATGATGCGGACAGCGCGCCGCTGCAACCTATCCAAGGCATCGAGTAAGTACTTAGCGGAGCCATCCCAGAGATGCGATTACAATTACAACTGGACAATTACCGAGCCATCGTAGCAACCAGTAATAACGAAAAACTGCCCAGTATAAGGAATTAACTTGCGTATAGTATTTGTGTAATAAAGTAATAAAAACGAAGCATTCTTTTGTTATCAATAATCAGTCGATCATTACTTACCAGGTGATCCTTCCTTATCGAAGCCAGTGCTTCCGCTGGGGAAATGCTTCTCAAGTACTTCCGGGGGCTTCCACGTCTGAAGGGTTGTATCAACGCCCCATTTCTCTCGCCACTTCATAGACTGAAATTAAACGAGGTAATTCAGCATATAATAGGTTTTCTGTCGTTTTGCCGTACTGGCTATTTCAATTGAGAGTTTTTCTTTTTTCGCCAAGAATTCTAAGTTCAACATATTTTTTATTTTTAAAATATGAAATTATTTTCTGAAAATCAGTCATTTGTTTAAAAGGTTAGCGTTCTGTTTTCAGCGCAATTGTACGTTTTTCATCATCATGGATACGTTAAAAATTCGAGTGACTAAGGAGTATGAGTGCCGTCACGGCAGCAAAGTGGCAGAAGTGGCACGCAACATCAACGAAGTATACGGAGCGAACACTACTAACAATCGCATTATCCGTTATTCGTTTGCCCGCTTCCGCTCTGGATATTTGGACCTAAGGAATGAACCCCGTGGTCGACCGAAAACTTTAGTCAGCAATCACTATAGTATCGATGTATCTAGTGATAGAAAAGATAGATACAGCTTAGCGGATTTCTGCTCGAATTGAAACGTCCGTCAAGGGAAATAAGCTGCACTTTACTTTTAGCAGAATAAGTTTACTATTGTATTGGTGTGTTTTTATCTCGTATCGGCGAGTAAGGTTTCCAAAGCTTGTCCGGGTAGGGGATTGAAAACGAAACGTTACGGACTTTTGTGCATTATTAAAGTTAATAATTAAGTGGTATGTTATTTTAAAATGTATATATAATGAAGGGATAGATCCTGGGACCGTAGCTTTATAAATGAAAACTAATCAGATTTCATATGTTATTTTATTTGAAATCAAGGCGAATATAATAATTATAGCTTAATATGTAACCGTATGTTGTGGTGCCTGATTTCTATCTGCTGGAATCTTCTATCAAACGACAGAAGATTCCCAATTTCAAATCTTTAAAAAACATGACATTACCTTTTTAATATAACTGCCAACCGTAGGCACCCAAACAAGGAGGCTGTAACGCAACGGACGTTCTGTAACGTCTTATATTCTCAATATCTTATATCGTGTAGGTACTGTTACCTACACGATATAAGATATTGAGAATGCTATTTATTATCGCATAAATAATCGCATATTAAATAAATAAAAAAATATAGATAAAACTTTCTTCCCTCGTAGGATTTAAGGTCCAATCACATTTGACCACTTCATTATATATCAAGATGAGAATTTCACGCGAATTTGGAACACCGCCGTATAAAAGTGGACATTTTAGGGCAAATGAGGAAAGTAGCACAGAGAAACGACGAAGCTGTCAGAAACGCCGACCGGCTCTTGGCCTTGATCAGGGTACGTAGAGAGATTCTCTTTTAGGCACTTTGCAGACGACGGGGCGGGGCGGGCCGGTCAATTTCGCCGCGAATAATAGCACAAAGTGAATCCTATACTTCAAACGCACACAGAGGGCAAAAAGACCGCGCCGCAGGTGCCCGGCGGGCAGTGGCGTCGCGGCATGTCCGCGGCTGCCCGCCGTGGATCATACAAACCAGTTTATATGCAGTAACGCAGACGGCGGCGCGGGGCGGTCAGCTCAGTCCGCGCCACGCGCTTATTAGTGATGGACTATTCACTAGAACGAACGTTCTGAACTGACCGCCTCTGCCCGTCGCGTCGTGTGCTTTGTGTACGTGGCGCGGGTAGCCGCAGACATCGACGGGCAGACGCGGTCTTTATTGCTTCGCGGACAAAATGCCCGCCCCGCCCCGTCGTCTGCTCAACGCCTTAACGTCCTTTTGGATGACGCTTTCACTTCATATAAATTATACCTTGGTTCATGTTAATAAAAAAATCTACTCTTATTGAAATTATCAACAGCGTCGCGCCGAGACAACCCACGGACGTTTTTCAGTGTCATTAATTATATTTACCGGTCTTTTTAAATTTCGGTATATCTAAGGATTTTTTAGCGACTTTAAATGTAAGTACGGATTTTCCCATATCAAAATAAATGTGGAAAATATGTTACCGATAGAAAATGTCGACATTTTCGGTTGGCGCCTTGTCCATGGAAATTGTTTTCGCATTTGGTTTTGCCCCGTGTTCCACCCCTGGCGCCTACTACAGTTCAGAGCCGGCGCTGGCTGATGATGATGTTACAAAATCTTCCTACACCATTTTATGGTGTTCAATTATATTCTTATTACTTGAAATCGTTTAAATGGTTTTGTTTATAAACAATCCAGAATTAATAAAATAACTGTTGCCCAAGCGTTCGCTTGCAGAACTATCTTGTGTTGTGCAATGCATATTGGGCAACCGATACAATGTTAAAGAGGCTAAGGGCACAGCGGATTATCCGCTCAATTTGGAGCGGATTAACACGCGCGGATCCGCGCGTAAATTTTGTGTTTACAGAATAGCACTGCTACTCCCCTTAGTGTCGCCGCACACGGGCCACCGCCCACAACCACAAACCGGCATATTTCTTGTAGTTTTCATACATTTTATATGGACTCGCCACACACGGTACGCCGGTGGCCGCCACAGGCTACAAATCGTCGTTACTCGCTTCGTGTGGCCCGCGCCGGCCACTTAATGCGCCGATACAAAACGCCGCCACACGTCACTCGCGCGATTCCCCACCCCTCTCTCCTTACCTTAGTCGGCCGCTGTCGCGCGCTTCAGCAACTTTAGTAGCCGCTTCGTGGCTGCGTTTGTGGCTGTGGCGTGGGGCCCGTGTGCGGCGACACTTACATGAGCACTGCGATATGATATATAACGCGGTTTTATCACGCTCAGTTGTCAAATTACTACGATAAAAAACGTGATGTAATGTCACACACGGACTGAAGCCTTGCTGATAGTGACACAACACCACCAAAAGTTCTGTTTGCACGCTTTTGGAAATATTAACAAACTTTTACTTACATCTCTGAGCATTTTTTCCGCAGCTTCTGGATCCCATTGTCTTGCTACAAAAGTAAACAATTTAAATAAGTATAGTTGAATAATATTTTTACCACGAAAAAGTAAGTCCTTGGTTAGAAAGACATTTATGATACCACATTTTCTTCCGAAGCCCTTGTTTAACGTTCGTCCGACAAATTTTTGAATTGAAACTTCTTTACGCACGCCTGACTTGGATAAGCATGCGATAAGTTACGCGTTACGAAAAGTGTGTTCGGGCGAGGCGAACGGGGATGTTGAGTGGGGGATATAAGCAAGAGAAAGCAGTGGGCGCACATTTTCTTTCTCTCTTTCTCTTATAGCTAGCAAATGAAATATGTACATAACATGTATAGTACATACATGTATACCTACAGTGTGTCTTTATAAAGTGCACTTTTGAAATTGGGGATACTATGCTGAATTTCATCGACGGAAAAAAAAAGTATTTGCTACAGTGACCTCGTTGTAAACAAATCGGTATAACTTTTAAACAAAACGACCAATTACGATGAAGGAAACAAGATTTTTAAAATTGTATAAAAAAATAACGATTTTTCTTTTTAAAATTAAGCATAGTATCCCCAATTGCAATATATGCACTTTATGAAGTCTCACACTATATTTATTTATTTATTAGCCACGCCAACAGCATACACATACAAAAAACAAATACAAAATTCACAATAATAGTACCTGATGTGCACACTTATTAAAGGCATGTACAACATTTATAATTGTCTTAATCAACGTCAACAATTACAATTTTAAAGGAAAAGAACAAATTTATAATTAAAATCAAAATTAAAAATTAAAATCAAAATTAAAAACCAAATTAAAATTAAAATCCAAATTAAAATTAAAAGAATACAGTGAATCGAAAAATCATGAAATCGGTTAAGCAAAATAAGCATTAGGTACAATTAAAATTAATTCATTTGGCAAGTGATTTCAACACTCCAGATCTATAAGAAAGTAAGGAGTCGTGCATGATGTCCAGGTCGCCCGAAATACCATTTAACATGTTGTACTCGTTACACATTCTTACTATTGGAGAGGACAGACCAATATTAGTGCGACAGCGTGGAGTATAAAATTGTCTGGTGATAGGAAATCGCGGGACAGTGTGTGGCACATTAAGTGCAATGCGCGATAAAAGATCTTCGCAAGTGAGACCGTTGTTTACAACTTTATATAAGAATGTCATGTCGTGAAGTTTACGACGGTCTCGCAGGGTATTAATTTTGAAAAAATTCAAACGGTGATCGTAACAAGATCTATGAGAAATGCCTTGAGAAAAGAATGCCAAGTGTCTTGTAAAAGAACGCTGTATCCCTTCAACTCACTGAGAATGCACTGCATAAAATGGAGACCACACCACACTAGCATATTCAAGATGGCTCCGGACAAGCGCATTAAACAAAACGATTTCAGTAGAAACCAGTTTAAATTTCTTTGTATTGCGCTTCAAAAATCCTAACATACGTGCTGCTTTAGTAACTACTGCATCGATATGCGCCCCAAATCGCAATTCGCTACCCATGATCACGCCAAGATCCTTGATCACACCAACCGTCCGTAAAAGATTTCCACTAATATCATAAGATGACTATAATGACTTTTTCTTTCTTGAAAACTTTATATGGTGACATTTTTCTACATTAAGTTCCATTTGGTTACGAATACACCACTGTTTCACTCTGTTCAAGTCATCCTGAACGAGTTCAATGTCATCAGTAGTGCGTATAACCCTATAAAATTTCAAGTCATCTGCAAATAACTGAAACTTACAGTTAATAATTTCGTATGTGTTATCATTAATAAATACCAAAAACAAGAAAGGCCCAAGATGAGATCCCTGCGGTACACCAGAAGTAGCATAATAAGGCTGCGATTCATGACCATGAACACTAACAAATTGAAGTCTTTTTGCCAAATATGATTTGAACCAATGCAACAGGGACCCCTCTACACCAAAGTCTCTAAGTTTGCTTAACAGTATATGATGGCTGACCTTATCAAAGGCACATGTAAAGTCGGTATAAATTGTATCCACTTCAAAACCCTTATCAAGTTCTTCGGTTAAATCAGAAACAAAACAGGCAAGATTAGTTACAGTGGAACGGCCCGATCTAAATCCATGCTGTTTAGATGTTAGGAAAGTATTAACATGTGCAGATAAAATGGGATGAACTAGAGACTCAAATAACTTGGACATACAGGAAAGGATAGCAATGGGACGATAGTTGTGCGTCTGGTTTGGTTCCCCCTTCTTAAATAAAGGAATAATCCTTGTTTTCTTCCATTCATCCGGAAAACAACCATCCCTCAAAGAGCGATTAAAGACAAGGCTCAATGGAAACGCCAACACAGAGCCGCAACGCTTGACAAAAATTGCGGGAATCAAATCAGGACCTGCGCCCTTGTAGATGTCTAGAGATTTAATCCTTTTCAGAATTTCGCGTTCCGTAAATTGAACAGTACATATAACTGCGCCGCGAGAAGATGTGTTATACTGCATTTCCATCTCCGGACAATCTTGACACAGACTGTACGAAGACGCGAACTGATTCACAAAGAGATTGGCTATCTCCGGACCAGTACCAGCCCCCACATACCCCTTATACATTTGTAGTGGAACTGTTCCACAAATATTTGCATCACTATTCTTACTTTTTACAAAACGCCAAAAAGATTTTGGATCTTTTTTTACACTCTCCTCAATGTTTTGTATGTACCGAGTACAACAAGACTTTAAAAGTTTGCGACAATGCTCACGGAGAGCTTCATATGATATAAGATCTCTTGGATTTTTATACTTCCTGTATTTTTTCCTTGCCCTGTCCTTTTCAGAAAGTCTTTTTATAAGTGCGTAAGTAAACCATGCCGGATATTTATTTTTAAACGGTTTACGCAAAGGAACATACTTTTTCACCACGACTCTAATAGTATCATAGAGTACCGAAACCATTGCATTAACATCTTTGCAAGAAAGGAACTCTGCAATCCAGTTAATGGAGCCCAATTCAGAATTTATTGAATTATAATCAGCCTTAAAATAGTTCAAGCGGTCCCGCATCAATGGTTGAAGAAATGGTTGAAGAAATGATTGATGATTACTTTGTATCATTACGATTAATGCGGGATGCTTGATATCTAACTTACTCATAATATCATCAGCCTTTTCAACAGATACATACTATATTGTATATATATAAGGTACCTGATACAAATAAGGTCTATGCTGAAATAAGGCCTATAGTGCAGAAAAGTCTATTAAAACATGTTTACATCAAAAATACTTTACACACGCATAGATGACAGTTCCACAACTCGGCAAACTGTGCAGGAGCAGTCCGCTCGAGCTCATAGCGTCAGTAGTGGCGGTACTTTGTGAAGGACGAGCTTTTCATGATGAGAGAGAGAGAGATCATGAGATGACCATTGACCGTTTGTGCGGGAACCGATGTCGCCGGCTCGCCCCCACTACACTTCCACTTAATAGATAATAGCCAATCAAACGACGCGACATCAAATGATCTAACCAATCAGCGCTCACACGAGCAACAACGCAATCAGAACCAAGTTTTGGTCAAGTTATGAGCATTTGTTTAAACTGTGGCGCGCCTATCCTTTCGCACAAGGCCCTTCTAACCTCTTTCTGTGTTCTGTGATATAAATTATAATTAAGATGATATTACGTGTCGATTCTGACGTGATTCTGTAAACTTAAAACTAAAAACATCATTTCCTCCTTTTCATTCTGTATAAAAAATGATAAGCGTACACTGTTGTCAAAGGACATTGTTCTGCGTCCATACATAGTTAGCCTAAGAACCAACAACCATGGAATATTATTTTCTAGGTTCGAAATCGCAAGTAAATGACTGTAAAAACAAAGATTATTGACGGACACTTCTGAGAACTTAAATTATTAGGAAAACTAAATTTTTTTTGAGGTTATGTTTAATATTCAATGAAACATAGATCAACCTACGAACTTAGTATGAACTCAGTTTGAAGTGAATTAATATTACAACTAATTCATTTTATTCGGTGCGATTTTAAAGAATGACTATTAGGAAAAACTTGGTTAGGCAAGAATCATGAATAAAATAAAAACTAGTTTTGCTTCTTATTATTTATTGGCTATTTTTCACATAATTGTATCATATTGTATTTATTTGTTTAACACATGTATATTGTGTAAATATGCAGCGTGAATGTATATCAGGTGCTCTTGAATAATTTGGCAGTATGATCCTCTCAGGATGTTGTGGCACAGGTTCACTAGCACTTGGTAATAAGGTCTCTGCTTTTTGGTAACATCTATGGCATATTAGATAGCCGAAATAGTAAAAGTTAAATTAAAGGAAAAACAATCGCAAATAAACACACACAACAGGTAATCCTAAAACGAGAATTTTCCGTATATAAAAAGTACTCTTTGACGAAAATGCACGAATGCCACAGATTACTACGAATGCAAACTGCCTGGACCACAACCACAGAGTATCGAGTTTATGCCGGCCCTTCACTTGACAACAGTTTGTCCTTGTCATGCTTAATAAGGAATGAAAAGGACAGACTAATGTCATGTTTTTAAATAGCAAATACGACTAGCCAAGTGAAGTGCCGGCATTAGGAAGAAAGTGTTTTGTTTGCAGCGCTGTCATAGATTATACACATATTTATTGTCTCAGATTATTTATTAACTTTTTAATTTAGCTTACTTAATTGGAAGTGTCCGTCATAATCTAAATACTGATAATTATCGCAAAAAATATACTAAGAATTATCATAAATGCCAAATTGGTGTTGGTTCTTAGGCCAATTTTAACATTGTCCTTTAAGTTTAGGTTTAGAGAATCATGCCAGAATCGACAACACTATAAACTTGTAGAAAATGTTATTTGCCTAATGCATCTAATTAGATTTAAAGGACTGTAATAACAGTATTTTGTATATTTTTTTAAGCATGAAACTGCTCGATGTTCAAATCTAAAGAAAATATTACTGAAAAAGAATCCACGCGGACCAAGTCCCGTCTGCTGCCTGATACGCGTGGTTTTTTTTCTAGTAATATTTTCTACTAGAGGTCGCCCGCGAGTTTGTCTGGGTTAACTTAGTTTCTTGAAACTCTCTCTGGAACCTAACATTTTTTCGGGATAAAAGTAGCCTATGTGTGAATCTAGGGTGTCAGCTAACTCCATAACAAATTTTATTAAAACTGATCCAGCCGTTTAGACGTGAAGAAGTAACAAACATACACACTCACAAACTTTCGCCTTTATAATATTAGTGTGATTGGTGTGATAAGTCTTTTAAATAAACTTGACACACATTGAAAACTCTAACAAAACACAAAACATTATTGCCAAACGAAAACAAAAGCAAGAATCGAAATATGATTTGCATCACATAAAATATACCAGTTTATAAAAACAATGTTCATGGTCAAGTTGAGACCTTGGCTGTCCACCGCAACGTTCGTAATGACTCCCAAATTAGGTGTGCAAACAAGTTTTACGGCATATGTTACACAATTTAGAAAGTATGTTCAACGTATGTGCTATACCATACCATAGCGAACTCTTTTCTATAGTATTGTTGCTTTATTTTTTTTATTGCTCACCTCGATCTAATTCTGCAAATTAGTAACTGCTACAATACTAATTGCCAATAAATGAAAATGTACTGTTAATTTTATAAAAATATATTTTTCCTATTTTTGGGTCAAATTGAAAAAAAAGAACAATTAACTAAGTGATCAAATAATGTAATTGAAAAAAAAGAGTCTTATAAAACCCAATTTAGGAAATCAGTTTTTAGAAATTTTATTTGTTGAGGAAAATGATGATGATTTGGGTATGGAAAATTCTACAACAATCTATTTACTAAAGAATTTTTTTACAATATTACCTATGTCATCAAGAATTAATTATTAATTCACTCAGACAGACCATATTTACCGCAAAATCATTCATATGAATTCTTAATATATTGGGGAAAAAATTGATTGTAGCATTGAACAGGGCTACATGTGATATGTATTGTGACGAAAGTAGGTATAGATTTTTTTTTATAACTTACCTCTAAGCCACCTCAATAAAAAGTGATCGTTGTATTCCGGTTTAAGGACATCTTTTACGCTCCTTCGAAACTGTAACAATCAGAAAAAAAGTTTGTTCATATAATCTAGGTATAGAGAGGAAATTAAAAATTATTAAAAACTAACTGAAGATTTTGGTAAATAAAGGTGGCATTAATCGGCTAAAGATTAATGCACACTATATAGTGATGCTAGCGCATGATTAATGCCTCTTGTTGCTAAGCAACATCATTGACTTAACCTTGAAGACGTTTTCCATCAACCTACATAAACAGCTGTCGAGTCGAGTTACTATATAATGAAATATTTGTTTACAATCATCAAAATACTATATTTAATAACATTTTTGTACAAATCATCATATCATTTAGTTCGCAATGGCGGAAGGGGACAATATTTCAACATTTAGTGTAGATGGAGGGCAAGACACTGTGGGATTACCGAGAATAGTGATGGTCACAGAAGGATCTGACACGTCAGCATCATCGGCATCTTCCACCTCATCCTCGGAAGACAACTGGGCAGACCTCATCAAATCGGCGGAAATACCTCCCGAGTACTGGCATATCCAAAAACTAGTAAAATATATGAAGGCGGGTAATCAGACAGCGACGATGGTCGCATTGTCTTGCCTCAAAGATCACGATTTGACTGTTGAAGTTAATCAAAGAGCTATCCAAGAGATAGGGGGATTGGAATTGCTTGTGAATTTATTGGAGACAAGAGATTTGTGTTGCATTTTAGGGGGACTAGCTGTTCTGAAAGATATCACACCAAATATTGAAATAAGAAAAAAGGTCACAGACTTAGGAGCTATACCCCTACTGGTCGGATTACTGTCAGACCCAGCAAGGGATGTGCAGATACTATCTGCCGAAACAATAGCCAATTTGGGTAGAATCCGTAAAAGCAGAAAGTTTTGCAGAAAATTTGGCGGCATTCCGAAGTTGATTGATCTTTTGGACATAAAAGAGCGGTAAGTGGATTTCGTATTATATTTTTCTGTACTTTAAATACTACAAAAGCTGCAATAACATTATTTCAAAGATGAAAATATGTATACTTAGTAATATTTTATTCATACGTTCAGATATCTAGTAACTCCACGAGAAGAATTGAACCTTGATGAAATACAGTTTTTGGATATTGCGCGTGCAGGCGCTAAAGCTTTGTGGTCCATGTCGTCTTCTCAAAGAAATCGTGAAGCTATGAGAAAGTATGGCATGATCCCTTTGATAGCACGAATACTTAAAACTATCCATTTAGACGTGGCAGTACCAGCAGTCGGTCTTTTGCAAATGTGTGCAAACGAGACTTCATTCCAATTGGCGATACAAACAGAAAAAATGGTCACGGACCTCATCACACATCTGGCGAATGAAGATAAAGACTTGAAGGTTAGATGAGAAAAAATGACACTTTATTGTGTAGAGCGTTAGTTTAACTTAACGCAAGAACGATATTAAATACCCTAGATACACGTGCGCTCAAAATTTTTCCCAATCTAGAAGTGCTTTAACGCGACTCAAGCACTTCTTAGTTCACAGTTACACGCGGACTGTTGAAATGGATAAAAATGCGAAATAAATACTTATAGTTTCTTTTTTTCGCGATCCGTACTTGCAATATTGCTCACAGCGCATTCAGAATTGCGCGTCAAATAAATAAGATCTATATCGCATATAGCAATAAGTCGTAACATTTTACGAGCTTGCATTTTGAACTGTCATAACTCTTTGAAGCACGCGTTTTAATTTAGACCATATACAGTATGTATTAATTAATGTTTAAATAATGCCTTATATTGTTTTTGACTACGCAGTCATCTTACCAATCATGGATCATCCAATGTACCTTTTGGACAGGTTTCGGCCGCGATTTTCTTCGTGATGTATCTAGGGTATTTTATATCGTTGTAACGCAACCATAACATGGCATAGCATTGTTACGCGAACTGAATATTAAGAATGTGTGACTATTGGTACATGACTACATCATCATCTCTTGACCCATATTACGATGTATGTCTTTATAGCTTTCTCTATTTAAGTATCTCTTTTCAGACCTACTGTAGTTTGGCGATATATAAATGCGCCAGCGATTCTATTACTAGAGACATGATACGAGAAGCAGGTGGACTAGAGTTATTGGTGGAAGCTGCACAGGACACCACAAACAGGGCCAATAAACCTCTAATGGCAGCTGTCACAGGAGCTCTTTGGAAGTGTGCCAATAGTGATGCAAGCGTGAAGAAACTGGATAGTCTTGGCGCTGTTCCCATACTAGTCAAACTTTTGGACGACGAAAATGATGGGGTCTTGACCAACGTAGCTGGAGCTCTGGCCGAATGTGCAAAACATCCACCAAATCGAGACAAAATCAGATCCGCTGGTGGTATCCCTATGCTCAGTGAGTACAATATGTATGCCTACCTTTTTACATAGACTTAAATTATGTCGTTAAGACTTTAAGAACACCTCTTTCTGTGTGCTGTGGTAAATCTTAATACAAAGTAGCATAATAGCTGAGTCTATTGGAAATATTTTACAGTTTTGGGATACTTGACCTGTGGCTGTCTGTACTAATTTGGAGTGTTATTCTAGATATATCCAAATATTCATTGGTTATTTTGAATACTTCGAAATTATTATAATTAATGTATGTTGTTTTTGTAGTCCATCATCTCAACAACACACATAAACCTTTATTGGAAAACGTTCCCTTGGTTTTAATGGAATGTGCCAAGGAACAAAGTTGCATGCTAGAAATTGACGAGCTGGACGGAGTGCGACTTGTTTGGTCATTATTAAAGAATGATTCGAAAAAGGTGCAGACGAACGCCGCTTTAGCCCTGAGCCCTTGTGTTCAAAATGCCGCTGACTCTGGTGAAATGGTCCGCTCATTTGTCGGTGCATTGGAATTGACCGTGGATTTGTTAGACTCAGATGACCACAACGTCCTGTCGGCGGTGTGCGCCGCAATCGCGACCATTGCAAAAGATCACGAGAATTTGGCCGTGATCTCAGACCACGGCGTTGTGGCTAAGCTTTCGAAACTCGGTAAGTTAGCAGGTAGCTGTTTATTACACTTTGATGAGTGGTTAGAGTGTTTAAAAATAGATTATGTTTGCTTTTGCAGTAAGCACTACTGATGACCATCTCCGTGCGAATTTGGGAGTTGCGATAGCTTATTGTTGTGACTGGGCCCAAAACCGGCAAGAGTTTGGCAGGCGTGGTGCCATCACACCTTTGGTGAACTACATGACGTCACGAGACCCTGCTGTACATAGAGCGACAGCCCTAGCTCTCTACCACCTTTCGTTCTACTCCATTAATTGCGTCACCATGCATGCTGTAAGTATGGGAATGTCTTTTTTGCAAAGTTGATGCAAGATTTCTTATAGCTGCTCTATCATTTATAATATGCACTTGCACCACACATACAGTATTTTTAGTGGCTTAACAAAGCTTTTCACTTATAATCTTTTAGAAATTTACAGTTTTGTTCATTGCTATTTATGTTGTTTATTCTTCTTTAAATACTGTTCTAAGATTAACTTTTAATCGAAATTCGGCCTCACCGCTGTCATTATATATTCTAGGCAGGGGTAGTGCAATTCCTCCTAGAGACCATTGGATCAAAAGATCCCATACTGCAAGAGGCATCAGCTGGTTGTTTGTGCAACATAAGGAAGCTCGCCTTGGCCACAGAGAAAATCAAACTGAAGCAATAGATTAAATTAATACTCATATTAAATGGAACTTTTATTTATTGTTAATTAAATGATATGTTATTATCAAAATAGGTATGAATATTGAGCTTTCAATGTTATTGTGTATTACCTGTCCAAAATAAAAATAATGCTTAAAAACGGTTTTTTGCTCTCTTGGGTAATCACCATAATAATAATCCATTAATTAAAAGAGCACGATGGAAAAACTAAAATCGCTTAGTTTTTTTTTACTTGTATTATGAAGACGCTTGTAAATAGGTACTACCGTTGCGAAAACAGAGGCAAAACATGCGAGCCTGTTTGCATTGTTTGTTGACTTCATAGATTAGACAAACCGCTCTCTGCAAATCTTAAATAGTGTGATTTATTAAATTGAATTCTAAGGATTCTATCGACGTGCTATCAGTAAAAAAAAATAAAGTTAATTTGTTATTCGAATTTTAAAAGGTTTATACTTACAGGGGGAAATTGGATTAAATTATAATTGTGTTTGTTCTGTTTTAATATAATAACGTTGGTTAATCATGAAATAGAAAAAAAACCTGCCAAGTGCGAGTCAGACTCGAGCACCGAGGGTTCTGTACAAACTCAATTTAATACCTCTACGCATTCATGAGAAAAGTGGTAGTAACTTTAAAATTCTCAAAAATATTTTTTATTATATGATGTAACTAACAGTTTATGGTATTCGCAATTTTTCCTTTATCTGTACTATAAGACGTTACTTCGTATCAAATTTCAAGATTCTAAGTTCACGGGAAGTACCCTGTAAGTTTTGATTCCCGTGCGAGTTTCGAAAATTTGCGGAAATTTGCGGCATAAACGGCTGTATCTTTTGATTGCTTTGGTTTAGAAGTTTGATTTTTTTACAGCTCTTCCTGAGAAAAACGGTCTTGACAGACGGACGGACGGACAACAGATTGATCCTATAAGGGTTCCGTTTTTTCCTTTTGAGGTACGGAACCCTAAAAAGATTTTGCGGTTGTAGGTATAACAAGTAGATGCAGGTGAAGCTGCCTTCTGCTTTCGAGTTTTCTTTGAAGGAATTAAGAATATTGATATTGATTTAGCTTCCTTATCTAAAATCTTTATTGATAAAAAGCTCTCGCTTTGTTAAGGTTTCTAAAATAAAATATCATCTTTAAAAACTGAATCTGTATGCTATGTAATAAAATTAATAACATTGACCTTTAAAATATTTCGACAGTAACCGTTAACAGTTTCGACAGTTATTGACTTACGAATTAAAAGTCACCATGAGTGGCAATAGGTAAGAAACTATTTATTCACGTTTGCACAGTGCAAATAGAACTGTATTTAGCACTTTTTAATTTATTTCAAGATTTTGTGTGTGCCCACGCAAAGAGAATAGTTACTGATCTCGGTAGCTGGAATCTAGCTGTTCTTTATTATTTATGCAAACTATACACATTAATGTGACTTTTCCCTTTTTAAAATAGGTATTCCTGCGCTTTCCAAACAAAAAAAATGCTGTGGTTTTTGAAACCACGCTGCAAGTAAAACTTTTAAAGGTACATATTCTTAGTTTGTTGATCTTATGTTACTCTTGCTTAAAAAGAGTGGACAAAAAACGGATATGTGTAGTTCACATGCGATAAAAGTGAAACCTTCAGAACTGTGACCACGTTTAAGTCCTTCATGACTAGGAACGTCTTAAAGACAAATGTGACCTGTGTTAAAATTCAACTGTCTAGGTCAAAATTAAATATTTTATTTATTTATTTATTTTTATTTATTTATTTATTCTTTATTACCAAAAACAGTAAATGGCGGACTTAATGCCATAAGCATTAAGTCCGCCATTTACTTATTTTATACTTAAATTGTTTCCAAAAATAAAATAGCTTAATAAAAGAAAATAAATGTGCGTTATGTTTGAAGACGTTAAGTATTAAACTAATGAGTTTTAATGAAACTTAAATTTAAAGAAAATATAACTAGAAAAAAAAATGAAAAGATGGCGCTGCCTTGCAGCTTAAGAATAGCTAGAAGGAATTTCGACGCGGTCCGTGAGGGCCGCGGTAGCATAATTGGTCAGTGCATTCGCCCGGATTGCGAAGGGTGCGGGTTCGAGTCCCGTCTGCTGCCTGGTCCGCGTGGAATTTTTTTCTAGTTATATTTTCTTTAGATTTAAACATCAAGCAGTTACATGCTTTAAAAATAATAAAAATTATAAATATAATTGCTATTTCTTCTTTCAAATGTTTAATACTTGTAAAAGTATTCATTTGACATTGTGGGTTTACCTATAATGCGAAGAGATGGCGCTGCCTTGCAGCTTAAGAATAGCTAGAAGGAATTTCGACGCGGTCCGTGAGGGCCGCGGTAGCATAATTGGTCAGTCAGACGGGTTCGAGTCCCGTCTGCTGCCTGGTCCGCGTGGAATTTTTTTCTAGTTATATTTTCTTTAGATTTAAACATCAAGCAGTTACATGCTTTAAAAATAATAAAAATTATAACTTAAATTTAATTTAAGTTATATTTTTCGCAAACAATAATAAGCTTTATTACTTCGATAAAAAGTTTCATAAATGTACTTGTTCCGATCAACGTAACGGAGCACGCTCCATCTAAGGAATTTTAAGCATTTTCCGATCAACGTGTGTGTGAGAGTGGCCTAACTCATTTTTTTACAATATTGAATTTATGATTTTGATCGAAATGTTTTATTTATTTAATATCGTTAGTAAGTAATACTATTTATTGTTGAAAAAAATTTAAAGCTTTAGTTTAATTGCAGTTTTTTTGAATATTCAAAGTTAATTCAAACTGTGTTAAAGAAATAAAATAATATAAGTATGGATGAAAGTACAAACATTGACTTTTTTTCAACATTGAACTTAGCGCACTCTGCTGGTGCATTTGAAAACTAATTCACGTTCCAATTAAGCATCAGCATCGGCATTGTGCGCCACTGAGTCGCATTATGCTCTGTAATTGGAAAACTACCATCATAAGGTGTAATTAACTACCACGAATACACGAATGCAGTTGCTACACGTACACGGTCCGATGCACTATTGATGCAATCCACGAGTTTCGCAGAGGATATTATGCTGGCAGATGACGGCCCATTTCTGCCTGTTGTTGACGGGGTTTTGCGGTCCGTGGTGTGTTACGTGATTCACTTCCCTTTATTCGCTTCTCTCGCTTGCCCATTCACTAGAGTTATTATAGGTAAGTAGGTACCTAATCATTGAAATAACGGAACGGTCGAGACGAGACGTGCGAGAGTCGTAATAAGTATCAATTTTTATCGCAATCCAAGCAAGATGACGGTCTCTCTCTAAATACACAACAGTGTAGTGTTGCTGATATTTCTGACACATTGATTTCTCTATGATACAAATAGGTGTTATAGGAATATGTATAATTGAGATTAAGAGAGGTTGAAGAGCTCGATGGCGCATGTGGTTAGCGCGTTCGACTGCGATCGTTGAAGTTAAGCAACTTTCGCAGTGGTCGGTCATTGGATGGGTGACCAAAAAATTTACTATCTTGAGCTCCTCCGTGCTTCAGAAGGCACGTTGGTTCCGGCTACATCTGCAGTCGTTAGTACCCGCCAATCACTGGGCCCGCGTGGTGGGTCATGGCCTAATCTCCCTATTCCATCCATAGGGAAGGCCTGTGCCCCAGCAGTGGGGACATTAATAGGCTGATGATGATGATGATATATAAAGTCTGTATCAAAAGCGGAGTATAATTTGAATATAGATCTATCACTTGACTGAGGATGTTTCCGTTCCGCAACTCAGTTTTAATTTGGCGCCACTTTTACGTCTTGAGTCTACTTTTCACACCTCAACTACTAGTAGGGTTGCCACCTTTTTTTTGTCGAAATAAAGTACATTGAATATTAAAGGTAGATAAGAAAAGTACATTGTGTCCAAAATAAAGTACTTTTTATTCCACTTTATTAGTAAGCTTAAAAATATATTTTACGTTGCTACAAGCAGCTTTTAATAAATAATTTGCGGCTACTAAAAATTTGTAGTTCTTTTCCGCAGTAAGAAAGATCATGATACAAAGTTATACAGCTACGAAAATATTGCAGGAATTAGCTAAGGGCGACATATTCATACTTTCTGTCCGTTTTACGCAAAAATTCTTCCTGTCAACCTCTTTTTGTATGTTTTATGTAAAATTAATCCCCGGGTAATCAAATCACATTGAATTAAGTATTTTCGCGTACTTTATTGTTGGCATAAAGTATAAAGTGCAATTATTTGAAATAACGTAAAGTACTTTATAATAAAGTACTGGTGGAAACCGTAAAGACTGTGGCCACTAGCCACATCGGATAATCGAAGTGTCACTTCTTGCCTTCTCATCGGTCATCAAACGAGAATTGCTATAGGCAGTTGCACATTTATCTAAACATTTGTTGCTTAACCAATCTTACGCAAGCCCTTATTATCACGAAATACACTCATTGAGCGTTAAGAGGAACGCAGTAAAAGTTAGAATAACATAAAATATTTTCTGATTTCGTAATGGCTATAATAATACCAATATTCTGTTATTTGAAATGACAATAGATTTATCTGTTAATTCTCTTTGGCTTGTAGTAGAAGAAGCTATACATGGAGGAATATGGATATTTTTTTTATTATATGGGTTTTGTTGTTTACAGAATCATTTTTTTTACAAAAGACTACCTATGCTATGAGTATTGATTGAAGGAATGGAATGGAATGAATTTTCTAAGTTTGAGGATTTTGAGCCAATTTGAGCAACGATATAGTTAGTATGAGTGAAAAATTGATAGTGCCAGATTGTCGACGTTGCTCACGCGGCCGTTTCTATATAATCAACTAGAGAGAAATCTAAGAGATATGCCTATTACACTTAAGTTGCGTTGTAACTGGTTGAATCGAAACAAGGGTGGGTAAGCTTGCCTTTTAATGGAGGTTGATTATTAAACCTGGTTTTTAAGCTAAGTTTAATTGATAAATATTAATTGATAATGATGTCGATTCTGGCATGACTCTAAACTTAAAACTAAATTTAACATCAATCTCTCCTTTTAAAGAATGGCAAGGATTCACTGTTGACAAAATTAATTTTAGGTTTGGATAATCATACCAACTTTGACACCAGTGTTTACCTAAACCTACTTAGGTACACTAACAATGAAGTGGCCCAGACTTTACGAGTGACCATGTCTGTGATTTTTAACCGACTTCAAAAAAGGAGGAGGTTCTAAGTTCGAGTGTATAATTTTTTTATGTATGTTCTCCGATTTCTCCGTCAATTGTGGACCGATCTCCATAATTCTTTTTTTTAATCAAAAGAGTGCACTTCCGAGGTGGTCCCATTGGAACCAAGTCAGGATCTGATGGTGGAATACGGGGAAATCGAGGGAAACCTTCAAATTTCAAAGGTACGAACGCAGTTTTTTATGCTTGTTCACCGATTTTTCCGTCAATTGTGTTATTTTACTTGGACAATGTAATTTTCACTAATATGGACAAAATAATTTTTTTAAAGAAAAATTAAAACTGACTTCAACATCTAAAATGAAACTAAAAAGTAAATAATAGTATCTGGTTCATGATTTGGAAGTCGGTTTTATTTTTGATCAATAATTGTTCATGTTAAAAACGATACTAGCAGACATGTTCTCAAAGAGTAACAACAGAAAGGGATGACAGATTTATTTATCGAGTAAAAAAAACGGGAACATAACACTTTTTGTATGGGAGCCCTTTAATACTTTGTTATACTAATAGAGGCAGTAGAAATAAGTCATCTGTAAAAATTTCAACTGTCTAGTGATAGCTAGACAGTTGGTTCATGAGATACAGCCTGCAGTGACAGACGGACAGTGGAGTCTTAGTAAAAGGGTCCCTTTTTCACCCTTTGGGTACGGATCCCTAAAAAAGTGTCCCCCCAAATGAAACCACGCAGCCTTCGGAACGAAACAAGCTACCTACACGAATTACATAATCATCCTTTTTTGTTATCCAGTGTTTGGTTTGGTTGGGTTTTAAACTATAAATAAATAATCAGATGATGACCAAAGTTTTTGCTTTTCGGAGACAAAAACAGGTTTAAATGACGTCGAACATCACGTCAAGACGTTCCGCACTATAGGAACGTTGATCGGATAAAATAATATTCAATGAAATGTGCGCAGAAAAGTTTACATACATTTTGGGGATTTCAGTAAATGCGGGAATCTTATTAATTAATTAGTAATTAAGAATGTTTTAACAAAATTATCGTGTTACCTTGAAAGCAGTTAATTTACAATTTATCTGTAGATTAACTAATAAAGGCGCAATAATTAATATGAAAATGAAACATAAAAAACTTACATCTTTTATTAAAAAAAACAGTGCTAATTTGTAATGGGACAATTAGATTATAAACAATTAAATAATTTTGTGCAATTCACTCTTTCTTTAGTTACTTACATTACATCGCGTTCTTTGTTTGCTATTAAAAAGTTGTAAAAGTTAACTACCTATACAAAAGTTGTAGCTTGTAGCAATTTTAAATGTCAAGTTTTTTCGTAGCACAGAGTCTAATTCATTTTAAACTTTGCATGCTGACACGAAACCCTTCGTCTGCGAATCCCACTCACCCTTGGCCGGTTTTTTTGTAACCTTAGTACAGCATGAGGTAATAAAACTTGTTATCAGCTGTATATTAATTCCTGAATAAATATCGCCAAAGATTTATCACAACAGAATATTTAGTCGCGTACATGATTAATTATTTCATTCTACTTAGATTGAAATAAATAATAAGGGTATATGGCTTGTTCCGTGATATTTTTATTATTATGGTACCTACACATATAAGATGGAATAAAACTTTTTTAACAAAAAATAAAAAAAAGTCACGCAAGTAGGTACTCTTCTCAAATTAGATAAAATACAATGCAAAGCCCTTAGAATAATAACTGGGGCTATGAAGTCCAGTCCTACCAATGCACTAGGAATCGAATGCTGTGATCCTCCATTACATTTAAGACGACAATGGTGTCGATTCTGGCGTGACTCTAAACTTTAAATTAAAACATATTTTGGAATCTGAATTCAATAGGTTCCATCATGTATTTTGAGATACATCTAAGTGCAATTCGTCAGAATGTGTAGGAATTGGTATCTGTCATGCACAAATCCAAATAGTGCAGTACCCTTAGCACAAACAATATCGAATTCGAATAGTTTGCAAGTGCGAAATGTCATTGTCAAATGTGTACTGATTTTTAGTTCTCGTTATGTCCGTTGTGGCGCTGCTTTTCAAGTTTCCCTACAAAATTAGACAATGACATTTCAGACTCGCAGTCTATTCGAATTCGATATTGGTTCGTGCTAGGGGTACTGAAAATTAAACTTCCTCCGGAGTCTATTGTTTACACAGAGAGTGTTTTGGCCTTTTGAAAGCGGTAGAGTAAGTTCGACTCATGAAACTTCCAAAAACTCTAATATTTTGCGACTCTAAAAATGCCCTTCAGGCTTGAAGAAATTCCCTTTTAAACTTAAACTACATTCCCCTGTACAATTTGTTACTCCTGAATTAGTTAATGAGTGCAAGACTAAAGGGTTTGTAGGTTTCTTGTTTTTTTTTTGACTAGGTATCTATGCGAAATGTATTCATTTGCTAACTGAATACATTTCGCATGGATTTGATGGTAATACTAAGGCTCATCAACTAGCGTATGAAGCATTAACATACGGAGATTTAGTGCCGTACGAAAATTGTAGTCACTTCCAAAATTGTATCTTAAAAATGCATGGCAAACGTTTTGGGACACACGCCAACATATTATAGGTAGATTGTATGCACAGATTCAAAAAGTCATACTTTTAAAACCATTGTTTTGGAAAATCAAGCTGGACAAAATAGAATCCTCAATAATAATCCGATTAAGATTAGGTCATACATGTACTCCTTCCCATCTTGCGAGCCTTGATAAGTATACTTAATAGTCCCATTTGCGGGTGTGGGTTGGATGAGGGAGATTAATCCAAATCTACTTCTTCTGTCCTCGTTTCCATAGAACCCCCTTTTTCAATATCCTGATATCCATTTCCCACAAATTTATCCCAACTTCTAGTATTAAATGACCCTTGTCTATTCTATGTAAATTAAATTCTTCCTAGGTACTTCCCTGATCCTTTCTCTTTAGTATTCTGTATCCTTTTGCTTTAAAATCCTTCCGTTTCCCTAATTTTTGAGTGGTGCAAAGCCAAGGAAAAGAAAGAAAAAAAATGATCAAGCCGATTGATATAATCTATCTAATATGAGTTGTTACGGAGTTGAAGAATGTACTAATTATATCAGTTGCTAACGCCTTGTAATATGGGTTAGTTTCCAATAACATTAATTTAACAAGAAGTGCGCCACAAATCGGATACCACCATTTAGTTGAAATATTGTAGTGCTATTTAAAAAAAAATGTACCCAGACTTCCCCTAAATCGAATTCGAAATGTTCTTATTATGAACGTAATGAGTTCTGCATTAAGAAATCATAGTAAGCCTCCAGTGTTGTTTTCAATAAAAGTGAGGTTTGTTTATTTTAATATCTGCAATCTTGTTAGATTAGAACCTAGCAATCGAATATTAAACATTAATCAATAGATAAATTAACTATATTTATCAAGGATGTAGTCGTCATTCTGTTTAAAATTTTGGAAATCAGTACAAAAAAAAACTTATCGGTTCTGTAGGATTTTCTACTTACCAATTTTTTTATACATATTTTATTGTCATCTCCGCTAGGAGTACCTTTATTCTTGTATTGTCGTGGAATCGTAGTAATGCTAATGCTAAATATAGGCATTATGTTATAAGTAGTGGAAGTACAATGTCCTCAATGTGTTATCACTTTCATTATTTTGACTTGCATGTTAAACGACGAAAACAGTTAAGCGGACCGCATAATATTTACTTATCCAATTATTCACCATCATCAATATTATTGAGCACCTTTGAATACTTGTAGGTGCTCAAGAGATTATCCCAACTTAATGAATTATAAGATTAACGCATTAAATATAAAGAAAATAATAAAGAACTAATATAATTACTTAAATAAATAAGAATAAAGTAGGTATGCAGTAGGTATCTACGCACCTTCATAAGAGCAAAACGTTGGTCGTCGTCGATTCCAACAACGCTATTTGTAACCGGTGCCATTTCACTGTGTGACAAGTTATCAACCGTCCGCTTTAACTGACACACTTGTATTATTCAAATAGGAACTAAATCCGTGTGGAGCGCGCGAGTGACGGCGCGATTCTGATAAAAAAGTTCATTATACAAAAGGGAAGGGTATACAGTGCGGCTGCTCCAACTACTACACACACAGCAGTGGTCAGTGCCAGTGCAAGGATGATAAACAAAACAAAACACGGCGCGTGCGTTTGCGTGTGCGCACCGATTCACGTACTTAGGTACTAACGGTAACTGAACAGTTCAAGGTGAATGAGTCACACCAAATCAATTTTTATTATTTCAATATATAGCAGTTTCGAGCTTAACTTCAAATATTACTAGACAGCTTGACAGTTAAGCTATCTAAAACTTTAATTTTTTTCCAGCAGAGTTTAAGCTTTACTAGCCTTCAAATAAGATACATAATCAATTCTAGTTATAGGTGCCTCCAGGAGTGGATTTTTATTTTTTTATTTTATTTTTTTTAGGAACATAGAACAGTTATACACTAAATATTACATAAAATTATAATGTAGATATCAATTAGGTAAGTGTACAACCCACACCAATGTCCACAAATTAATGATGAAAGGAGAAGTTTATTATCTTCTCACTACGGAATAATAAACTAAAAAACCGCGATGAACCGGTACAGATACAAGTATGATATCCAATTCCATCAACCCGTTCTATTTGATAATGTTTCTACTGCCATTTTTTTAAACTTTAATTTTGTGAACCCAAATATGTCTAATTCTGCAAAGTTTGTGTTATAATTATCCAGTAGTCGCCGAAGGGGCGCACGCACTTCCGCATTCGTTCTACAGGTCCCAGTATAAAACAGCCGAGGCGCGCGCACCCCTCTGCGGAATACCGATCTAGGTACAACATAACACAAATAATTTGTGAGGTTATTACAATCGAACCCGTTATTACAAATGCCATGCAACATCATGGCCATGAGTAGGTAACGTCTGGACTCCAAGCTCAAAAGTCCGTAATGAGTCAACAATTCCGCATAAGAAATTCTACAATGATGTAACTTGTAATGTATCCTACGTGAAAACTTCTTTTAAACCTTTTCAAGTCTGTCCACATATGTATCGTAAAGCGGACACCAAATTGGAACTGCGAATTCAAGCTGAGAGCGAACCAAGGTCATGTAAAGAGTAAGAAAAGTAGAAGAACGCCTGAAATCCGTGGATGACCTCATGACAAAACCATACATACGATAGGCTTTGTTTATGATATTGTTGATATGTTCGTCAAAATGCAGTTTACTGTCAATCACCACCCCTAGATCGCGAATATTAGTTACTTTATTTATGTTAACACCGTTAATATTATATGTATAGTTCAAAACGTTTTTTTCTTTTTGGTGAAGATTATAGAATTGCACTTATCCAAATTTAAATGTAGTTTATTTTTTCTACAATAATAAGAAAGTCTGTCTAAGTCTTCTTGTAGCATATGACAATCGTCTACGGTCCTACAGGGTTTGTAAATTTTCATATCATCTGCGTACATGAGGAACCTGGAGTTCGTAAAACAGCTTTTTATGTCATTAATAAATAGGATAAACAAAAGAGGTCCCAAGATCGATCCCTGCGGAACTCCAGAGGTTGCACACACAATTTCAGACTCAAAGCCGTTAACCACCACCCTATGAGTTCTGTTATAAATATATGATGAAAACCACCGCAATAAATTACCACGTATACCATTGAACGCAATTTTATCCAAAAGCAATTTATGATCAACCTTATCAAAACATTTCCGAAAGTCTGTGTAAACAGCATCTACCTGAACCCGATTAACCATATTTTCAAACAAAAAGTTTGTATATATCATCAGATTAGTCGAAGTAGAGCGACGTTTGACAAATCCATGTTGCTCCGGTATAATAATGTTTTGAATTTGCGGGTACAGATTTTCATGTACCAGACCCTCAAATAGTTTAGACAACGCCGATAACTTGGAAATAGGACGATAATTTCCGATGTCATTTTTATCCCCACCTTTATACACCGGTGTGATAAAAGCATGCTTCCAGATGTCTGGGAAACAGCCCTCACTCAAGCATTTATTATATAAAATATGTAATGGTTTAACTATATTGTCCGAAACCTGTTTTAAAAATATAGGTGGTATGCCATCTGGTCCCGCCCCCTTGTTAACATCGAGTTTTTTAAGTGCGTTCTGAATTGAACTGGTGGTCAGATAGATGTCACATACACAATTTGAAACTTCACTCTGTGTGCTCAATGGCTGCCAATGACATGGATCAAGAGAGGAAGGCTCATAAACCGAAGCAAAAAAATCCGAGAGAAGGTTGCAAATCTCGGTTGGATCACTGGAAGACACATTATTTCGGTGCATAGTAGAAGGTAGACCAGCATTACCCCTACGACCTGAGATATAGTGCCAAAAGTGCTTCGTATTCAAGGGAATAGTTGTTTCTACAGAATCGATATACTTTCGGAAACACTTTTCAGAAACTGATTGGAAATGTTTCCGATTAATGGAAAATTTCTCATAATCCAACAAATTACCATACTTTTTCCATTTAATCCAAGTACGTTCTTTTTCTTTGCACAGTCGTATCAGTGCATGTGAAAACCAGATAGGGTAACGTTGATTTTTCGGATAATTGAAAGGTACATGTGTCTTAATTATTCCGTAAAGCAAATCATAGAAAGTCTGTACGCTTTCCGAGGCTGATAAATTAAAAAAACTTTTGTCCCTTCTAGGATTCTCCTTCATGTAGGTTTGTAGAATATTGGTGTGTTGTTACAGTGTTTAATCTCCATAAGCCCAGTTACCTTAGTCACAAGGCTGCTTTCGCCTCATCTTGTACATATAATCAAGTCTAGGGGTCTTTAGTTCAGGAGGTACTCTAATGCAGCGCATGGAGTTGTTATCATGCATCCAGTTGCTGCTATGCTCGCCAAGCATTGTAGACTTTGATTTCACTGTGGTCAATTGGGTCCTGGGGCACCAAACAACTGAACCGTAGGTTATTGAGGGCCTGAACTGCTGTGTATACCCAAAGAATGATCTTTGCACTAAAACACCATTTTTTACCAACTAGTCTTCTACGCTGATTAAAAGCTATGCAGGCCTTCTTTGTTTTTGATTCGTTATGACTAGCCCAACTCAGTTTGGTATCAAGTATTACGCCCAGATATTTCACTTGTTTTAATAGGGAGAGTTTGGTATTAAACAGTTTTCCTAACTGTAGCTCTGGTAACTTCCTTTTGTTGGTGATAAGGACAAGCTCTGTCTTATTTAGGTTTACTGACAAGTGATGTTCGTTACACCATTTTTCTACAATCTGAAGGGCTGAACGCATAACTTTGCAAAGGACATTTTACAGTACAGGTATTATGGAATAAAAAATATTTTTTTTAACAAAACATTTAATTTATAACATGTTCAAATATCCCATTAACAAGCTTATAAATAATTAATTTATTACTTTATACAGCAAAATTAAACAGGTTAAATTGTTATTCTATCATTATGAGTTATTATAATTTACTCTGCGGATATCAAAACCTTATGTAAAATATATCTATGTAACACAAATCATATCAGGAAGTATTAATTATTTTCAAAATTGTGCCTTCATTAGGTCAACATCTATTACATATAAAAATATTGATGTATTTAATGTCTAAGATGAAGATGAAGAGGAGCTAGATTGCGCATCTGGCGTTCGGCTGCGATCGTTGAATTTAAGCAACTTTCGCAGTGGTCGGTCGTTGAATGGGTGAATAAAAAATAATATCTCGAGCTCCTCCGTGCTTTGGAAGGCACGTTAAGCCGTTGATCCCAGCTGCATCTGCAGTCGTTAGCACCCACCAATCCGTTCTGAGCCTGCGTGGTGGGTCATGGCCCAATCTCCCTATTCCATCCATAGGGAAGGCCTGTGCCCCAGCAGTGGGGATATTAATAGGCTGGTGATGAATGTCTAAGATTATTACTCTAGAATGAATTTTATTTCATCACAGTAAAGAGAACACCTCCCCTTTCAAGTTCTTCATCATGAACCTCTTTATCACTTCCTTCAACATCGGACGCTTCCGAATCCTCAGTATCATCTACTCTGTATGTTCCAAACTTAGTAGTATCTGATGGTAGTTCCGGCATTCTCATTCCTACTCTTGCCATTAACTTTTCCGCAGCATGTTGTGCTTCAACTTCCTTCAAATGAATATTGTATTGTTTCTGAAGTTCTAAGGACTCCTCTAATGCCAACAACTTAACTGGTCCGTGTATTATTGGAGGTGGAGTTGCTGCAGTTACTTCCCAATGTTTATGTTTCTTCCGAAGAACTTCTTTCTCTGGATTGTGAACGTCTGATTTTGTTGTCTTAAAAGGTTTAAAATGTCCTGTACCTGTCGACTTGGGCTTTGAATCTGTTTTTTCTATGAGATATTTGACATGAGCGACATCTCCAATTTTAATCAAGTCTTCAGCAGTAATCAGGGGTTTCTCACTGGGTAATACTTTGACTATTTTTTCTGTTGTAGTGCTTTGACTTAATATATGCATTACATCTTCGGGCTCACTGTCATCATCAGAATCTAAATATGTTTCCTTGTTATTGTTTATTTTACCTTCCCATTCAATGTCTTGCAATGCTTCATTTTCAATTGGAGTTAATTTCATATCACTGAAAAGGCGACAAGTCTGTTCTTCCTCTTGCTTTTCCTTGAGTATCGCAATAACTTTATCTAGAAAACTCTGTATTTTAGCTCCTTTATCGGATAGCTTTGCAATGAATGATTTATTATTCAGTAGTTTCATTTGTCGGTCACGAATATCCAGAAGTTCGGGAACAGTTTTGCCTGACAAGTCGGTTATCTTTCCATCGACTTCTGATTTCGGAGGTGGTGGTAATAAGCCTGGAATCCTTTTATTGATCTTTTTCATTGTTACAATATCATTATCCACTTAAAATTAAACTAAATTATTCCAATTTTAAAGACAGTAAAGATAATTCGGCATTTACATAAACACAACACCTTTGCGCACAGCAGTAAATAAACCACCACAGACTAATAATATTGGTGTCGATACTGGCATGATTCTCTAAATCTAAACATAAAATTTGACATCAATGGTGCCAATTCTGGCGAGATTCTCTAAACTTAAAACTAAATTTAACATCAGTCTCTCCTTTTCATTCTGTATAGAGAATGACAAGGATATACTGCTGTCAAATTTAAGTTTAGGTTTAGAGAATCATGCTAGAATCGACACCAGTGTATCTTTGTCATTCTCTTTACAGATTGACAAGGAGATATTGACGTTGAAAAGTTTAGAAAAGCATGCCAGAATTGATACTTCAGCAAAGAAAACTTTTTTTATTTTGGTTGCTCATGCCAGGGAAAGGCAAACGCAATAGGCTAGTTGACCCTTTTTCGAAAAATGTTTTAAATGATTAATAAATGTTCTATTAGACCGAAAAAAAATGTATTGTATTTTTTTGAGACCTAGAAAGCTACAAATCTTTAATTTTAAAATAGACTTTTCATGGACATACAAAAACGCTGCCGGCCATTTTAGTCTATAGATTATCTATGCTATGACGTCGACGGTAGTAAACAAAAACTCGTAAGCACGTAGAAAATATTAAAATAACCTATCTGAGTTTATAATAAAAAAAAAACAAGATTTCTAATAGATACCACGAAAAATATATAAATTATCATTATTGTATTGTACGAGAATGTAAAACCACATCCTTGAAGACTCCTGAAAAGTCGTGGTAAACTGTGTAGTCGAAGGGTACGGCCAGAGTGCACTCGTGATTCAGATTCAGATTCAGACTCAGAAAACAAAGCGCGAGAAAAAGCAGGCAACCTGCTTAGACTACACTGTTTATTTCTCGCGCTTGTTTTCAGAATCTGAATCTGACTCTGAATCTGAGTGCACTCTGGCCGCACCCATACATTGTAGTTTAAGCAGGTTGCCTGCTGCCACTATGGCCACCCTGCGCGCAAAAGCGCGAGAAAAAGCAGGCAACCTGTAGTGTACGGGTACGGCCAGAGTGCACTCAGATTCAGATTCAGACTCAGAAAACAAGCGCGAGAAATAAACAGTGTAATCTAAACAGGTTGCCTGCTGCCACTATGGCCACCCTGCTCTATCTACACTGTTTATTTTTCGCGCTTGTTTTCTGAGTCTGAATCTGAGTGCACTCTGACCGTACCCTATATCTGTAATAAAAAAATAAAAATTGACTGTATGGGCACAGTACTCTTTGCCTTCCTAGAATGGGTAAAGAAATTAAAAAAAAAATGAATCCACAGATTACATCTAAATAGTCTGTGAGAGATTGCCTGCTATTCAATGAAGTCAGTGAGTGTTGTGTTGTGGATTAATAGAAAAAGGCAGGAAAGAAACTTAGATGAACAAAAGAAGTACTTCAGTTAATAATGTTTTAATTTATCTAAAAAATCAATTAGGAAGCGGTTGTTATGTTTAAAAACTACTGAATCTTACGAGGTACTGATTCATTGTGAAACACAAATGGAGGACAGCACGGTTGGTATTATAAAAAGAACTTATTTGTTTATATAATTTTATTTTGGTATTCATCTTCTTTTGCATTTTATCTAGGTTCCTTTACATTTGGAACCCATGCAGCAGAATGAAGTATGCGACAAACGGCTGTGGATTGGGAACCTTGACTCCAGAGTTAATGAGTATGATTATTTATAATTAATATTCTTAAACCTTGCATTTTGCTAATAATGAAGCTTTTCAACAGTGCATATTAATCTTGTTTAGAATGTGATAACTAATTGCGTTCTTATAAATGAGTTTAGGTTATATTGGCTGAAAATCAATAACCTAACATTATTTGTTTGTTCATAATTTAATGAGCTCCATTTTTTTTATTACTGGTACCAACTACTGAAACTGGTCCGGGTGTATGGGAACATTGAGAAGTTTGATATGCTGTTCCATCGGAGTGGACCCAATGCTGGTCAACCACGAGGATTTGCATTTGTCACATACAAGCTGAGGCAAGATGCAGTACTGGCAATGAACTCATTGAATGGACAGTTGCTGGGTTCCAAGAAGATCTCTGTCAAGTTTGCAAAGACCACATCAGTAAGTACTATTCTCTGAAAGTAAAATGCATAGGATTAAATTACCCATAAAATAATTAATATATTTTTTTATGGCAGGAAGATGTGGATAAGTCCAAACCAGAATTAGGTATAGCAGCTTTGGCAGGAGCAAAACCAGAATTGAAACTCAGCAAGAAAACTGCAATTCAGTCTATAGAGGCAAAGCTGAAAATGATGGAGAATATGAAGCCCGGTGATGATTTTGTAGTTAACAAATTGGCTGCCAATGAGACACCCATAATTGCTCAGTATCAAACTAAGCAACATCAACCGCCAAACAAATCTACAAGTTCCTTTAAAAGAAGACACCCTTACCATAAAAAAAGATAATGTTCAAGAATCTCTGATTATTAAGACTAAATATTTCTAATAATTTATTGCTAGTTTTAGAGCAAATTCAGATGTTGGCATACAGCATCAAATTTTTTATAAGGAGAATTTTAAAATCTCACTCAAATTGCCAGCTTTTTAATTAAACTTACTCTATACAGTATTAACAAAATATATTTGTGGCTATTGTGTCCCAAATAGTTCTGGATTTTAAGGTACTGATAAACTTGAAATTTTCATTTGTAACAGAACATTGAGCATATTTTTTTATATGTGTCAAACTGAACAATAAACTACGACTTTTTGGCAGGATCGGAAGCGTCACCTTAGCAGTTTTGTTGTTCTGTGTTAAAAATTGTGTTGTGGCGGATGTTAGTGTCTAATAATGGTGGATTATTAACCACTAAGTCTTCGGGAACATGCACAAGTGTTGGCAAGTGAAACAAAATAGCGGGGAGGTTCCAGTAAATCCCCACACTTTTACTGAAACAGGGAAAGGGGGATTGACTTGACTGCCACTTTGACCACAAGTGCTATAGTATTTGTAAACATTTTCATACTTGACATTGGCTAAAAGCACTAGACGTGCGAAGCAATTTAGAAAAAAAAAACATCATGATCTTCCTAGCAAATGCTCTAGTTGATGCTTGTCTAAAAATATTCTTCACAAAGATGTTAGACAGTTGCTTGTACTGCATTTATACTTACATGTTATATTAATAGAGGGGCGACTGAGGTGCAGGGAGGGACTGCAGCGGCAAAGGGCTGCAGATAGACGACCGCGACCGCGCTGTGGCGCGGTCGCGGTGTGTGGCGTGGCGCAAATTTATGTTTTATTAACTAGGACTAACGTTAAAATTCTTTGAGTAACTAACTGCGCGGAGATCGCGCGGCCGCCTCGCTCGAATCAATCGAATGTTTTGTGTGTTGTGAATCAAATGAGGTATCAAATGTTTTAACATCCATTCAGAAATAATCTGCGATTTGTTTTTCATATTCTCGCAGTCGGTTGTATAGCATATGAAATTCACCAAACTCTTCTCGCCGTGCTACAATAGGATGAAACCAAAATCTTCTAATTTTTTTTTCTTTTTTGCTTTGTCGGTACAAGTAATATGCAATCATAATTTTGTTCTTCTTAGTCAAATAGCCCATAACGAATACGTGTGAATTTTAAGAAAGACCCAGATCAACTGCAAATGAATCGAGTTAGCAGTGGCGGGGCAACCAGGCGGTGACTTCGCGCCCGCCACGCTGTGACATTCTGTGTCATATAAACGCGCCCTAAAGCTTGAAGTAAATTTACTGTCCTTTCGCTAGAATGCTTGCAAAAACCCTTACATTTATTTTTCTGTAATTTAACATTCATAAGAATGCTCATTACAAGTTAATGCTCAAGTTTATCAGAACCCTTATACCTATCACAGAAGACTCAAAGAATTGATATGTTTTCAAATATCTCTAAGTACTTAATGACTGTAAATAGTTAATGTAAGTTATAGTGTACAATCAACAATTGTTATAAGATTCATTGGAACAAACTACTATGATTCTGATTATGTGATAATATATCGTCACATCTACGGCAAACTTACGAATCTGCTTTTTTAGTAAAAATCTATAGTAAAAAACTGCACATAATGGGGTACTTAACACCAGGGAAAAGTCACACAATTTTATCAATGACGGTTCCAAAAGTCTGATTGTTTCAATCTGCATTTTATGTTATACCCAAAGTAATATACGATATTTTGGCGTAGTAGGTTTTAAGAAATTCAAATTCGTTAGTTTACTATGGAAGTGACGATATTATGTTTGAGATTAATTGAAAGTACAATGCTAGATGTCAAATTAAGGAAAGAAAACAAAAGCTATAATTTAATTTAACCCATAACAATAATAATACCCGTATATGTAGGTGCGTATTTTAAAACTGTAGAATCGTGCTATTTACGATTTACACTCCCCAGAATTAGTAAATGAAATCCAAATATTTTGCCGCCCAAATAATGGCTCTCTTGGCCCTAAAGTAGGGTAAATACGCCCCTGTCAATATGGATCATAAATTTGATTTCATAAGAACTGTGTGATGATACCCCATTGTTAAGTGTTTTGATATAATTTTTTTAATCTTTTACCTACATACCTAGACATTTTACTGAATGTTTAGAGCAAATAAAAGTTTTGAAGCTTATTTGTATTTATTTTTATTAATACAAACATTAAAAGAGAATAAATTATGTACTTTATTATAACAAAGATTACGTTTATCACTTGGTTTAATAAAATAAATGCTTACATGAGTAATGCTTTTAATATATTGTACGATAACAAATTGTTTTAATCTTGATTAAAGTACGACTAATTAACAGGTTGTCAATATGTTCAAGAACATAATGGTTTACATCATAATGGCATCTGTTGTTAGGAATCCTGGGCTGATACTATTGGATAGGGAATTTGCTAGTCTCTTCACAGGAGTTGCTAACATCAAGTAGTCATCATCCTCTTCAAGTTTCCTCTTCATGTTGGTATACTGCGATTCACTATCACCTTTGAGGAAATCTTTGTACTCTACACACAAGGGCCATATCACTTTGCCAGACCTAAAAAAAGGAAAAACAGTTTAGTAATGTGATGCATCTACTAGACTATGTGCTCCTAGCATTGCCAGGTCTCTTAACCTAATAGTCGACAGACCAGCCAGTTTGGCTGGAAATTTGAGTAAAAAGGCCGGACACCATTTAGGATTTAGTGCCTCAGTAATATTAGGTACATTAAAGTTCAAAGTGACATACATACAGTTAACTCGCTTGCGCTCAGCCACGCTTGCCGCTCGCTCGTCTGCGAAATGTAATAAACCCAACAAAAGCCAGACACCCGTTTATTTTGGCTGGACACGCAATCAAAAAGCCTATGTTCGTTCGGCTTTATCCAGACACCTGGCAACACTATGTGCACCCAAGATCAACAGTGTACATAATTTAGAATTGTCAATAGAGATTTTTTTGGCTGCATCAGAAACAGAACTTCCATAGTGTTCGAAAGGCAACGACAAAATAAGATAGATGTTGGTATGAACGATAAGCAGTCAAATGGCATCGAGACGATGTTTCTTTATCCAAGTCATAATTAGCACTGCCCGCGTAGCGATTCCAGTGCGGATCGGTGGCTAGGATCCATGATTTAACAGGTTTACAGGATATTAGACCCACCACGTTTTTTTTGATGGAACAGGTAGGGATATTAGATCATACCCACCAATGCGCATTGGAGCCGCGTGGTGGGTCATGGTCTAATATCCCTACCTGTTCAATCAAAAAAATGTATCCTATACGATAAGCAATCAAATGCCATCTAGACGATGTTTCTTTATCTAAGTCATAATAAGCAATGCCCAGCCCCGCGACTCCAGTACGGATCGGTGGCTGGGATCCATTATTTTGATGGAACAGGTAGGGATATTAGATCATGACCCACCAATGCGCATTGGAGCCGCGTGGTGGGTCATGGTCTAATATCCCTACCTCTTCCATCAAAAAAATGGATCCTATATGATAAGCATAGGTTTCTTTATCTAGGCCGTAATTAGCACTGCCCGCCCAGTGAATCCAGGGCGAATTGGTGGCTAGGATCCATTATTTAGGATATTAGACCATGCCCTTGGTCATTAGTCATGGTCACGGAGGTCGTCGAGAAGATATAAAGTATATATATATATAGAGTATATATATATACTTTATAAGTATATATATAGAGTATATATATATACTTTATAAGTATATATATAGAGTATATATATATACTTTATAAGTATATATATAGAATAGGGCCGTGGTAGCATAATGGTCAGTGCATTCGCTCGGATTGCGAAGGGTACGGGTTCGAGTCCCGTCCGCTGACTGGTACCGCGTATTTTTTTTTCTAGTAAACTTTTCTTTAGATTTAAACATCTAGCATTTAAATGCTTAAAAATAAATAAAAACATAACTATAATTGCTATTTCTTCATTCAAATGTTTAATACTTGAAAAAGTATTCATTTGACATTGTGGGTTACCTACAATGCGAAGAGATGGCGCTGCCTTGCAGCTTAAGGCTAGGAAAATTTCGACGCGGTGAATAGGGCCGTGGTAGCATAATGGTCAATGCATTCGCCCGGATTGCGAAGGGTGCGGGTTCGAGTCCCGTCCGCTGCCTGGTTCCGCGTAGATATTTTTTTCTAGTAAACTTTTCTTTAGATTTAAACATCTAGCATTTAAATGATTAAAAATAAATAAAAACATAGGTATGAAGTAGTTTTGGTACTCACTCGGGCAACGTGTAGGGGTCGTAGGGAAACCACTCCTCGAAGTGTTCAATGGTGTTGGCCTGAAGCGTATGGCGCGCGTTTTTCTCGATGATGGCCTGACAGTACACCACTTGATGGGAACGCGTTACTGACGAGAACGCGTGCGTTACTTGAGGCGGACACGTGCGTAAAGGGTTCAATGCGCACGTCACTAACCGCCCCAGGTTCAACGACTCGACGAAGAGAAGGTCTGCGGATAGATAAGATAGATATTTCCAACACTCACACTAATTAGCTTAGCCCCAAAGTAAGCACTGTAAAGCTTGTCATATGGGATATTAGGGTAACGGATAGAATCTCTTATCTATTAGAAAAGTCCGTCCGTCTGTCTGTGGTGCTGTTTCAGCGGCCAAACCGTAAGAGATAGATAAAGAGAATGTTTAAGTTATAAGTTAAGAATAGTATAATAAGACTACAAACCGGATTTGAGTAACGTAGCACTTCCGGTTTTCGAGAAATCACGAATTTCAAACGAAACCACACAAAATCTCCGAAGTTCTCAATTTCTTTTTTAAATCAGGTTTTGGTGAACATTTGGTTCACTGGTTTGCTAGTACATATATAAGTATATTTAGGTATATAGAAATACATATTAAACATCCATGACTGGAGTACAAATGCTCATTTGCCCCCACCGGGATTCGAACCCGGGGGAACCTCGAGTCGGCGACACCATGAAACCCGGCGTACAAACCACTCGGCCACGGAGGTCGTCACAATTATTATATTAACTAGGTAAGCATAGAAATAGAGACTCTCCCCTCAGGTTCGAGTGGTCTAGAGGCTCCAGACGGAGAGGAGACTCCCCCCGTGGGGAGATGCGATCCGCCTGGAATACCTCTAGAGGCACTCGCCAATTCTCGGCTTGAGATCCCCTTAGGATCTCGCCGTCCCTAAATCCGGTTACGCTGTAAAGGTCATCTGCGACCAACAGCATACATACTCAAAAAAAGTCAAGCACGAATTTCGACAGCTCCGTAATCGTATCGTTTCTAAAGTTCTATGAAAACTAATCAGCGCCACCTACCGGACGTATGAACAAACTGGCTTCTTTTATACAAAATTAGACAATTACATCTCCCGAATGTCGGCCGAAATTCGGTAGCTTTCATGTATATAAGAAATGGAAGCAAATCTTCATCAAATGAGGATTAGTAAGGTAGTAGATATAATGTGGATGATAGCTTGTGGAATTTTTTATTGCCCCAGACAAGAATTAAAAAAAATATATAATAATCAACAAGGTAACAAAACATTCCTTCTTCTTTGTAACTTATTCCAGATAATGATACTTTGACTTTTACTATTTTCATTGTTTTGTAACAATATTTTATATTTATTATTTTTGAACATTTTGTTAATTTAGCAAAAGTACTCTGAAATTAATGGCCGAATCTCGGCCGAAATTCAGCTTCGGTACATATTTAAACTTAACATGGCCGAATTCGCTATGATCCACGTTCGGTGCAACACTTGCTTTTATCCAATTTTTACTGATATGTTGTCCTCAAGCTAGGCAAGCAGCTAATGGCATACGAGTTTGCAAATATTTATTGACTGTTGAAGATTACTACTACAACTTTCCAATGCAGATATGCATTGGAAAGTTGTTAGTTGGTGCATCTTTTTTCTTTATTTCCAAATCCAATATGGGACACATGGAATTAAAATTATATTCAGAAATATTAAGGGAACTACTACTTACTTTTCTTATTACTAAATAAATGATGATTTTTGAAGGCCACTAGGTAGAATATTGCATGGCAGATGGCATGGAAAGCGCCATGCACTTTGGTATTATCACTAACAGTGTTCGACTCTTGTGTGGCTGTTATATATGAATGGCACCATTCTGCCATGTTTTGCAAGTAGAGAATCAGTCTAGAATTGGGCATTCTAACGCATCTCGCTAGGAGACCGGCCAAGTGACTCGCTGCCGTTCTTCTGGTTGCTAGAGCTCCCTGGCCCAGCCCATGCTGACCAGATGCCACCATCCACAAATTGTTGAGAATCCGGTCAGCACACTGTTGGTTTATGGACATAGTGTAGAGAACTAAGAACTGGACATGTCTGGAATAGAAAAAGTTAATTAGTTATTTATACTCATTACTGCCAGGAAATGGCTTGATATTTTTTTTATTTTTGGATATATCTCAACACTTTTTAATTTCTTTCTTATCATTGAAAAGATTAAAACTCAGTACTCAGTTAATCGGTACAAACTGTTACCGGCACATCACTAATATATAAACATCATTAACAGTTTTACATACTTACAGGAAAACATTGTTAATATACATGTATAAAATATCATAGACATGTTCTCTATAATCTTATAGAAAAAAATAATAAATTTGATGCTTTGCATGCCCTATCCACCTGGATTGGGCATGACATAGTATCAAATTTAATTCATGAGAACTTATGACATGCTATCAGTGGCGTAGCGTGTCTTGGCGGGGGGCCCCGTATAAAAATTTGTTTTGGGCCTTTAGGAAGGCTAAAAATTTCACACAAAAGAAAAAAATGTGTGCATAAAATTAAAAGAAATATTTATTCATCATCATCATCTGTCATATTTTCCAAAAATTTTACAAACAATTCAAATTAAATATAAACTCTCCTTGCCTTTTTTTCGGCAAACTGATTTATTAAATCATTTATAGCTGATGATGACTTTAGTTTTTCTCAAGTTTCTCTCTACGGACAATAGTGACACCTTGGTTTATCATTCAGAAATCAGAAATCAATATATCTTTATTCAAATTGGATGTATAGTACAACACTTTTGAATCGTCCAAACATTTTTTTTTCCCTACCACTCATTATTGGACATATTTTTTAGCTGTGGAGAAAAACGATCAAAAAAACTCTACAACATTAAAAGCATAATGTAACAACATTTACAAATCATTATGTTGTTACAACGTCAATACAATCATGATTTATTTAATATAGAAAACCTGTTGGAATGATTGGAACAGTTCAAACCCAAGCATTTTTGTCTGTAATATAATCAGACACTTTGTAATAAGCTTTTTTAAATAAGTGCTTTTTTTATACTATCTTTGAATTTATTTATGCTTAACTCTTGGATATTGCTTGGGACTTTATTGTATAAGCGAACACAAATACCTTTAAACGAATTATTGATTTTGTGAAGCCTAGTAGCAGGTAAAGTTAGTTTATTTTTGTTTCTTGTATTAAGTGTGTGAACATCACGGTTTTTAATTGTATTGTATCTCATGTCCATCAATTATTGTGAGATTGCCCGTTTAAGTAATTTACTTGAATCCCGCAACCCGCGATAACCGATGTAGGGTGTTGCCAACACACGCTTTACGCAGGAAAAAAGAAATTGCCTTTTTTGACTTTGGCCATTTTTGTAAAAAAAAAATTGTAAGTTTTTATTACTTTTTGCTTACGCTCGTTGGGGGCCCGGGGGCCCCGTATAATTGATACGGCAGATACTGCGGTAGCTACGCCACTGCATTCTATGTAACAAATATGAATCATGCCCTGTCTTTCTGGGTTGTAAACTTAAGAAAAACCATAAGAATAAAGATAGGTTACATTACATTACCTTATTCCATGTGTGGGCAGAATAACTCTTTCAAACACATTGCACATGATGTTCAGGGCTGGTTCCCTCTCTTCTTCCAACCAATTTAAGATTTCTAGCATGCAGTAATCTAAAGTCTCCGAGACAACATTTTGCTCCTCCACATCAATTTCAAAGTTTGTGTCAGTCTGTGCCTTATTTTTTGCGAGATCTACTATATTAACATCCAATATGACCATTCTGAAACACCATAATATTTTATAAGTATTACTCATTGAACTTGGTGATATCAGTTTTGAAGAGTTTGTTTGATCAGTTAAGTAAAACAGACAACTTCGATGTACAAAAAGTTACATCAGTTTTGAAGTACCAAGAAACTGTTGAACAAATAAGGTAGTGGCACTAATGACCGACAGGAGCCAGTGATCGTCATTTTTTTAAAGTAGGAGTGGGTCACTGATCACTGGATATGGTAAACACATATTTGGTGATTGATTGCATGCTCTTGTTTTCATTAATCATGGAAGGAAATGTTGATCATTGGTGTCACTACCTTACTTCATTATTTTTCTTTGATAATAATGATTGACTTAATATTACAGACTTAATGTACATTTTTTATCAATAAAAGCATAAAAATTATAATATTTTTACCTGCTTATATTAACAACTATAATTTGTTCACGTAATAGTGGTATGTATTTGCTAATCCAGATCAAATTATGTACATAGGATCTGTTGATGTAAGTTCCAGCCTTATAGTACGGAAACTGCTCAATCAATGTTTGCATCAACAGGTCACTGCTCCTAAAAAGAAAAAGATTAAAGTAAATATGTTATATTAGTATTACTATTCTCATTTTCCTAATCAATCTCTTTACTAAATTGAATAAAAGTCCTTAAAATTATAAATAACATATTTGAATATTATTTAGGTTTTCATTTTATTTATGCTGTATCAAGTTGTTTCGTATGAAACTTGATAATCAGTTTACATCTTGCCTAGTCTATGGTTATGCATAACTAAACAGTATTAGTAAGAATAAAGGCAGTTATACAAAACAGTCTAATTTCTCTAACTCTGAACTTTAGCTCTAATTGTGTGGTGGGTCATGATGGCCCCAGAATTAGGGATATTACGATAGGCTGATTACACCAATTGAAATGTAACAAAAGCCTTAATAGTCTAGGATCCAAACCTAAATTGACCTTCACTGAGCTGATAATAGAATGAAACATATTTTATCATGAATTTAGTATATTAAAAATGGGATGCCTAAAATAATCTGGACAGACTATTTTTAATTGTTTTTTTTAAAAATGGTTTAGAAATAAAATTTGCTGCAACAATATGATATTAAGAAAATGTTGTCCTGACTTAAAGTATAAAATGTATAGAATGTGCAGCCATTGGGTAACATAACTTTTTTTATAGTAGACTATATAAAAATATTTATAGTAGACTATATGTATAAATTTATTATACAACTTTATATCGAAACTGGTTTATTTCAGAACCAGTACTTATTATGAAATTTTTTAAGTATTAATAAATCAATGTGGTGAGCATTGTCCTTTGTCTGATTTTGCTATCAAATTACAAAAAAAGATAGGTATGCTTTATTTATGTAATTATAGAAGTGCTACAAATAGCGTCTTCAATAGCAATTGTAGATTTTATTCCAAGTTTAATACATACATTAGAGACTCTACAGACAGTACTGTCATCTTCTGAAATACAAAAGTTGGACTGAGCTTCAGTATGCAGACCAGACATTTGTCTTTAAATGATGTAGTTTTGTCCTTGAAAGCCACATAAATATATGGCTAGACAGATTTAATCATGACCACCTAAGCACAGACAGCAAATAACTCTAATTATAGTTATATATTATGCTTTGTCTGTATTTTCAAGTGTGAAGGATTACCATATCATATCACCACAAACTATAAAATGTTAAATCACAATTATTATACAGTTGGCAAAGATCTCATTATGTGAAACCAGGGATTTCAATATTTAATGAGTCCTTTATCCAAGCTCATATGATGAATTTCGAAAATGTCTTACCAGTGTCTTCAGTTTCAAGTGAAATAATCTCCTTACACAGTAATTCATTAGTATGACTACATTTTTCATAGCAATTTTGCCTTGACAGAAACTTGTTGTTTCATTTTAATGCCATCTTTTTTAAATCCATATCAGCATTTATCTCCTTCTAAAAGTGAGAGATATGGAACTTGTTCTAGCATTGTTAAATATCGCACACAGTAAGTTACTGTACATAATAATAATCTTTCTTGATCTTACTGCAATGTTGATAAGCTTATGTTATGAAAAGGAAAAATTCTAAGTAAATAGAATTGTCATAACATAAGACAAATGAGCTTTTTATATCCAATTCTGATGAGATGACTTCATAAGTATTTTTGTATTTTCCAGCTCAATTTTGAAACTTGCAATTTTGAATTGCCTGCTCAGCAGGAATGATAAATGGTTCATGTATTTATCATGATTTCATTTCCTTTTGGACATGTGCCAGCCTCACTTTAGACAAAACCATGAAACTTGAATAGAGTTGTTTTGCTGCAGTCTACTGTCTTTATGACAGTAAGTTTTCAACTATGTAACATCATTTTACTCAATATAATTGTTTTTAGTCATTTTAACCATTTAACTGCTAGAATTTAAAAATCTAGAGAATTTTTTGGTACAATGAAAATCCACTTGGTCCAGGCAATAGACGGGATCCCCGGCCTGGACTAAGTGGATTTTTTTCTAGTAAAATTTTATTCATGACTTAATTTTTTATTTAGGCAGAAGAGAAAATTGCTAGTTTTTATTAGTTAAAGGGGTTCTAAAATAGAGGGATTTATTGTTTAAATTATTGTTCATATATGTTTCATTTTCATGTCATATTGAAGACTTCATGGATGGTTTCATCCAGAAACATATTTTATATCTTTCATGGAAGTTTTGCTACTTTGGACTCCTTGATCTCCTATGTGATTTTTTAGACCTTATTTTTCACACTATTAATATAACAGTGTCTTAAATCCTCTCATAAAAAAGATAAAACTTAAGTGTATAAACACTAAGATTAAGATTTCATAATAATTAGTAAACTGCACTTACATGGGTATAATTGCAACTATTTTTGCAATAACTGTATGTATATAAGACCATTTTTTGAGTGTCTCGGGAGATGGGCAATTGTCCCAGTTTTCACCATCATCTAGAAACAGAAAGCAGAATTGAAATTTTATTTCACAATAATAATTGTGCCAAAACTCTCAAATCAACAAAAAAAGGTCTACATTGTAAATATATAAAAAAAAGCACAGAATAAAATTAGATGACATAAATATTAATTAATAATGATATAATAAATTCAAATTAAAAAAAAATCAATACAAAATTTGCACAATATTATTCATTTATCATTTGTCATAGCCAATGGGGGACTTATCTTACTTAAAGCACTTTAATATTTAATTCAATTTATGTATTGTTTCATGTAGTAATAGCTTTATGAAATAATTATTTTTGTATAAATGCTTACATGAAAAACTAGAATCAAGTACTAACCTTTGAATGACTTTATAAGGCAGGTCAAAACTATTTGGCAATGGTAATTGTGAGCAGTTACCAAGTTTAATACAAATTTAGTGAACAGTTCCACTAGCTCTTCACTTCTGCTTGCCCACTCTACACTGCACAGAAGTTCTATATATTGTTCAAATTGTCTACCCAACAACACTACACATTGAAGACTGTCCTCAAATAAAATGCTATAATTATCATCATTCATAGGATAATCTTGCAAAATTTTCAATAGATCAGTATAGGGACCTACATTTCCACTCTTAACATAACTTAAAAGGGTTTGCTCCACTTGATTGGTTTTGAATCTGAATTTTAAACGCGACACTGCTGCTTGCCTTTCCAAAGTTTTGCGCATCAATGATGCAACCGATTTCTGTGCTACAACTGCCATGTCTACTTCTTCAAATCTGAAGAAATGGTCTTTAGATACTCCACTATTTCTGGTTGACGCAGTAATTCAGCTTTCTTGTGGTTCAAAACTTCTCTTAAAATATTGCTACTGTCTTCGAACGGGGGTAGGTTAGTTCCTTGGTCAAAACTTGTGCTCGGCTTGTTGTAATTGTTTGGGGATTCTAAACTTTCTGTATTCTTTTTATCTTTTAGATAAGATTGTAATTTCTCTAGAACTACTTTAGAATCACTTTCTTTTTTATCGCCGCTATAACCTTCTTTGGACATCGCACTACATTGTATTTATCTTGACTAAAGTAAAACAGCAATAGATGGGTAGGTACTTTAATTATAATTACAAAGAAGTTTACGAGCAAAAAGGCAATGTTAAAAGATAAGAAGAAAATGTATTAAATTCTTATAATGTTTTGTTAAAATAAACACGTGTGCGAATCACTGAGCAAGTAGTTCGTAGCTTTTTTTTTAATTGTGGCACTTGTGGCCAGTGTTGCCAACTCGGATTTTGAAAAAGGCGTAGGCCCGATGAGAAAATTACGTAGAATTGGTAAATTTTGCATATGAAAAGTAAGTAGATCTACGTACTTTTTTCTGAGTGAAATGAAGAAGTTATTTGAAACCGAATAAAACGAGTATTTTGTTATACAATTTGTTTAAGAACGGGAGATAGAACGAAGAGTTCTTAGAGAAGTCGCTGCATTGGAAGCATTTACCATGCTGTGGTAAACATTTACCATCAGACACAGACACTGGTGGGTGCCGATTCTGGATGGTTCTCTAAATTTAAAACTTAATTTAACATCAGTCTCTCCTTTTCATTCTGTATAGAGAATGATATGGATAAACTGTTGTTAAATGGGCTAGTTGACACTTTTTGGAATTATGTTTTAAATTGTTAATAATTATTCTATCAGAACGAAAAAAAAATTTTTTTTCACCTAGAAGACATACAAAAACGCTCTTTAGTCTATAGACTTATCTATGCTATGGCTCCAAAACATTTTTAAACAAACACTCGCAAGCACGTAGGAAATAAACTTTCTAAGTTAATATTACAAAACCATGATTTCTAATAGATCACATGAAAAATATAGTAGTTATCATGATACACTTGGTAAAAGACTCTAGAAAAGTTATGGTTTAAATTGCCAAGAGAAAAAACATACTTACACATGAACATATGCTTAAAACTTGCTAAATCCTGTAACTTTATCGACTGAAAGTCTTTTCTTTTTGCAAAGATCAATTCGATGTGAGTAGGTACTCATTGATAATAGTAAAAGTTTAAAAATACATTTTTTAAGGTTATGAATGTACCTAATAAGTCAAAGAGTTTTGTCGTTTCTGCTTTCACAAATCCTGCGTCCAGCATTAATTTAGTCAACAAAACCAATAACGGGAACCTTTTCTACAAGATGCAAGAGTGTTTAGATACATCTTCTTAAATATTCAATGATGTCGATTCTGGCATGATTCTCTAAAGCTAAACTTAAATTTGACAACAGTGCATCCTTGTCATTCTCTATACAGAATGAAAAGGAGAGACTGATGTTAAATTTAGTTTTAAGTTTAGAGAATCACTCTAGAATCGACACCAATATAAAATATTCTTCTTTATTCTAGTGAATTAAGTTATTTTACAAATTTGAAAAAAATTAAGAAAATACGTAGATTCTGGGACTTAAGTTAGTAGGTTTCCAGAAAAGGCCTAAAATACGTAGATCTACGTAAAAAGACGTAGAGTTGGCAACACTGCTTGTGGCGACTTACTTTAGGTTTGTTGAAAATATATCGATGTATCGATATTTTTTGTTCGATATATCGATATTTTTTGCCGATATATTTTGATTCGATATATCGATACATCGATACAAAATAACCAATATCGAAATTCGTATCAAAAACGATTTTTTTTAATTATTAGCGGCATATCACGATCTAACTAAATTCTTATCTGGAAAAATCGTAACTGGATCTCAGATTAATGATATTCAACATATCTATGATCTGTGCTGTATTTAGTATTGTCTATTATTTGTAAATCTGTTTCGCTGGTGAATTGGTTGTGCTGATTTCCATTATATTCTGTGAAGTGTGTGATTGTCTAGTCTTGTTAACGAAAGAGACCCTGCAATAATTTACCTGAGAGGCCCTGCAATCATTTTAAAATAGAGTCTATTTTTAGGGAGATAATTTTCGTTCCATTATTATTCCGCGTGTCATATTTCGTGAGCTACTGTACGATATTTTTGGGAAAATTGGTACGATATATCGATATATCGATGTTTTTTTCGCGATATATCGAAGCCGATATCGATATTTTTTTCAACTTTCGACATCCCTAGGCGACTTTGCACCACACCGCATAAAAGTTGGTCCATGTCTCCGTACAGCCAGTGTCTATGGATATTCTGTAGGCACTGGCACATTAGAAATTAAGTTTTTATTATTAAGTTCTTTTTGATATTTTCCTTTTGATAAGTCATCTGGAGTATGCATCTCAGGTCTGGAACGCTAGATATTCCACCTATATATATATCTCGCATTGAAGGCATCCAGAGGAAATTTGTACGATATCTGTGCTTTCGTACAAAGGAACGTTATCATTCAGGTCGGTACGAGGAAGGGTGCGGCCAGAGTGCACTCAGATTCAGATTCAGATTCTGAAAACAAGCGTGAGAAATAAACAGTGTAGTCGAAGGGTACGGCCAGAGTGCACTCCTGATTCAGATTCAGATTCGGACTCAGAAAACAAAGCGTGAGAAATAAACAGTGTAGTCGAAGGGTACGGCCAGAGTGCACTCCTGATTCAGATTCAGATTCAGACTCAGAAAACAAAGCGCGAGAAAAAGCAGGCAACCTGCTTAGACTACACTGTTTATTTCTCGCGCTTGTTTTCAGAATCTGAATCTGACTCTGAATCTGAGTGCACTCTGGCCGCACCCGAACTCTGCAAAAAGCATCAACTACTCTCCCGTTCCGAGATGCGTCGCGAAATTGCGGATTTAGTTTTCCTCAATAGGATCGCTTCTGGGCTTTTTGGCCGCATCCACGAGTGAGTTTGAGCTCGCGCGCGACTAGTTGAACCTTAACGTGCATGTATACGGTACGACTGTACGAAGCTCGCATTTAAGATTTTAAACAATATTAACTTTTTATTTATTCAATAAAATAAAAAAAAATGTTTTCTTATCAGTCACCACGCTCTAAAAGTGTAATTTGATTAATATCAAAGAAAAGAAAACTGCATAAATAAATAATTATTATTGCATAAGTTGATAAAAAATGCTATTTATTTTGGTTACATGGAAGACCAACAGCTTATCTTTATATACTATTATAGTAATGAATAGTAGCGACAAAGGTCGTCGCGCAGCTGGCGGGGCGCCAGGCTACACGCTCCGCGAACGCCACGTCCCGCCTGTCGAGAGTCAGACCCAGCCGCACGGTCAGCATAGTGACGCTCTGCTCCACGCTGACGCCCCTCTCTTCGGGTAACCCGCCGATCTCCAGGTCGGGCATCAACGCCTCCTGATCGGGGTCGTTAACCTCGGTCCGCAGCTCGGATATGTTGCGCTCCAAATCCATCCCACTAGTTGCATCAGGGTCCACTTGACGCTGCTCCAACATTGCAATTCTCTACTCGAAGGAGTCAAGTCGAGCGGTAAAATCTCCGAGCGGAATTCCCTCATCTCCTTTATGCAGTTGGCCAGCCCCTCTAGCATGACCACCAAACTCCATAGTAGTCTGACAGTTAATGCCGATATATCGCTTTATCATATCTCGTTTCGGTGGTCATGCTAGAGGGGCAGCATTCTTTTTATATCACTGGTGTGATTATTTCCGGCGGCGTTCTCCTTGGCCTTACCCTGGACCTTTGGAGAGCCACTGGCCGGTCGACAGGTTCCCGTGCAACAACCGGTTTTTCGGGCTCGGAAGATTCGCTGATACCCTTTATAGACGTATGTTCTATTGGTATATGCGCTCTTGTAAGGTTTTTTTCGTTACGGAATTTCTTGATTCGGTCGCCCTGTGCTCAAAGCCCGCGATAAAAGCTATACAATAACTTAAAAATACTTATAGTACGGAAAGTGTCGTTTTTTTTCGACATGTACCTAATCAATGTTTGTTAATTTAACGCATTTAAAGAAAATTTTGTTCTGATACTTACTATAAACTGATTTAATACAAAATATTTGTGATATGCAAATGCAGGCTCGGTAATATAGCCGTCTCTTTTCCTCGCGGTCCGTACCTGCTGTATTGGTAACAGCGCATTCAGAATTGCGTGTAGAGTCAAAAAAATAAGATCTATATTCTTTCACATACAGCAATTAGGCGTAAAATTTTATTAGCTTGCATTTCGAACTGTCATAATTCTTTGAAGCTTGCGTTTTAATTAAGACCTTATACAATAAGGATTAAAGGTGACTTACAATATTAAGAAAGAATGCTTTATATTGTTTTGACTACGCGATCATCTTATGGAGCTCCGTGGATCGTCCAATGTACCTTTTGGGCAGGTTTCTGCCACAATTTTGTTCGTGTTGGTGTATCTTGGTTAAATAATATCGTTGTGTCAGGGACCTGATCTGTGGCGATCGGCGCGAACCGATCTCCCTTATTCCCTTAAACGGCATTTACACTACCCAATTTTAAGGGTGCCTTACCCTGTAAGCGTATCATAAGTTAGGGGGTAAGGGACCTGATCTAGGGCGATCAGCGTGGTGTAATAATTGCTACCCTAGCTAGAGGCCACGTCCACCCTTTCGATTCGACCCTTAAAATTGTGTAGTGTAAATCCTAATCCAAAAATAATGTAATGAAGACAGTCGAGAGCGTCGAGAGTCCATAATTGCCAGAGTGCCAGACAGTAGTGTCAATTCTGGTATGATATTTATATATTTACATTAATCTCTCTTTTTCATTCTCTATAGAAAATAACAAAACCAGTGGTGTCAATTCTGGCAAGATTCTCTTCACCTAAACTTTAATTTGACAACAGTGTATCCTTGTCATTCTCTATACAGATTGAAAAGGAGAGACTGATGTTAAATTTTGTTTTGAATTTAGAGAGTCATTCCGGAATCTACACCAGTATATACCTAGTTAATTTTAATCTGTGGATTTCTCATTTTCAGTTTGGGAGGGGTGGAGTGCAGTGCGTGTGTTTATTCCTTATTTTGGATTTGTTGGATTATTTTTTCATCAATTCGAGTGTCAGTGTATTGATAGTGACATTGCTACAGCGTGTACATTATAAACTATATTAATACCATGTTGTGTGGCTAGACAACTTTCTTCCTTTTGGGCGTTGATAATCATGCAAAATGGCCAACGATTTCTGGTCATGTACCTGTTGTACCGAAGCACTAACATGTTGGCTGCGGTTAAAATTATCACCCGAAGAAATAGAACAAAGGTATCGAAGTAAAGAGATCGATAGAATATTGGAGAAAGATAAACAAACTCTTAGACGGCAGGTTAAATTGCTACTACTCGGGGCAGGTGAAAGCGGAAAATCAACATTCCTGAAACAGATGAGGATAATACACAAAGTTAAGTTTGAGCCGGAACTGGTGCGGGAGTATCAACATGTGATTTATCAGAATATTGTTAGGGGTATTCAGGTGCTGGTGGATGCGCGGGATAAGTTGGCGATACCGTGGGAAAACCCACGAAACTTAGATGTTGGTCAGCAAGCACTACATTTCAACAGTACAGCCTCTCTTGACAGTAGACTTTTTATGCATTATGCACCACACATACACTCTTTGTGGTTGGATAGAGCCATAAAGAGGGCATATGACAGGCGGAGAGAATTTCAATTGGTGAGTGACACATTTATAATAAATTTTTATCTAAATATTTACATGGCCTACAGAAAAATCTACCAATAACTCAGAGCTGCAAACATACATCAGTGCTTTGTAATTTGATTTTAAATTGACAAATGAATTGTGATTTTGTATTTAGTATTGCCAAAATAAAATATGTGATTGATCATGTAACACATTCAATTGTGTGTCATTCCATTGTTTGCGTATCATGCAATCATCATATTGAGCTTGATATATTTCTTATATAAATGCAAATATGTCGATTTCAGCACCAGTACAAACTTAAAACAACAAATATAACAGAATTATTGTCAGTTTGTACTGATTATAACATATTTAGCTACAACCATTGCAAGGATAGTAATTTAAATGCATTGATGTATAAAAACAAGATTAAATGCCAATCATCCTCACACTGACTGTTCGCACATTGTTTCTTCGTGCCTCTTTTAAAATAGGGTTCCTTCTATCTGGCAGAATCTTGTTGCTCTGGAATTCATTTGACATAACACTTGGCATAATCTTCTTTAAAGAAATATCTGCGTGAATGTCAAATGATTTTCTGCTAAATCAAGTTTAAGCCATCTGCTGATATGCATTGTAAATTTTTGACATTAAAAATTCTGCATTAAAAGGTAGACCCTTTAAAAAGTTATGTTCAAATATCCAGTAAAATTTTTGTGCAGTATATTATGATATAGTAGTAGCTTTTTGTCTGGGTACAAAGTTATCACTCATTGAGTGCATGTCATTTAACTATGGGATCGTCCCATTTTACTATGGGAGTTGGGCTAAATTTTTTTTTCATTGCGTGTTATTGGAATAAGTATTAAACAATAGGGAATCAGGTATTTATTGCATAGGCAAAATTTCATTAGAAACTTAAGTGGTGGTTTGAATAAAATATTAAATTATGTAAGCATTTTAAGGTTATGTCTTAATTATTACTAGGTATACTACTTTAAACTGTATTTAATCAGGTTTTGATCTTTTGTCTTCTATTTTGGACTGGGAGTGAAACAAAAATGGAATGCACTTCATAATATCCTATCAACGGACAGCGTATATTCGTAAACTGTTGCATTGGTGAGCTGCTACCTATCTGTATTTATTCCAAACATCTCAGATTCAATAAATGTGGTGTTGTTGAGGTGCGGTTATATGAGTGCTACATAAACTTATTCTCTTTATGCTCAGGCTGCACCTTTGATGCTCTGTCAACCCAAGAATGGATATAATATTATTTGAGGTTTAGGATTAAAAAATAAATGTGATAAAATATTTTAATAATGATACATAATTATTTATTGATAACACATTTATCCAAATCGATATTATACATATATACTTCCAGCATTTTCTTGTGTAACACCAGATGCCATTGTAAACAAAAATAATTGCAACAAACTAAGAGTCCAAATATCTCTGTCACAGAATCACTAAAGGTAACTTAACACTTAAACAAAGAAGTCCAATTCTCTCTTTCCCAAAAAACAGTTATTGATGGAGATATACTCAACTCAACATTAGAACTATTCTGCCACAATAGACCACTGAAAACACAAATTCAATTCAAAAGTGAAAACTGTATGTAGTTAGTCACTCGGAACAAACAAACACAACTAATACTGAAAATAGAAGTTGACAGCTACATTCACTTGCTTATGGTATATTTCGATTCAATTCTATAGGAATTGATATCCTACCACACAATTGATTTATAAATGTTTTATTTTTCAATGCAAATGCTTTAAATGTTTAAACCATGAGTTAATAGTAATTATATATAACATAACTGATAATTTGAACAAAAATATATTCCCTTTTTTAATCTAAGAATACTGCATACAAAAGTTTTTGTATGTGATCTATTTTGAAGAACACAATAGTCCGCAGACAAAAATTCCGCTTTTGCGCAGCCCATTAAGTTCCGTTTTTTAGATGCAATGAAAGAGGGCAAACCCTGGTACAGTGAGATAGTCACAACACAGGTCTTACGGATGATAACTTTATGAATTTAATGTTATTTATCATGATATAATATTGGTAAAAATGCTCGTATCCATCATACAAACACTGAATAGGCGATTTGGGGAAAATAATCCATCCATCCATACAAAAATCAAACAACTCACATCGAAGACCACAAAATAAAAAATGACTACAAAATAATGAATGATCATTATTTCGTAGTCATTTACGGTGGTTGGTAAAAATGTTTCAGACTATTTACAATTGTTCTATGCCTCCAATTATAATACACCGTTTTATTTATTCTTTTTAAAATGAAACTTCTTTACGCATGCTTGACTTGGGAAGTAAGCTGGCGAACGTAAGCGTTACGAAAAGTGTGATCGGGCGAGGCGAACGGCAGTTGAGTGGGTGATATAAGCAAGAGAAAGCAGTGTGCGTGCACATTTTCTTTCTCTCTTCCTCTCATAGCCAAATAGATTCCGTATATCTAAGAACAGTGCAGGCCTATTGTCTGTATCACAGTGTAGGAGCAAGAGAGAGCAGTGCGCCCACACAGTTCCTCTCTCTCTTTCTCTTACAGCTAGTAAATGAAAGAAGTTTCATTTCAGTCGTGTGGTCATAAGCACACTCGTTTGTTTTAGTTTAGAATATTTAAATAAAGAAATATAATCGTTTTTTTTCCTTAGATAGTATCGACAAGGTATTATAACTTTTGTCTATGGTTATATGGTCGATTCTGTGGTTGAAATTTTATTCAGTTTAATAGCCATTTCTTTATTATTTTAAAAATCCGCTTAATATTTAAATAATAATCACAGATATGATATTTCAGGAGAAGATTTTTGATACATAAATGCGTCAAGCGCAATCTAGACGGATTTACCCATTCGCCTTTCTATATTTATGTTTATATGTTACGGACAATTTGATAAATCCGCGCACTATTAATAATGGCCGGTCTGTATTGATAATGCCCGACTCAATTGGGCAAGTGATTAAAACTCCATTCATACTGCCCGGTCCAAGTGATAAATTCAAGCTATCTCAAACACTGACTCAATACATGGACCACGGGTCGTCGGGCATTATTAATAATGGCCAGTCCTTGATAATGCTGATTTAATCACGTTGCTCGTAACAAAATATACATTTCACCTGCTTATGCCTGTTTCTATAGACATGAGCTTTTCCCAGGAGCCAATACAAAATCAGTAAAATTTTTCTTATGCATGTAGCTTATTTACAAAAAGGACAGGTATATTTTCTAATGTTTTCATTAGGATATAATTATAATAAGGGTGGGTCTACTACATAAACTAGCAGTGTGACACTGACTTTTAAGACTCATTTTAATAAATTAATCATCTTAACTTATTTTACGGTATTTATGAGTTGATATGATATTATTTAGCAAAAATTCTTGGTTTTTGCATTGATTTCCATACGCTTTAGTTATCATTTAAAAGTAACGTGCGAATATTTACATAAATACGAAAGACTAAGACTAAGACTAATGTATAGGTGAAAAAAATCATCAAATTAAAAATACGTAGGGTTGCGCTCAAAAATCCGTAAAAGTCAGTAGATTGCCTCTAAAAATCCCTAGATCTACAGACATTTTATTATTATTAGTACTGTAGTCAGGCTAGCAGTTGAAACAATTGATAAATGCCTGCATCCTACTATCTTTTATTTTCTCTATTTAAGACCTTTATCTAATTTGTTCTTAAATTATTCTTACACTCTGCTGTAACCACTTATGCGGGTAATTGGTTCCAGGCCTTAACAACCCTGTTACTGAAGAAGTGTCTGTGAGGGTTTTTGCACGATTGGGGCCTGTGCCAGCGGGTAATTGGTTCCAGGCCTTAACAACCCTGTTACTGAAGAAGTGCCTTTGAGGGTTTTTGCACGATTGGGGCCTATGCCAGCGGGTAATTGGTTCCAGGCCTTAACAACCCTGTTACTGAAGAAGTGTCTGTGAGGGTTTTTGCACGATTGGGGCCTGTGTCAGCTTAAGATGGTGCTCCTCTTAAATGAGTCTTCTCTGCGTTAAGCCTTATAGGGTTTACTTTGGGGTTAGGCTAATTGGTGTGAGCGTTGGAAATACATATTTGTTTAGAAACAATGAATAATTCATTCCGCTTTACCTTAATTGCTAATTAAACTAGTCTTTGGAGTTGGACTTATGCTTCATTAATCTGAAGATTTATGGTATTTATTACAGATAAAATAACAAAAAACCTCATAACATAATCTAAGCATAGAAGTAATGCTATGGCGTTCGAGCTCAAACGTCACAGGTGAATTCGAAATCGAAAAAAATCCTTGAATTGCGAGTAAAATCCGTATGTCTAAAGACAAGACCTAAAATCCGTAGATCTATAGACAAATCCGTAGTTCTGGTTCCACTGTACGTAACAATAACGTTCTAAAACCAACTTTTCCTTCAATAAGAGCTTTTATATTCCAATGTGTGAATTAGATTACAAAATGATATTATAACCGTGTTATATGTTTCCACATAATACGCCGCGGTATCTTAAAGTTGCGGACATAAATAAAATAATTGTAATTACATTCCTTATCTCATTTGATTAGTCACTGGTTGGTTGCGTCATGCGTCATGCCCAAGGCTCCGGCAAAGCATGTGAGTCGGCACTCCGACCATCTTTCAACCTGGCGTTAGATTAATTCTTGCAGAATTCATCCTCGATTCTGCCGCTCCGATTATCTAGAACTGGGTATTATTGTACTGATCTTAAACTGTATAGTACATTTAAACCACTAAAGTTACTAGTCAAAAAGTGTTCACTAATGAAACTTCCGGCATTATAATTGTCTAAATTGTCTTCTATAAATGGATTCTGTTGTTTTAACACAGGTCTTGAATCATTAAAATCTTATAGGTTTAAACATAATGAATAAAAACTTTTTGTGTTAGTTAAAGGAATATTTTACGAATAGTATATTTTTATCTTGCGGCATATGATCATTAAAAAAGAAGGTTAGGTTAGTAA